GCAAATTCTGGAACACCGCCTTCTACAGTTCTTTAATTGTCAATTTCTCACAACAATGACTTTTTAGCTTAAGTATTTAGCGCGAGATTCGATAATGACATGCTATGTTTGACACACTCGTTAACCACCAAAACTTTAAAAGTTCCTGATCATAACTCTCTCTGATAGACTGTAGTCTATGTAATCATTCTCTCAACTGGCAATTGCGTCCGCTAGCGAACAAGTTATGAACAAAAGTTGGTTTTAAAATTTTACTTCGCTGAAATTGTCTCTCTTGTTACGTCATTTTCATGGTCAGTATACAAAAAACATGGTATTCTGACGAGATTTTCGGAGTAACCACTCTTTGTAATAAAAATCACAACTAAAGTGATGTCACAGTAAGTGTATATTTTCCAGAATTTTTCAATGATACCAAACTCATGAACTTCCGTTAAACGGTTCATATTTTATCAAACCATTTTCCCCTCGCTTATTTCGTTCAAACAATTATTGATATGAAATTAGAAAGTATCAATATGAAACAAGAAGTGTCAAAAATCATCTTACTATCAGTGGTTTAGTAAAATGCTCCAAATATACAAAACAACTTAACACCGAAACTACTCTTGGACTACTAATGATATCTGGACAAAGGAATTTAAAGTTTTTTGTGGGATGGAAATATTTTTGTATACTCAGATTTAAAGCTGAATTATTACTTTAGAGAATTCTAGACTTATTTCACATACAGTGTTATGAATAAATTTATAAATTTATTTGACTATTATTTTTAATCGAGATTTTTTAACAATTTTGAATAGCATCCGAAAGAAAGAAAACTTTTTAAAAAAATCTTAAATCAGTATAAAATCATGAGTTTGAATAAATATACTTTTTAAAACTAGGATTTCTAATTACTTGGTTTAAAAAACCTCTGGCAATAAGCGATTAAAAATAATTTCCATATGTTAGAAACTGTTCTTGTTAAGAAAACCAGATAATGCATATATCATAAGGAAAGAGGAGACTTAAAAAATTAAATCTATTCATAGTCAGTGTTCTCAAAATATTTCAATTATCTTAGTGTGCATGCATACGATAGACAATTGCAGTTAATATCTTCTATGGTTTTGTTATACAGTATTAATTAAAAAGTTATTACTTACAAAAGTAAAAATAATCTTAACTAATGCTGCAATGTACTTAAAATCAAAAGAGAAATTTATATCCCTTTTTTATAACAAAGAGGAAATGTGGCGAAAATTTCTGAGTAAAATTTTAATTGCATATTATAAACAATTGGATTTTAGCTGAAAATATAAGATTGACGAAAAATAGGTGCATGGATAAATACATATTTTTGTACTTATTTTGGTTGTAAATGATGCATTTATATAATCTGTAAAATATTTAAAAATTGTAGACATTCTACGGTGACCAACTTTCCTTCTTTTTGCTATCACCCTTATAAATCTTTACAATTTCATATCACTGTGTAGAACATTATTGAGAAACTTGGAATCAAAAGTGAAACTTGATGCGATTAAACTTATTTATCTTACTTATATAAACATAGATTAAGCTGTTATTATCATGATTTTTGAAAAAAAGAAGTCTGTATCATCTGTCCTTAATTTTGACTTCAACATTGAGATAGCATGCATAACACAAGATGCTGGCAAACAAAGACATTATGATTATTTATCATGTAAAGACCTTGAATACCAGCATTCCGACGAGTAGGTAAACTAGCTTAACAGCTTCCACGCGGTCTTTGTCTACTTGTCATGCAATAATAAGTGAATACCGTAACATAATAATTATCCGAAGCATTTGCCTGCCATGTTATTTAAAAGAACAATTTTTCAACTAATAAATAAATAAAATTAAAAAAAAAAACCCGCACAACCATTATATTGATCCAATGAGATCACCCTTGAGTGAAACATAATCAATATTAATATTGATTGAACTTCAATTATTCAGGACTAGAGTATTTATATGAAAGACACTGTAATTTCAAAATTTTAAAGAAAACCGAATATTGCATTCCTATTATCTTTACATTTCTATTATCAATACAAAATGTCCAAGTTACGTTTAAATAAAATCAAATTAGAACTGTGGCTCAATTTGATTTTATAATGTGATCATGATGTACATGTATTTGTTATTTTGTATTACCAGGTTCGGCTAAGGTTGTACATGAACCAACTCAATTATTTCCAACTATTGGGGGTCGACTGGAACTTCTATGTGACATTTCCTCAACAAATCCAAACTTACAGATAACTTGGTTCAAGAACGGCAAGCCCTTCCATCCAACAGAAGATAATAAAATTAATTTTTTCTTCAACAAGAAGATACTTGTATTCAGCTCTGTACAGGATGCTGACAATGGGAAATATACATGTAGTAGCAGTGACGGATATATGAATCCAAAAGCTATGATAGTAAAAGTGCAAAAGAAAGGTGAGTATCGTACAGTCTTTAAATGTAAATAAGATTATTCTGCCCTGTGGTATGTTTGGGTTTAATTTCTTAAATATCAGGCTTTCTGTACTAAAATGTCAGGTACTGAATAATGTAGACAATAAAAAGAGGAATATTTTGCACCAATAATCCTAAATTAGTGCACTGCTATATATATATAATGACTTTTGATAGATAATTTCTGAAATTTTACATTCAGGTTAAGAGGTCGTACATCTATGAGCACTAAAAACGAGTATAAAATCGCAAACCATACATAAACTACAGTTTATGAAATGTATTATTTTATTACTTACTCATGAAGTATTTATAATATCCCAAATGAGACAAAAATAAAGGCGAATAAAAAAAAATGCAGATTTTGTCCATATCAAATCAAATTTTAGGGCTTCATTTGAAATAATTATTTGATTATTGAATGAATATATAACAGTTTGAGTTTTATGACTTCTTAATAAATATAGATACTGCTACAAAACTTGTAAAGTTAATGAGCTATATTCATTATTAATTATATGTTCATTCAATGGTTTCAGATTCACAAATGTTTACCCAAATGTTTGGACAAGAATTCAGCAATAAAAACCAACAATATATGCAATCATTCGAAAGCAGTGAGTATATTGTTTAATGAAAATTCATAGATTATACATTGAACTAAATGTTTCATAGCTCTTTATCTGAAACATTTAACTTCAGTTATACACGTATTAGCTACAGCGTGTTCTACATTGTTTCTCTTTCGCTTACCTGGCTTACCAGCCAGCACTGGGGGGTTCTGAGATTTGATGATTTTTTTCCTTTTAACTTTCCCTCTTACTCTTTGTTTAAGACGTGAGAATTGATTATCACAACGTGTCATATTTTATAGAAAATAGAAATAGCATAAATTTTAGCTATGCAACTTCACTTACAAACCTCACTTTAAAATTGTGATTTTATTTCATCACCCAACCTTATTCCCTTGGCTTAAATTTGACGAAGTCTTGTCTCAATAGATAGAATATGTGACTTGAATGATTTCATTTATATAGGAGTATTTTTTATTCAACTAATTTGAGAAAGGTAATATAATCGGCAATATTAAAAAAATCTTTGTTTCAAAACCATTATCATACTCCTTTTATACTCCTTTTAAATGCATAGTTGTGAAATCAATCATGGGAATTAGCTTTTTAAAGAGAGTAAATTCCAATTTATCAACTTCTAATATCACAAATTTAGATAAAAGAGCTGTATCTGGAATTTATTGCATTTACAATGAAAAATTAAAAAGTTCACATTCAATTAAAGTTAGCCACCGCCATAAAGCTATAGCATGAACATTTTTATTGTTATAATTTTGTTAGTAGTGTATTAGCAATATGTTTTAGCACCCCTTTGTGTCGTTTTGTTTTGTTTTTTTTTTTTTTGTTTTTTTTTTTTTTTTTTTTTTTTTTTTTTTACAGAATTGTATGACACTTATTTGATTTTCCCCTTGATTTTCAATGTCAAAATATCGTTATTATCTGAGCTCTTGATCATTTTCTTGTAGACCTAATTACAGGTACGGAAAAACCAGAATCATCACAGAGCAAATATGACACACAGAACACATTCATGCATGTGCAGATTTAGCCTTAAATCAAATACAACAGAAGATCTATAAGGAAGCTCTAAACACTAATGAAAAATGTTTTTTTTTTTCTTTTAGAGAATTGTATCATATCAAGGTGTACATTCTATGTTTTTCTAGTTCCTTTTCATGTATTTGTCAGGATACCTGCCATATTTCCCCAGGAAAAAATGTTCAAAGACAATGAAGTATTAGTGAACAGAAATCATTATTGTTTACTTATATTGAGAAAATACATGCAAATAATGCTTTTAATTCCCTTTTCTTGGTGTATTATAATGTTAGCATTAGTTTAACCTGTTTCAAATTGTGTTATTTACTGCAGGTGCATACTGTTTATTCCGTTTTACTTTAAAGGGCAGATCATTCGAACGGCAAAACACTGCCATGGAATTAGAACTCTTTAGGGATAGTGTTTAGTGCTTCCTAAAATCAGATCACATTCTTAGGTGTCCGGTTTTAGATAAAAATCAGACCCCAAGATCATGAAGCAATCTTTAGACTTAAGTCAAAATTTTAGTCATTCTTAAAATGTATACTTATTGTAAACTGACATTTCAAAAATAAAATTAACAATATGAGAGTAAAGCGATTTTTAATAACATTTCAAAGTTTTAGTGCTTTCTATAACAATTTCTTTTTGACAATGTACTGACTAAAGTCTAAAACTGCTTAATGATCCTGGGACAAGATCTTGTCAAGTGAGTGTGTACTTAATAAAAATTAGCATTTTGAAAAGCTTACAGAGATTTGTCTCACAGATTACTAGGTAGAATAAGCATTTTTATTTCATGTGCATTACGTATCTGATGCTAATTTGATGAAAGTTATTCCTGCTTGAAAAGACGACAGCATGGTGCGGTAGTTAGAGTGTTTCGTTCAATAATCGCGGAGTAAAGTGTTAATCCTTATGTCACAGATTCGAATTCGACTGCGGGATATGGACACTGGTGTCTGATGACACTGTATAAACCTAAAATCGTGTGTCACAGTAGGTGCAGACACGAATAGATCCTCGCTGCTAAATAATCATAAGTGTCGAATTAAGGTCTAAATTTGCTGCCTTTCTGTGGTAATTGGTGTCATCCCAAAATGAATGAAATATTCTCTCGAATGGACGTACATCAAAACAAACGAATGAATATTTCCTTAAAGTGAAGGAATCCTACATGCAACAAAGAAATGTGCACATTTTAGGCTTTAACTGCCAAAAACAATCTACACAGAAGACAGTCATATACGTACTTTTTGTGCTTTTCACGGAAATAAGTAAGAAACAAGTAATAGAGCTATAAAACATATTTACGTTTATAAAGATTTTTCAATATATCTGTTATCTGAAAAATACTAGAATCTATTACACTTCTTAACATAATTTGCTAAATTACTTTTTTGCATTGTTTCTTTTTTTAATTAAACATGCTGCTATGATTACAAATGCACAAAAAATGACCAAATGTGCAGGGATGTACCCGATGTAATCTGACTTAAGATTTTAAAACTGATTATTGTTTAAATATATTTCCTTTGAACCGAAATTTTGAATAGGTATAGGGAAGGTTTATTTCTACATAGACTTAAAATATTTTTCTTAATTGTTGAAAAATATTCTGTGCTTATTACTCGATTACGACCTTAATATTGGGGTAAGATATATTCTTGTATACTTTATGTACATAGAACATTTAATAACTGAGATTTCTATCATTTATCTTTTAGCTGGTCCCTTACAGAGTGTACCTGTAGGATCAGGTTACTTTGAGATCACTTGCAATGTCAAATTGATGAATAACAGATCGGAAATCCGCTGGACAAAAGATGGTCAACCATTTAACATCGATCCAAACAACCGTGATGTCTATTTCTCTGCCGATAGGAGAAAGATAATTTTTGAAAATTTGTCTCCGGAGGACAATGGCATTTACACATGTCACGTCAATGATCCTTACGTCACATCCGCTTCCACAGACCTCTTCATTGAGAATCCGAGTAAGAAATTTTGTTTTTTTCTACACTAAATTACCTCACATTGATAATAAACAGTTGCTGTTTCTCTGGAGTTGTCTTTTATGTAGTTCCGTTGTGTTGATTTGTGTTTGTATTACAGATGACGCTATGGTGGTATACATGCCTCAGAAAAAGAATCCCGTGGTTGGCAGCGTGTTAGAACTTCGATGTGACGTCACCTCAAGTGAGCCTAATGTCCGGCTAACCTGGACTAAAAACGGCAAACGACTGACACCCAGTGACCGGGTCACAATGGAGCGGGGTAACACACTTGTCACCATACGCAACATCACAATCGCTGACAACGGCCAATATAAATGCATTGCAAATGGTGATCCATCAACTGCAGTTTCCACTTTTGTCAATGTTCATTCACGAGGTAAATACATTGTTATGTTCTTTTCCCTACTATTGGTATTTATTTTACAAAGTTTAGTTTGCAGTTACTTGCCTTTTACATACATTCAATTAAACTTTTTTATGTGAATCTTGTCTTTTTTCGTTTGTATTAATATTTCTCTTGTTTGGTTAATATTTAAACTGTACGTGTTTTCAATCTCAATGACCGAACTCTAGCTTTTGGTGGGAGACGTAAGTATAAATTATGAAATACACCAGAAAGATTTCTGCACCAGATTATTAAACGTAATTCGTCCAAAATCACAGCTTAAGGAGAAATACTATTTACATGTCGTTGTCAATTTGTTGCTTTAAGGGTAATTGTAGTGAAATGATCCTTTACGAACTTAATATTTTGGGAGAATGTCCATAGAAATTTACTAACTTAGTTAAACAATACTGTTTTCTCTTACGCATATTTTGTAGAATTGATCATCAACAATTCTTTGCAATGTACAAAAATTAATCTGTAGTGTTTTAGATCTGTTTTCACTATACCACTAGTTTTACAGTGTTCGACACGTGTTATTTCTTACGAAGTAGAGAAGTTTCAGAATTACGTTACAGTGTAACAATATAATACACGTACAAAAGGAAGTAATTGTGTTTGCCTCCTATAAACTTTCTAAACCTAATTTATATGTAAAATACATATAGCAAAATACAATATGACATGAAAAATACAAGATAAATAGAGCAGAATTTACATTTGAATTTTAACATGTTTTGCCTTTGCAGTTTAATCGTTGAATACGTGCTTTACTGGATGTATTGTACATATACATTGTATTTATCCAAATTTCTAGACAGGAGCCACTAAAGTTCATCTTAGCCTTATCTGGTATTGAACAGTAATGGTTGTATGACCAATTCCACTTCCCTAGTTGTGTAGGGAGAATATATTTTTGTAATATTTTTAACAAAAAATGTTCAGTATCATATCTAAACACTTCAATTTATTCAATATCATATGGAGATAACAAACAGTATTCAAACTCAGAAGTCCATTCAAACAATGCAAATCAAGAGCAGAGCAAACAGGGACCTCAAAAATACCAGAGGTGGGATAAGGTGCCATGGAGGAGTGGGTATCACCTGCCGACCAGTCACACCCGCCGTTTAATTCAACTGTTCGACTTTTTCCCTCGTAGAGAGGCAAACTCAGTTACATCCCTTAATATAACAACGCTGTGACGTAGTATTCAAACTCTGGTCATTGAAAGAAGTTAAGCATCAGTAACCTTGCTACACCGTTGAAATTATGCAAATAGGTTTATTTGAGCTTACTTGATCCACATATTCTGGCAATGGATTGCGCTTAACTTAACAGATGTCTGATTTTCTACTATGATCTGCCCTTTTTATCTATTTTTTGTGTATCACATTGTTTAAAATGTTAATTAAGAAATTAAATTTTTAAATTGGAAATTAAAGCCCGTTGCAGTGGAGACAAGAAAAATATTGTGAAAATAGGATATATTGGCCAAAAAGTCAGACAAGCAATTTGAAAAAAAAATCTATCTTATACATGCGTAATATTTAGTGACTTTTTTAAAAATATTTTTGTTATGGTCATGGTGGTGTCGTCAGGGGAATCTTTTCACAGGAATAAAGATAGAGTTTAAAAAAATTTAATCCATAACAATCAGGATGCCACTAGTCAAATATACAGCCGCAGCTATCTCTGTATGATAGCTCGATACAATGACCTTCTCAGCAGATACAATTTATCATTGAGTCAAATGCTGACTGACGTTTTTCATACTAACTGTTAGACCATTATTTACACACTGAATTGTCGACGGATTTTTCCTTTATTTCCCGATCATGACAAGGAGCACATGTCAGGTGTGACCGGTCGACAGGGGATGCTCACTCCTCCATGGCACCTGATCCCACCTCTAATGTTTTGGAGGTCCGTGTTTGCTCTGCTCCTATTTTGTATTGTTTAATGGACTTTTGAGCTTGAATACTGTTCGTTATCTCCATATATTTCATGATTCAAATTAGGTATATGATTGTTGAACTAAGTGCTTTAATCTATTAACAAGGTCAAAGTTAAACCCATTTTATAATTGTTGAAAACTCAATCTATTCCATTAAAAAGGGTAACTTCTCTGGTATTAATCACTTAAATGATTTTACTACATATATGTTAGTGTTACAAGGGGAAAACGTAGCAAAGTTGTGGATTGAGAACATCTAAATTTGATTTTCGCTAGCTGATTCAGAGGAAAAAGTGAATTTAAAATCCTTTTTATAATACACTATTTTAAACATGCAGTATTCATGAATTAACCTTAAATCGAGTGTCCCATGATGCTTTTTCTCAGCTATTAGGAAAATTTTAAAATGACAAATTTTATTACTTACTGAAAAGGTGCTTTTGTCTATTAAATTTATGAGTTTTTTCTCTTTATTTTGCAGAGGACATCCGAAATTCACATTTATTTGGAACATCCGCCGGAAATCAATTTTTCCTGGGTGGAAATCAAATGTCTGGAGGCCAGATAGTTCAAGGACAAACAATGGGCGGTCAAATGATTCAAGGACAAGCCTTAGGAGGTCAAATGATTCAAGGTCAAAATATGGGAGGAGGTCAATTCATTCAAGGCAATGTTGTTGGTGGTCAAATGGTTCAAGGCCAATATCTTGGTGGAGGTCAAATGTTTCAGGGTCCTGGCATGGCTAGCGGTCAGTCAGGTATTTGTACAAACTTACACTTAGCAAGTACATGTTAAAAGCAAATATTGTATATTGTATACAGCTGATATTTTGCAAGTTCAGTTTTGGTTCCTTTGATTGATCCATATTAAAAACGGATTTTAAAGAATAAAGTAATAAATGCTGATTGGGAGGGACAGAAAACTCCTATTATAGGAATTCAACATATATAGAAAACATATTATATAGCAAAATATGTTTGAGTGCAGACACTGATGTACAGTATTCCGTTTTCTATATGTGTTCATGTTTAACAGCTTTTTTTTATCTTGTACGAGTTGTGCTATGTAATTTCTCGTGTGTTCACTTGTCATGTACAGGGCCAAGAGAGGAGAAGACAATAACGTCGGGATACTTCGAGATTCATTGTAATTTATCTTTGAATTCACCTGGTGTATCACGAATAACTTGGTTGAAAGATGGAGAGACCTTTATACTGCCCTCAAACAGACCTGTGTATTTTAAAAACAACAAGAAAACCATTGTATTTACATCCGTGGCTCCAGAAGATAATGGCCAGTACACCTGTATTGTTGACAATCAGTATCTTGCCTCGGCAACAACAGATCTTTTTATAATGAATAAAGGTAGTACGGTTTCATCATAATTTTTATGCTACATGTTTGCAATCCTATCCATAAAAGGCAATGTGTCATTTATTTATTTAATTGTTTTTCAGAGTTCTTTAACAAGGATTGGACACGTAAGTAAGGCAAAGGATGTTGTGCGTAAATTTATTTTCAAAAAATTTCCTTGCATATAATTGTTTGTTTGGAAAGTTTGTCATCTGTACAATTGTTTCCTTTTTGTAAATTTGAAATAAATATGAATTATAGCATAAGAGCAATTCACAAACATTTCTATCAGTAATAATAGAACATATTTAAATATTTTCTTTTGAATAATTCATTAGAGCTAAGTACAAAATGAACAATGAAAAAGCGTGCAAAATTTTACAAGAACTATTTGTCATTTTTCCTTCATTTAATTTAGAAAATGCTGTGGTTGTATACGAGCCGGAGACGTTGAATCCACTTCTTGGAACCCGTCTTGAGTTGACATGTCAGATTACTACAACTAACCCAAATATCCGCTTGACTTGGCTGAGAAATGGAGTCCCTCTGGAGCAAACTGCTGATGGAAGAGTCCAATTTCAAAATTACAATCAATTATTAGTGCTTGATCCAGTTGAGATGATAGATAATGGAACATACACCTGCCAGGCCAATGACCGTCAGAGGACATCAGTATCAACTGTAGTTAATGTCCACGAACGCGGTGTGTGCTTCATCTACATGTTTTCTAGAACACTTAGATAAACCTATCTCTCTTGCTCATGTTGAATGAATTTCATATTTTGAAACTATATTTTAGAAATCAAATTCCATGTGAATGAATACTTAAAAAAATTAATATGTGATGAAAACAAATGGGCCATAAAAGAAAAGCAAAATGTCATTTAATTTCAGATGAGAGCAGAACAGTACTCACTTCGATGTCATTATCTTCTGGATCCACATTTGTCAAAAGTAAGAGTACTTCTTCCCCCGCATAGTCTCTATAAAATGTCATTTTTACAATCTTAAATACTAAACATTCGCATTTACGTCTCTACTTACACTGGACATCAGTACAGTTTCAATTTTTATATACTGTATCAAAAAGCTAGAATGGCAGATTTTTAAAAAGAAGAAGATAAAAATGTACATTAAAAAATGATAAGACATGATACTGTTATAACACATGAAATGTTAGATATTATACAGTTAAAAACATTATACAGATTTATTACAGATATGTTGTCAAATAGTTTTAAAAGTAATCGATTAAAATTTTAAATTCCATGATTACAATATTACAATTAATTATTTTTGGATAGTAATTGATTAAATTAAAATTACTTTTCCTATGTGTTCATTATAACATTAAATGTCATTTTCAGGAAATGTTTCCCTAACGTATATAACAATTTGTAATGAATATAAGATTTGAGCATATTTCATTGTCTTTTATCTTTTAAAATGTAATAGGGAAACAGTTCTAAAAACTTATGCTACATGTTGAATCATTTATAGCAAGCATTTCTACGTACATGTATATGAGCCACAGTTTGAAATGAAACAATTCAGAGGATCGCATTATTCAGGGGACCAATAGCTATATGAGTTATACAGATATGATACAAATAAAAAAATATTGTCGGAATACATATACATTGCATGTATTAAATACGTTAAGCATTTGAAATGAATTTTAGAATCAGAAGTTACTGAAATATTTCATGTATGGAAAAGGAATGAGGTTTTGTATTTTAGGAAATCATTAAACTACATATTTTCATTTGTTCCTTTCACTGACCCCTCAGCTGCAGTTGAGACATCAAAACATATAAAGAAGTGACTTGGACATAGTTTGACTTGCCAACTCGGATTTTCTTTTTTGTTCCATGTATAACAATTCACTCTATTTGGAAGGAGAAAATAGTTAACACTATCTTTGTTTAGGCATTGACCATGCAAATTTAATTCATCTGAAATATGTGTCCAGTTAGAGTGGGATTGATTACATGTTGTTATCATCAATAGTTAACATAAACGTGACACAATTTCTTCTACAGTACAAATAACATATAGACAGACAATTGCAAAAAAGAGGAAAGATTAGAGATGATACAATTATAAACAACGAGAAAGACTAGACATTGCACATTTATTAAACTATAATTCAGTAATTAGATGATTTTGTAACTTTATGTTCCATCCTGTTATAAAGGGTTTGTTCCCTTACATATTCACCAAATTAAATGAAAGAATTAAGGTGACCTTCAAACGAAAAAATTTTCAGGCTCTTCATCTCTCTAAAGAGAGCAAAATCATAATATTAATTAAAGTAATATTGAAAAAAAAATACTTTCATCATTTCTATCTATGTACTAATTACCAATGTACATGTAATTATTTACATGACTTTTATTATCATTTTAGGTAACTCCTTAAATGAAGTGAATATCAGATCAGGATACTTTGAAATTAACTGTCTCCTGGATGATGACAAATCCGAGGTTTTTTGGGCAAAAGATGGAGAATTGTTTACACCACCGTCTGACAGAGCGATATATTTTACCAACAATAAGAGGAAGATAGTTTTTGAGGGACTGAGATCTGCAGACAGTGGCCTGTATACATGTGTGGCCAATAATCAACACTTGTCTGCTGCATCTACAGACATCTTTCTGGAGTCTAATATGGGTAAAAATGATCTAATAGCATGTTTTTACCTTATCATCTATTCGATATTTTACATTAATGAACAGATTATCCCTCTCAGGTTTCTTAAAAATAGAATTACAATCAATGTACATCTACAAGGGAGAACTTAATGATATAATTATTTTCAGAGTATTGCTGAATATTTTGTTACTTCCTGTCCTAACAAAATTTAATATTGCATAGCATTCAAATGCTGATAATAATACAAAAAATCTAAAAGCATCAGAGATGGGATCAGGTGCCAACGAGGTGTGAGCTCCTTGTCATGATCGGGCAATCGGAAAAGTCTTATGAATAAATAGAAATTAAAAAAAAAAAAAAAAAAAAAAACGTGGTTCGGTGGTAGTTTTATAAATTCTTTTGGACAATAGACTCTGTTTAATTCCTTCATGTAATATTGTTAAAAAAAAAAAAAAGTTGGAATATTTTTTTTATTTTGGAAGAATGATTTGGGATTGTAACTCCTCATATTATAATAATAATCAAATAGCGAGGAAATTACGGCACTGTTAATACACGCAGATATTCAGTCACCGCTGGTTTAAATCATAAATAGATCGTTGCCAACTACAGCTTAAAAATTTCGTACACTAACATTATTTAGTGAACTACTGTACATTCACTTATTTATTGGGGCCAATTTTTATGGTTTTTAAAGAAGTATTGGTAGGGATTTGTTTTCATGTTGAAAAAAAAAACAATGTACGGTAGTTTGAAATTTTATTATCTCGTGAAGAACATAAAGGCATGAGGTTCTTCATACAAAAATAAGCAACAAAAATAAATCCCACGCAAATTAAATAAATGATTTTTACAGTTAATGAATACACACATATTTTGGAAATAAATATATTGCTACTAAACTAAAGTGCAAAGATATCATAAGTTTTGTAACTTTGTTTGATAATTTACTTTATTACTTTGTTTAGGTGCTCCCAAAATTTGCACGAGTGCAAGAAGGCATATTATGAATAAGTTTTCATGGAACTTTTTAATTTAGCAGCGTTCTCGTTTGAGTGCCTTCCACGTATAAATTGTTGGCATATTTCCAGTAAGGTCCAGTCTTATTTATTTGAACCCAGATGTTTAAAATGTTTAAAGTTTTTTTGAGTTGTGTCATCCTGTTTAATAATACATACCAATAGTTTTCTGGGGAAAACTAAACAAGCAAAACTAGTACTTACATCTTCATTTTCTTCTGCCAATAGTTGAAACAATAGCAAAAACATGCCAATAGTTGAAAAAAAAAAAACATGAAAAGGTGGAAGACTTCTCGTGGAGAATGATCCTCAATTCCAAAACGTTTATTGAAAACGTAATTCATTGTAGACTTACTGATATTCTTGCAGTAATTTGTGCATAAGGGGGTAGCAACTAAATACTAAAAGAATATCAATCAAGAATTTAAAAATTAAAATGAAATTGCAAAATAATAATTTCTTTTTTTTGCACCTTTGTTTGATAACAATATATTTATTTCCAAAATGTGTATTTAATTAGTTCACAAAAACGTAAGGATAATTTTTATGTTTTTAGCTGTAGAATTTGAGCCCTGTTCTTGCTTGATTGAAAAGAAATCGATTATCATTGACAACAAAAATTTGTTTTCTGTGTGTTATATTTGTAACTTGTATCTAGATGTAGGTATTCAAAAAAAAAAAACATTTCTGTTAAACATTTAATTTTTTTGCGATGTACAGATGTAAGAATGACAGTGTTTTTGTACAATACCCTGCTTTGTTACTTTATGCATTCTTTAGGTTGTGTTCTAAAAGCAACAAGATACGTCAACACATCTGCACGTGAACAGGTTTTGTTTTTCAGATAATGCAATGGTAGTATATGTACCTCGCCGATACAATCCCATCGTCGGGAGACGTTTAGAAATCAAGTGTGATACCAGGTCGACAAATTCCAATCTGAAAGTGACATGGTTCAAAGAAAATATTCCTCTAAATCCAAGAGACAATCCGAATCTAAGCTTCTTGGAGAATGGCCGAAAGTTAGTATTCAACTCTGTCAATATTGGGGACCAGGGAAAATATATGTGTGCAACAGATGACCCTAACATAGCTGCCTTGACAATGTACATACAACCGCATGCTAACGGTACGTAAAAGAATAGCCAGATAAGATTTGTTGAAATTTAATCTTGTCATCATCTTCTCTTTTTTCTAAGAACAATAATCTCTAATTTTTCAATTTTCAATTTCAACGCATTTTTAAATATTTATAAGAAAACACTAATTTCACTCATTACTTCTTTTGTTGACGCTGGCTATTGTACAATGTAGCTTTGAAAGGACATTTCCTCCAAAGCTTTTTTTTAATTGTTCGAAATTCTTCAAGCTATTTCACTAAAATTATATTCATGAAGCGTTTTAATCAAAACATGTAAAATAAATTTTTAAAAGTAAATACACTGTATAACATTTTCTCTTTATTTACTGTAAATGCATTGTGCTAGTGTATTCAAATTTATAGCTTATATAGGTCAGACATATAGGCAGTGGCTTTATTCATTACGACCGTGCTTTCGTATTTTGGTGGAAAGAGTGAAATAACGCTTAGCACTTAAGACTCATAAAGATGATTGTCATTGAAATGAACAAACATACTCAGTGTAATACAGGAAATTATAACTGTTTTTTTTTTCTAAAATGCCTGCAGTGATTCATTGTATGTATGCCAAAGGCATCGATATATCTAGCATCCTAGTTCATATTTCAGCATTTCAAATTAACATGTTCTTGTGTTGTACAGAGGCCGCCAGACAACGGTATTTTGGATTCCTTGGAGGCAGACCAGGTATATTTCTATTTTCTTTACTATTGCATTCTTAAATAATGTTTTATTTAACATTCATGTTTTGAAGTGTAAATCTTATACAGTACCAATTTTGATGCATCAGATGCACATTTCGACAAATTATGTCTCTTCAGTGATGCTTATGCTCAACATAGAAGAAAAAATAGATGAATCTATAAATATTTTTATTAAACTGTCAAAATTCTGGAAAACTTCATCTCATGCTTAGCTGGACCACAGATTGAATTATTTCGAAAGTTGTGAAGATTCAAGTTACTGTTTGTTAACTAATTGACTTTCGGGACTTAAAGCTGACTATGATTCGTTAATAGACGTTAATAGACATACGTCATTTTAATTAGCCTATCTTCAATACTAACCCTGGAGTATACCCTTTGCATTCGTTACACATGATTCTCTAGGGACCGCTGCTACCTAGGAGACAAAACATTTCTTCGCAAGAGTACACGATATAAAAATAAATAGAAAACAAATAAATAAGAAAAAATTATTACACCTAGTAAAAATACCCCGAATAGACACCCCGAAGTATGAATCTCATGCACATGTAAAAAATATCCTTGTGCATATACAAACTCATATACAGAGCTCTATTAAAATTATAAAATTATTTGTAAATCTTTCAAAAAAATTTTCCAACCAAGTTACACGTGCTCTTATTTTGGACTCAGGCGTGTAGAAGAATTACTGCAAAATTTTCATTAAATTCCTTCAAAGCAATGTCCAATAGTACGGAGTTTTATGCACGTAATACTACGATTTCCCAATCTCCTTTCTCTCACAATTCTTACAAAATGAAATACACATGTACGAGGGGTGATCAAAAAGTTCGCGAACTAATTGAATTACTTCCTTAAAAGAAATAAAATGAGGTTTCAGTGTTTATTATTTTTTAAAGTAGTCCTCTTTGATTTTAATGCACATCTGTCATTGTTCTGGCCATGAGCGAATCACGTGATCCAGGCAGTCACGTGACATGCTCCGTAGCAGTCTGTTCACAGAAGCAAAAAGATTTTTCCGAGTCTTATATTTCTTACCATGCAAGTTATTTTTTTTATAACAAGAACAGTCCATCTGTCAGAAATCGCCAAATCTCGGCAACAGGATTGGTGGATAAGGATATCGTTCCCACAATTAGTACGGTGACCCATCACAACCCGAGTCCTCTGTCTCGGGAGCGTCGTTTATCCAATCTGGATAAATTATGGGCGCCTTCTTTTTATATATCTCATAAGTCTAAAGTAAACGATATTTTAGGGATTTAATAATTACATTATTGTTAAGATATTCAACCATTTTTCGAATTGTAACTTGACGATGTTTCATAACAAAGTGCTCAACTAAGAACACATCTTTTCCCCGGCTTCCTTTCGCTTGGCAACAGAACAAACATCATCTCCCTGCCTTCACTTAAACAAATAATCCAATTAAAGATTGAACTTCTGCTAAGCCTTTCGTCTTCATAAACCTTGTACAAATTATCATATTCTACTGCAAAGGAATTTCCAAGATATACGTTAAACTTTACAGCCGTTCGTTGCTCGAGTACGACTGAGTCAACCATTTTTTGTCACAAGTAACCTACATATTGACGTCATTTTCACGTTGTGACGTCACAAACATGGAGCAAAACATTATTTAACATCTGTTATTTATAGAACATGCGTATGACTATATGTGTGCCAAATGTCATTCTGATCTGAACTGTGGTTTTGTAAATATAGAGATAGTTCGCGAACTTTTTGATCACCCCTCGTAGGTCTAAAAAGGTAAGCAACTTTGATATCTGAATTCTTCTCACACCTACTTATTGATCTGTTTTAGCGGTGGACTCAACAGTCCGAGTAGTGTCTGGAGTGGTGAGCCTTCAGTGTGATGTAGCGAACGGTGCCACAAATATTGCTTGGTATAAGGATGGTGTACCTTTAGACAGCAGTGTACCAGGAGCTTCCTTTGAAGATGATTACCAAACATTAGTCCTATCCCAGTTTGGACAATCTAGTGAAGGAAACTATATGTGTTTATCAGAAGGTCCGAGCTGGCGCTCTTCATCCAAAGAACTAACCTATATTAGTCCAGGTACTGCTTACATTAATTTTGCTTTGTATGGACTGTTTTTATTCTAAATATTTATACCATGTTTTTGCAACATATATTAACATTTAAATTTGATACAGACAAGATAGATGTTTAGACGATATATTTTACTTTGCAGTTATTGGTTCACATCGTATGACTGAATGTTTGATTGTTTACATTTAAACGAATAATATGTACATCAATCTTATTTTTCTTTATTTTTTTTCTTTTACCAAGTGTTTTATTTATTGTGATCATTCTCAGTTATAAGACATTTTATTTTCATAAAATGCAGTTGAGGCCGGTTTGACAACAAAACTAATGAAAATGTATCCGTTGTTTAACTCGGCACTGGAAATTAAATGTGGTATTCCGGGACTACAGCCTGGAGACACCATTACTTGGGAATTTGAGGGTCGATCTATAATGCCAGAACCCGATCGAGTCATGTTCTTGGACGATGATAGAACCTTATGGATCAGTTCTTTTAAACCTACAGATATTGGAAGTTACTCTTGTAGTGCTAATGGTTTTAGATGGTCAGTTTATGCAAACGGATATTACACTGGTGAGTAGGCTTTTTAAGATGATACTTGTTATACAAAGCGCAAACACTGACATATTTAACCACTTGAACCATATCAATCAGAATAAGATATATATATTTACATGAAATACTTTCAGACATTCAAAACCTTGAATAAAAATGCAGGTATAAGCCTATATTTAAAGATTTTGCAACATAGAGAGCTCAGACATTTAAAAAAAATAAAAAGCGTATGTTACTATCATATTCTTATAGCAGTAAAGAATGACAACAGAGATAATGCAATTATGTATGCGTTAAATGCATGTGGTTTCTGTGCTTTGGAGCTTTTCTAATTCAGTTCTTTTTTCTATTTACTCAACTAAAATGATAATTTTATTTGTACAGCATCACAAAGGAATCGTGCTCTAGGAAATCCTATATTTCTGAGACCACTGATGTACGGTCCACAAAGACAAATACGCTTTGGTAGGGAATAGATCACTTTGGCTGTTTACTGTTTTATCTATTTATTAAGGCTGAGCAACAGTTTTTCATGATGTATAATTATACTTTTAGGAATGCCAATGAGATATCCAGTAATGGCGGGAAGAGTGGAAATTATATGCGGAATCCGAAATAATCCTAACACTGTTGTTCGTTGGTTAAAAGACGGCCGGCGAATTCGTAGACCTCAGCCCACCTATTATATGTATAATGGCCTGGTCCTTGTATTGATGGATTTTTCTGCCTCTGATAATGGCATATATACTTGTGTAGCTAGTGATGGAACAATGTCGTCTTCCTCCACCAGACTACAATTCCAAAACCCTGGTATATTCTTTTTTTTCTTTTTCCTAACTTTCTGCAGAATAAGATTGAACGAAAAGTAAGATGTCAAAATCACCAAGTTAACAAATCAACTGCTGCTTGACACATAAAGTTTTAAATCAATGGAAATCTGTTATTTCTTTATATAATACATTGACGAAGAGTATACGATATTTTAAGATATGAAACTTATCATTGAATTCTTTTTTGGATTGTTGTATTTAATGGACTACTCATTTAAGATTTTTTAAAAGTTGAATTGTCAGTGAATTTAATCCCTTATGAAAGAAAACAATAAAATTGAAAACAACCATACCGAGCAACTCTTTTCCAAATATGTTTAATCACATTGTAACTTTCCTGTGCATCATTAATTTGAATAAATGTAGGACAGGTAACTCGTTCCATTGAAATGATTAAACAATTTTTTATTTAACTCATTCCTATACATTTGTAAATCAGAGGCTGCAACAGCAACTTATGATCCACCTAAGATGAATCCAGTCATTGGAGAAAAGGCAGAGGTATTATGCAACATTCCAAACCTACCTCCAGGTGTAACTCTAAACTGGCAAAAGGACGGAGAGCCGTTTGATACTCCTAACGAGAGAGTTAAGTTCTACGATAATAACCGTAAAATTGAGTTCAGCTCCGTATATCCTGAGGATGCAGGCACCTATGTTTGTATAGCAAATGATGAAATAGGAACCACTTATTCGACAAAAGTTCAAGTCTTCAGTGATGGTTTGTATTTTTCGTATTATTTTTCAAAATTACAAAAAAAAAAAAAAAAATCTTGTACATGTTATTTAATGATTGAACAATTCCAGATACTCTTCGACAAACCAGTGTTTATGGGAACCCTACATTTTTACTTTCGCAGAACAACAGACCATTGCCTAATCTGAATATAGGTAATTGTGCCATATGAATGCCCATTTTGAACGTCAATGTAATTTTCACATATTTCATATATCTTTTTGTTAATATTAAAGGCGGTTCGTTGGAACTACCTATTCAATCAGGGACTGTAGAGCTCTTATGCGGAGTCCAGTCTTCTAATCCTAATGCCGTCTTTACCTGGTTGAAGGACGGACAATATCTCTCCAGGACACCTGTGTACTACAAAGACGATGGCCGTGTGCTTGTTATTCCAAACTTTACACCTGCTGACAGGGGGAATTATACATGTGTCACTAATGACGAAACAATGCCATCATCATCATCCATTCTGAATTATATTTCACCTGGTCTGTATATCGAAATCTCATTTTATTAACTTATTAAAGAATGCAGAGCATACATACCAAAATATATGTTTAGATTTAATAATTTTGCTCGTATGATAAATTTCATACATTAAGATATATACTGTTTCTTGAAAATCATACTTGTAGTATTTAGATAGAATTTCCCCAAGTTTACTTCCCCTGAACTCTCTGGGTAGCAGATTTGATGAAAAATAATTTGTCTTTTTAATCACATGCTAAATTCAATTTAATCATTTATTTGCCCATCCAAGGTAGATAAATGCATTTATGTTGCGTATAAAACATGAATTTTGTGACCTTAAGATTTAAGAGAACTCTTTTCTAATGTAACCATGAAAACTAAATAAAAAATGAGTAAATATTGTCTTTATACATTGTCTCTAAGATCTTCAAGTTTTGTTAATGTTGAAAAACTCCTGACCGTTCTAGTTTGATTTCCCCCGGAAACCTTACTTTTTTCCCTCGTCAAGTTGTTTCGCACAATTCCTTTGATCCTACACTAACACATGTAAAAATAAAATAAATCAATGGCCTGGATAAAAATAACTCAAATACAGTTTATATTTGTTGAGTAATTTTTTTTCTTCAGAAATCAGATTAAATATCTCAACCAAGGGAAAGGAAATGCACAACTAGTATCTCGTGCAGATTTTGAATTGTTTCTCTGCTCCAAATTTGTATCGTTTCATTGAACTTTAGAGATTAGAGATTTAGAGGTTGTCTTCATATTTCATCTAAGATCTAAGATTAGAGATTAAGAGGTTATCTTCATATTTCATCTAATGTTATTAGAGGTCCATGTTTGCTCTGCTCCAAATTTGTTGGTTTCAGTGGACGTTTTAGCTTTATTATTGTTTGTTATTTTTTTATATTTATTACACTAAATGATCCATAAATGATTCAGACAGCAACTACATTCAACGTAAAAATTACTGATGAAGTCCTTAAGTAAAATTGTTTATCTTGAGAAAGATAAAATTAGAACTCAACTGTAAAACATAAGCTGTAAACGTTTAGAATAAAAATGATAAAGCTTTTTCTAAAAAGTAAAACGTAATCTTGAAGAGTTCTTAAACACAATTTATTGAATTCAAAATATAAGGGGAATGGAAATTGGCGAGAAAGGGTTTATTTGCAAATACAAAATGTATTGGTTTTAGCTAAAGACCATACCAATATTCTTCCTCTTCAAATACAAAACGGTTACATTATTTATCATTATGTCACTAACATTTAGCCTTCAGTTTGATTGAGTTTCAATGTTCCTTTGAAATCCCACTATATTGTACATAAGCATCAATGAGGGCAGCTGATGCTCTATCAATTTCTGTTATGTAAAAATACAAAATATAGAAAAAAATGGAAAACTAGTTCCTTTTTCTTTTAATGCATTAAGGATTTGAATTTTTTACCATCTTCTCTTAAAGGTACCGGCAAAATGGCTACTTTGAAATAATAATAATAAAAAAACAAGTTCAGAATCTTATGTTACGAAAGGGCAGTATTTCTTAACATGAAAGTGAAATGTTATACTACTTGTTAAGTAAGAATTTTAGTATTACATGTATGTTTTGCATATACATTATTAATATAGTAAAACATGCTTATAGCGAACACGCTTATAATGAATTGACACTTATAGCGAAGTGATTTATATTCCCCGTGACTTTAAAATATTGTAAACTTAATGGATATAACGAAATACGCTTATAACGATGCAAAATCGCCCGTCCCTGGCACTTCGTTATAATCGTGTTTTAACTGTATTGACATACGTATTAATTATTGCATGTATTATTAATTGATGTTTATTGTTTAAGTAATAAGGTGCTAAAAATTAAATTGTCAAAATATTATTAAGTGATTTATCAATGAAAATTGTACTGTTTATTTTGATTAATGGGACCCCATTAGCTGTCAAACTGTAATGGTATCTAGAAACAGTATTCAGATTTCAAAAAATGTGGTTACTTAAATATTTTACTTCGATATTAGTAAATAATAATATATTATTCAAATTATTTATTACTGACAAATATGTGTAATTGTTTATGTGTTATGATGTGATGCCAAATAAATGATGATGATGATTCTTTATGTTATTAGACCTTGCTGAGGCTAAATACGAGTCGCCCCATTTAAATCCTCTGGCCGGAAGGAAAGCTGTTCTGATATGTAGCATTCCCAATCTTCCTCCTAGAGTAGATGTATTCTGGGAGAAGAATGGTCAGGCATTTAATACCCCAAATAAAAGAATAAAGTTCTTGGATAACAATCGTAAGATTGAGTTCAGTGAAGTGTATCCACAGGATGCTGGCAGCTACACATGTCGAGCTAATGATGGATCTTTGATGAAGTATTCCACCGGAATCTATGTTTTTGATCGGGGTTTGTATCATTCGATTCCATTTACATTATTAGCTAAAATGTTCTAAATAGCACACTAAAAAGTTATAATCATATTAATATGAACTAGTTTAAAACATTTAAAGAAAACAAATTCAATTTATAGTGTCTTGGATTTGAACAGTACTATAATGTCATATCAAATGAATCAATGATTATATTCTCTCCTCGAAAAATGACCAGAAACATCTCTTGAAAGAAATTCTGAGATAGAAATTAAGACTGTATATTTCAAATTATTTCCAGATCAAGATAGAAGAGCATCAGTTTATGGTCCATATATAGAAGACTGGCAACCAGGATCGGATATCGGCCAAATGACAGGTAGGGAATATATTAATATATGAACGCCAAACTCTAATTTGATATTTATGCTTTGTTACCTGAGTTTGTCATGAAAATCCCTTTGTCTGATGTTTCACTTTATAATCATGAGTTATTTGTTTGCATATATTTGTGTTTTGTTTTGTTATAAAATGTTGTTTTGTTTGTTTTTAGCTCTTATGGTCAGACATCATAAGAGCTTATGCGATAATAAGGTGCCGGTCGTCCGTTCGTCTGTCTGTTTGTCTTTTCCTCTGTCTGTAAATATTTTTAAAATTGCTTAGCCTACCGTTTTTGTCCAATTTAATTAAGATACAAATAGATTATCGAAGATCAATGTTTAATTTCGATAAATAATGTTGACGTTTACTACTAATAATAAAAAATTCTATGATTTTCTTTCAAAACGCTATTATTCGACAGTTCTGGTCTGATGTCATTTAAATTTTATGCAATAGACTATCATAAGATGAATAATTCATTTATCTTTTTCTATTAGTATGACAAATAATCTTGTCATGGTTGCTAAAATTAGAAATTTCTATGAAATTCTTTCAAAATGCTCTCGTCCAAAAGTTTTAATCCGATTTCAATAAATAAGTAGACTACAGTAAAGTACATCTTTTTACTTCAATTTTGAAGTTACCAAAAATAGAAATTTCTGCAAAATACTTTCAAAATTGCCTTCTATTGCGTTTGCTCTTTAGTAATCACTTGTTTGTATATCTGTGTGCTTGCTTAAGAATGCATTAAACTTAAGCATTAAGCACCTTGAGAATGCAATCAAATTTTTAACAGGCATCCTTAACCGAATATGCAGTATAGTATACGTTCTTAACATAAATTGTATACCAAGAAACACCTTTCTATTTTATTTTTTTTTAAGAAAATTAGAATACGTTTTCAATTCTCTGTTTAACCGCAGCTATTATTTTTTTAAAAAATGAGGAAATTAAAATCAGTGATCTGCATAAAATATTCTTATCGTTTAATTTCATTGAATCTGTCCAGACTCCTGTTGTCTATCTAACATTAAAGTAGACATGAATAACATGGCAATTCATACACAAAATCTGTTGACTTGAGTAATTAGCAAACACCTATTTAGGGAATATATAATATTATTATTATCAATCCCTTGAAATGGTAGTGCTAGGTCTGTCTGCGCGTAATAGTCATTTGTTTTTGATAAATATATTATACTATCTTAAATTACGTTTATTCTACCTCATTATTGCATACAATGTAATTTTGAATTCTGTATTGTTTTAAATAGGTCAGCAGCCGACAGCCATTAATCCAGATATAATGCTTGAACAACCAACGGTTGTCAATCCAGATGTATTTGGTGAACAACCAACAGCTGTTAATCCGGACACAATGGGTCAACGGCCGGTAGCAATTAATCCAGACACAGTGGGTGAACAGCCAGTGCTTATGAATCCAAATACAGTGGGTGAACAGCCAATACTTATCAATCCAGACACGGTCGGTGAACAGCCAGTACTTATCAATCCAGACACAGTGGGTGAACAGCCAGTACTTATCAATCCAGACACAGTGGGTGAACAGCCAGTACTTATCAATCCAGACACGGTCGGTGAACAGCCGGTACTTATCAATCCAGACACAGTGGGTGAACAGCCAGTATTTATCAATCCAGACACAGTGGGTGAACAGCAAGTAGCTCCATTCCCAGGTGCAAGTGGTGAACAGCCGACCTCTCTCTATCCAGGATTAACACCTCCTCAAAGTATTATTCCTCAAGGTTGGTGAAAGCTGTTGCCGAGTGCAGAATTGTTTAAATATATTTGGCGTAAAATAGAAATTAATTAATTGATGCAGAATTTACCTGATGTAAACTTATTTTACTAGGTCAACCCATGTCTTTGCCCATCGACGCAGGTAGACTTTATCTCCGTTGTGGTATTCGAACAAATAATCCAAACACTATAATCCGCTGGTTGAAAGATGGTCGCCCAATCCAGAGGAATCAACCAACGTACTATATGTTTAACGGAAGAATACTAGTGCTAATGGGGTTTTCTGCTTCTGATTCAGGCCAATACACCTGTGTGACTAATGATAGGACAATGTCTTCTTCATCTACAAGTCTTCAGTTTGAAAATCCAGGTTTGATATTTTAAGAAAATGCAAATATAAATGAGAATTTATGCATTTATTTAATTTTATTTATTTATTTGATTTATTTATTTATCTAATTAATTTTTGTATTTATTTAACCAGTTTATAATATCTCAAGAAGAAATGAAGAAATGGTTCACTTAGTACCTTTTGGCTTTGTTAATTTCTGAAAAAAACTCGATTTGCTCAGTTTCAGTTGACAATGCAGAAACTATCACTTGGGCCCTTGGTTACTGCATATTTATTAAAAATGATGTAATTTTCTCGCAAATCAACGTATTATGATGTCAAAAATTGCGTCATTATTACCATATCCCGAAAATTCTATTACATTGTAATAAGCCACAATTTTTAACTTCTCAGCTACGTTAAGGAAGGCCTGAATTCACTTTTGTGAGGCACTGTGTAGCAAGTATCATTGTGACGTCATCAAAAATTTAACAAGTAACAGAAATGAATTATACAGCATGACAATGCGTACATAAAAAGATTGCATGCATTCGTTTTATCTATTATATATTAGGGAATGCAAAATCTCACCATTTAATAACAAACTGGCGAGCTTTTTTAGAAACAAATCTTGTGTCATTTATGACGTCATTTGTCTTGACTTGACGCAGTACAAGTGATCCAGAGGAGTGGATCCATTGGTTTGATAATTACAAAATGCTTAATTCAATACAGAATCCTCGTCAATATTTCAATCTCATAATTAAAACTGAAAACAAAACATTTCTGAAAAAAACATTTGTATATAATTAATTTATCAAGACCTTATAAAGCGTCAGAGAATGTAAAGAAAATCGCTAATACGATGTAATCATATTCCCGATAAACCTCAAAAGTGCATGGGCATACACTTGACTGTTTATGCTGAAATAAGAAATCTTGTTTATATCATGTATATTCTAAAAATTGCTGGGAGTTGATTCTGCTCTGAAGGATATCTTTTAAATTCATTACGATGCAGAGGCGAAGGGGAATTTTTTTGTTATTGCACGCATTGTCGACAAAATTACGAGTACTTCCCAAATAACACAAACTAACTCCCAGCGATTTTCAGGCAATAGTACTTTTTTCCACATCCAGTCCAATAATTCTATTTTTATACCAGTCACGTGACACACAGCTATTACAATAACTGCTACTAATAACGACACAAACCTCTTCCTTATAGGCAACTATATTACTTTTCCTACAATTTTAGTTACTTTTTTGATAGTGATTATTAAATGTAATACATATTGAGAGGTATTAAAATCACATTTCCCATTCCCGTCCTTAACATAGCTGAATATTTTTTAATATTTCATATAGAGCACAACCTCTGATCATAAATGTTCAATTATATCATTATAGAAGTGTTTCTGCAGATTATTAAAGATATCTTATTTTTTTTATAGAGGGGTCTGTTCATATACTAATTTCTTTGCTGAAGGTACTCATATACATCAAAATTCAAAAACATTGCAATTTCGCAATGCCTGTTTTCCAAAATCTGGACTCTCAAAGGAATATTTGTTAAGGAAATGAAAGCACTAAAACTCTTCTTTATATTAATCTTTGAAATGGAACATCGAGTGGTAGTCAATGACTTGGTATAAGGAGGAAAATGTTATGCAAAAATTAAACCCTGGTATTTTTGAATATTTCTCAATCTTTACCTTTTTATTTAAAAAAGGTTCAGCAACAGCTGTATATGGTCCTCCAGCATTGAATCCACTCACTGGGGATAAGGCAGAAATCGTCTGCAATATTCCAAACTTAGCTCAAGGGGTTTCCGTGTCATGGGAGAAGGATGGTCAACCATATGACGTTCCCAGCACCAGAGTCCAGTTCCTTGACTTTAACCGTAGAATTGTGTTTAGTTCAGTATATCCAGAGGATGTCGGCAACTATGTTTGTATTGCAAATGATGAAATTGGAACCACTTACTCGACAAATGTAAACGTCTTCAACGATGGTAAGCATAAGCAATTCTGCAAATTTCTGAATGTTTTTGAACATTTCTCACAATTGTTGTGTACATTTTGTGAATAAATGAAAAATATCAAATTCTGATTTTACAGATACTCTTCGACAGACCGATGTTTATGGAAATCCTACATTTTTGCTTTCACAGCTAGATAAGCCCCTACCTAACCTGAACATTGGTAAGAAATGTCTTTTAATAATATTTTTATATAACTCAAATTTTGTCCTTGAGTCATTTTTTTAATGTTTATGTCTATATATATGTGTGTAGGAGGAACATTAGACCTTCCTTTAGAATCGGGGACAGCAGAGCTGTTATGTGGAGTGCAGACATCGAATCCAAATGCCGTCTTCACTTGGATGAAAGATGGACAACCTCTCACAAGGACACCAGTTTATTATCAGGACGATGGTCGTGTGCTGGTCATTCCAGACTTTTCACCTGCTGATGATGGAAAATACACATGCATTGTAAATGACAGAATGATGTCCACTTCTTCCACAGATGTTAGATACATAAACCCAGGTAATTAAACACTTTAAATTTGAACTATGTCTATATAGCGTTAATTTTTTTTTTTTAAATTAATGTATGTAGATTTTACAATAGTCTAATTTAGTTTGAGATGAAAGTAAACTAGAATATTTTTCTTACAAAAGAAACTGGACTAGGACAATAAAGGTGTACAGTAGGTAAGCACTTTTTGATTGATGAAAAAGACTTTCTTGAATAGGAATGGCTTCAGCAGCATATAACACTCCGGAAAAGAACGCTGTGATTAATGACAAAGCTGAGATTTATTGTAACATTCCAAACTTAGCCCCAGGAGTTCCTGTTTACTGGGAAAAAAATGGTCAGCCATTTGACTCTCCTGGCCCTAGAGTACAGTTCCTGAATGATAACCGTAAGATTGAATTCAGCTCCGTCTATCCAGAAGATGCTGGTAGCTACACGTGCACATTAAATGATGGATCAGGAAGAACCTATACAGATATATTAACACCACATGCAACAAGTAATACAATTGATTATGTACATACTTAAGAATAAATTACTGTTCCAACTAAACAACACACGGTTGATAAATTGATAAGGAGGAATTAAGAAACCATTAATATCTAGTCCAATTATTTAGAATTCATATCCTCATTATGTTTTATATCTGTGATTTTAGATTCGGAAAGGGTAGATGCAGTGTATGGACCAAACAGACCAAGTGAAATTCCAGACCTTTTGTCACCACAAACTATACTTCCTATAGGTATTGCTAACAGTTTTATTAATCTTATTTTCAAATTAATCTTAAAAAAATAAATATGAATAAAATCGAAAGATTGGATATTTGTAACACGACATTGCAGTTGTTGGCCGCTTTAGAGAACAAATACTAATCCTACAGTTAAATCGACTAAGAGTGGCAATTTGAAATGGCATTTAACGTTGTTGCCATCATAGAGGACATAAAGAATGGTCTACCCCCTGAATAGTTTTCTAAAAGATGTTCGGTTTTACGTTAAAGCTCAAATCGAATCTACATGGAAATTTGTATATTTTAGTTCGAGAGAAAAAAAATCAAGCAAGCACCTCGTAATTGAATAAGGGTGTCCTGCACTTATTATATCTGGTCAATTGCCAAACTTGTTTTCTGATAGATACCTTGTATTATTCCTTATTTTGTTGATATGCTATTAACTGCATTAAGTAGTGTGCGGTCGAAAAGGTTAATATGAGACCTATTAAAGACTTAATATCATATAGGCTCACATGGTAAAGTCAATTGACCCTAAATACTTGTTCCTGATGCAACATTGTTAGTTTATATAACATTATATTCACTAAATGTTTACAGAGATAATTTTCAAAAGAAACATTTTTATCAATTATGCAATAAATGGTCAATGTGAAATGTTAAAAATTATTGAAATGCGTCAATTCAAAGACTATGCAGAGTTGTGTATGAATTCTTCGGTAAAAATATAATGAAATAATTAATTCATCCATATAAGGACTGAATATCATAATGTCTGCATTGTAGTTTTTGACTTATTTTGATTATAAAATAGATCATATTAACTTCTTATTCAAACCTCTAACATTTGTAAAACCAAAATGTTATGTCGTAATACAATAATTATTTAAGATGTTTTATCTTCCTAATGTTTATCTAATCATTATTTAGGTCAGTTTTATATTTATCACAATCAAAAACAAACTTTGATATTAAAACTTCCTGTTTTACTCTAGCTTCCGTCAATCTGTCCGACCGATACATATTGTAAGTTAATGTTTCGATTAGATATACAGTTCTTTTTACTGCAAGGTATCTTTTTGTGAAATTACTGTAAAACAACTTTTATTTGTGTGCGAGAAAAATGCAGGAGTTTCTCGCCATGCACTATTTATTTCATTATGTATTCATGAAGAATATTTCCTCAGTCCCGAAATTTAGTCGTCGCGTATAAAATTGAATCTGACAAACCATAACAAATGTCGCAATTAATAGTTGGTTTACATATGTGGTAAAGTCGCCAACGCAAAAATTGAAACTCAAGGATACATTAAATAATGTAATTTACATTTTACAGCCCCCCCCCCCCCTCCAATTAAAAAAACCCAAATTTAACAATTTGTTGCATAATAGAAGTACTTCGCTGTCATCTACGTTAGAATTCACAACTTGAACTAGCAAAATGTCACTTTTGAAATATTTGAAGCGTTTAATAGGGCTTCCTGGTCATTTGTTGCCAAAAATGGTTATGATTTAAAACAAAAAATAAACAGAACAAAGGAAATCTTAAAGACTTTCATTCGCTACCATACACAACTAAAACTTAGATAATGCAGTAGGAAACAAAGATTATTTGTAGAAAATTTAACTACAGTTGAACTTTGGTATATCAACACCGATATCTCGAATGCTATGGATATGACGAAGTCCCGAAGACCCATTCTTTATGTATTTTATCATGGATATTTCCAATTCTCGGATTACTTGTATACACAATTTGCCTAGATGAACACAGTTGAAGAGTGATAGGATTACTATGTTATTATGTTTCATTGCACAAGTCACCTGTAGAAAATGATCTAAAATTGAAATTGTGTAAACACGCTTTTGATCAACTTATCTAGTTCATGATTTATTCGTTGAATTATGCAACTATTGAGTTGTCATACTAATCATTTAGATGATTGATTGATCGATTGTATGCTGTTCGAGGTTTTTCACTCACATTGAGAAGTCACTATATACCGGTGAAGGGCTTCAAATTTTGACCTTTACTCGGCACTCAGGGCCATTGAGCAGTGAGGGATCTTCATCATGCCAACGCCTGGCGTGACACGGGGCCTCGGTATTTAAGGTCTCATCCGAAGGATCCGCAACTTTCTCTGCGAAGTGCCGAGCGCTTGGCGAAGGAATAGTTGCTACCTATTTTTTTTTTTTTTATCGATTTAGGTCTCTCGCGGCCGAGATTCGAACTCACGACCTTCCGAACTGAGCTACCGTGACGGTCCGGTAGTAAGATGAAAACTGCGGACTTAATATGGGACAAAACATGGTTGTGGAGTCAGGTCAATAAGTCTAACCAAACGATATTGTGTCCTAGAAATTTTATGGAAGAAATCAGAATTATTTAAATTAGGGACGACTCTGACTTAATTGTTGTTCTCTCTCTTTTGGTTAAACCTTTTTACCAATGTGTTGTTGAGAAGTATTATTTTTTATATTTAATAAATTTTAACAATTGATAGTATCTTTCATTATGGCTTTACATCTGTAAAAAAAAATTCAAGTCATAGTGTTAGAACCAAAAAAAAAATGCACCTACTCGGAAAAATTCGCAAAACATTGCACCTGTTGAAAAAATAAACAATTCTAAGTTATTTTTATTTATAATATAGAGATTGATAAACCGGACTAATCTAAATAAAAAAACAAACATGTTAAAACAAATAACAAGTTTAAATGTCAATAATCGATTTGGCAAAAATATTCAAATAAGAAGTAAATCTTTTTTGTCCTTTTAAACATTTCATAGAATCTGTTTCATTTTCCTCCTATCTATCAGATATTCAAAGTTTCTTGGCAAGAATAAATAATAAACACTTATTAAGGACATCTATAATGTGAATTGAAAATTTTAAACACTTTTCCACTGGTGGTGTTCAATTTCAATTTAATTTTTGATGACATTGGATTCTGCATGTTTGATATCTGAAACTACCCATAACAGATATAAACCTGAAAATCGAATGATGATATCTAAATCTATTAATAAACAATACTTTATTTTCTGTATGTGACACTTCAAACTTTTTTATTTCAGTCCCAGACCAGCAAAATACTATTAATCCAGATACACTTGGTGAAAAGCCAACAGCTGTTTACCCAGACACAGGTGGTGAACAGCCCTCATCTCTCTATCCAGGATTAACACCTCCTCAAAGTATTATTCCCCAAGGTTGGTGAAAGTCATTACTAAATTCAAAGTTAGTCACACACATGTAGATGTTTCTAAGAAAAAGCAAAGATATTAAATTTACCTGATGAAAATGACTTTTCTTTAGGCCAGCCCATGTCTTTGCCCATCGACGCAGGTAGACTATATCTCCGTTGTGGTATTCGAACAAATAATCCAAACACTGTAATCCGCTGGTTGAAAGATGGTCGCCCAATCCAGAGGAACCAACCAACGTACTATATGTTTAACGGGAGAATACTTGTACTGATGGGGTTTTCTGCTTCAGATTCAGGCCAATACACCTGTGTGACTAATGATAGGACAATGTCTTCTTCCTCTACAAGTCTTCAGTTTGAAAATCCAGGTTTGGTTTTTTAAAAACAGAAACATAAACTAGAAACTCATTGCGAGCAATGAGAGGTCTTCCGTCCGATTTTGAAAATAAAAATGTAAATTCAAGCTGAAAAAGTGGGGGAAAAAAATTCAGACCCTCTGGAGATTTAACCCTGGTCGTCAACGTGAAAATCCAACGTGCTAACCCTTACGCCATTTCAACTCCCGCTTCAAAGTGAAAATGACGAATATCAATCGTTTGGATTTATCAATTCGAAAACAAATTATATATTTAGTATTTTGGAAAGAGGCTCTCTTAACCCTACAAATATTACAGAAAAATATTGAAGTTGAAAAAAATCGATTTTATAAATTCCCTTCCGGAAGCCACCGGAACTAAGGACGACGCATGAAAAGATCTCTTCGCCAATCTTAAAATCATGTTCTATCATCTCTAACAAACAAACAAACAAACAAAAAAACACACACACACTCAACCTCATTTATAAAGTTGAAAACGTAAATTTAAGCAAACAAATTCGGGATTAAACCCAGATCGCCTTCGCTACACCAGCGCAATTTTACCAGCCATAATCGATGTTTACTTTGTATCATTGCCTGAAGTAACGAGCGTCAGGGAGGTTAAAAGTTTTTTTATATAGTGCGGATTTATAGAATGAGAGCTAGCTAGCACAAATTTTGTGCAAGCAGATTCACATCGGGATTCGTTACTTGATTTAAACAATAACAAATAATCTATTACTGATGAACTGATGATACTGTTTACTTGTTCCTTTATTCTTTGTGTATTTATGTTTTCAAAGACAGATTATCCATTTCATAATCTGAAAGATCTAACAATTCCTTCATATTTCATTGATCCTTATGGTAGTTTCGTTCAATAAGACGCTCGGCTGTCTCCGTAAACTCCAACCTGCCAATTGGCAATCCTCGACTGACTCCGCTACGCTCCATACAAACCTCGGAAGTGATTGGTGGAGAAATATGCATCAAATCGATTACATTTCTCCGCCGGAAACTGCCTTGTAACTCATTTCATATTTGACTCTGCATAAAGCTCTTCAAACATTTTTTTCTCTTGTCTAATTCTTCCTTGGATATTGGTTTTGATCACCACATCATGTAAGTAGTCTTTGAAAGCAAAACATAGTGTTGGGCGTGCTTCAAAGTAGCTCAGACTTCAAAGGTTTAACATTTGGAGGGATTTCAAATAAGATCACATGACTGTATCAGCAACATGGTAGAACATCATTGACGTCCGAAGTTAGTGTGCGAGGAACGAGCCACCCGAGGAGCTCCGAGTGCCGACCTGCTCGTCGGAGTGTACAGTGACAGCCGCCATTTTGGACCCGCTTCAAATTTTAAAATACGAATATCTAGAGTTTAGATTTATCAATTTCAAAACAAATTATATATTAAGCATTTTCAGAAGTGCCTCTATTAACACTACTACTATCAAAGAAAAATATTGAAAAACAAAAAAGTTAGAAAATTCGACTTTTTAAATTCGCATCCGGTAACGAGCAGAAGTACCGACGACGAACGAAAAGTCACGTCCTGGCTAGGATTTATCACGATCTATAATCCCTGAAAGTTTCATTTTGATATCTTTTACCGTTCTTGAGATTATCCGCGGACAAAATGTTATTTTAAATTCAGAAAGTGGTCCGTAAGTTGGCACCGGAAAGAAATTTCCAAAAAATCTCTCGGATAAAATAACTTCAGGATACAACACATTGTTCCTGCAAATTTCATTAAAATCTATCCACTAGTCTTCGAGAAATCGCGTGCACAAAATTAGATGGTCAGAAAAATAATAAGAAGAAGAAACAGTAGAATCACTATAAGGTCTTCCGTGAAGACGGAAGACCTTAATAATTAAAAATGTATTAAAATGAGATGTTTTTATTCTATTTTTATGCTCCCGCCATAAAATGGCCGGAGCATAGAGTGTTACCCTGTTCCGTCATTCTGTCATGATTCACTATCGTTCCTCATCTCTGCAACAGTTGCACACATTCAACTCAGATTGACATATGGATACGTCAAAAAATATGCAGGTCATGTTTGATTTTGGTCATGGTCTGATGATTTTTGACAGAGTTATCCCTCTTGAGCTTATTTTTTTTTTAAATCAGTTTCCGTTCTCTAACTTTTGTATAGATGTATGTATAAGATTGAAATTGCATATACAGGTATTTTACCAGAAAATACATGTCAAGTTCGAATTTTGACATGCTTCAATGATTTTTGACAGAGTTATTCCCCTTGAACTTAGAAAAAAAGATGAGAAATTTTTAGTTTCCGCTCTCTTACTTTTTTAGAGATGTATGTATAAAATTGAATTTGCATATGCAGGTATTTTACCAGAAAATACGGGTTAAGATCGAATTTGGTCATGGTCCAATGATATTTGGAAGAGTTATCCTATTTGACCTTAAGAAAAGAAAAAAGAAATTTTCAGTTTCCGCTATTTTACTTTTGGAGATGAAATATATGGAGATAACGAACAGTATTCAAGCTCAAAAGTCCATTACGGATAAATAACACAAACAAACTTTTTTTTCAGAAATCAGCAATATTTCTCATAGATTTATATTCAAATAAGTAACCTGAATAATGTTTTCCAGGTAAAGTGGGAGAACTTTGTAAGATTTTGTTGCAAAGTTAAAAATATCTTCAAAATTTTGTACAGAATTATATAGAAAACAAAGCAAAGACGCATATTTAAGCTGCCGACCGGTCACACCCGCCGTGTGCTCCTTGTCATGATCGGGAGATAATGGAAAAATCCGTCGACAATTCAGTGTAAATAATGGCCTAACAATATGTATATATAAGGTTGAAAATGCATATTCAGGTATTTTACCAACAAATAGAGGTCAACTTTGAATACCAATTTTAAACTAAATATGGCATTTGAAATTTTGGCTGCCTGCAGGGGCATTAGTGGCGTTACGACACATCCATTTAATTACTTCTTAACCTGTTGACTTACTGTTAAAAGGTTCAGCAACAGCTGTATATGGTCCTCCAGCATTGAATCCACTCACTGGGGATAAGGCAGAAATCGTCTGCAATATTCCAAACTTAGCTCCAGGGGTTTCCGTGTCATGGGAGAAGGATGGTCAACCATATGACGTTCCCAACACCAGAGTCCAGTTCCTTGACTTTAACCGTAGAATTGTGTTTAGTTCAGTATATCCAGAGGATGTCGGCAACTATGTTTGTATTGCAAATGATGAAATTGGAACCACTTACTCGACAAATGTAAACGTCTTCAATGATGGTAAGCATGATTACATGCAGATCCCTGAATAATTTTGTACATTAATCACAATGTCTGTTTGTGTTGTGATTTAGAATATCAATTTTTTTTTACAGATACTCTTCGACAGACCGATGTTTATGGAAATCCTACATTTTTGCTTTCACAGCTAGATAAGCCCCTACCTAACCTGAACATTGGTAAGAAATGTCCTTTAATGATATTTTTATATAACTCAAATTTTGTTCTTGAGTCATTTTTTAATGTTTTTGTCTATATATATGTGTGTAGGAGGAACATTAGACCTTCCTTTAGAATCGGGGACAGCAGAGCTGTTATGTGGAGTGCAGACATCGAATCCAAATGCCGTCTTCACTTGGATGAAAGATGGACAACCTCTCACAAGGACACCAGTTTATTATCAGGACGATGGTCGTGTGCTGGTCATTCCAGACTTTTCACCTGCTGATGATGGAAAATACACATGCATTGTAAATGACAGAATGATGTCCACTTCTTCCACAGATGTTAGATACATGAACCCAGGTAATTAAACACTTTAAATTTGAACTATGTCTATATAGCGTTAATTTTTTTTAAATTAATGTATGTAGATTTTACAATAGTCTAATTTAGTTTGAGATGAAAGTAAACTAGAATATTTTTCTTACAAAAGAAACTGGACTAGGACAATAAAGGTGTACAGTAGGTAAGCACTTTTTGATTGATGAAAAAGACTTTCTTGAATAGGAATGGCTTCAGCAGCATATAACACTCCGGAAAAGAACGCTGTGATTAACGACAAAGCTGAGATTTATTGTAACATTCCAAACTTAGCCCCAGGAGTTCCTGTTTACTGGGAAAAAAATGGTCAGCCATTTGACTCTCCTGGCCCTAGAGTACAGTTCTTGAATGATAACCGTAAGATTGAATTCAGCTCCGTCTATCCAGAAGATGCTGGTAGCTACACGTGCACATTAAATGATGGATCAGGAAGAACCTATACAGATATATTAACACCACATGTAACAAGTAATACAATTGATTATGTACAATATACAATTGATCCAAAAGTAATGTTAAATCAGCTATAAAGTCTTTAATTATCCAATGTTTCCAATAAAACTGTATAAACTAATAGGTCTATCTATTTTCACTATTGCTCTAAAATTTCATTCAGATATCATCGGCGTTAAACAATATCAATCAAACAATCATTCAGATATCTGCAATACTTCATAAATATTAAAATAAGCAAAACTTTGGGTCTTGTCTATCGCCGCACGGCAAGAATATGTCGATGTCGTTATGACGTTTCGCTTCGACGCTTATTTTGAATTTGATGATGCTTGATTTACGTAAAAAATAATTTTAACATACTCAAAATGTCGGTTTATTTCAAAGTGGCAGTAAAATATTTAAAAGAAGGTCGTGAGCGGTTAAAAAGATATTCAGATAAGCTGAAAATGAGTGCCGAAAAGTAATTTATAACGACGTCGGTCACATTGTTGTCGTGCGCCGATGGACAAACCTTACGTTGCGTTTATCTTAATATTTTATAAAGTATTTTAAATAATCAAATGAAATTTTAATCAAAAATTAAAATGGATAGGGGTATCAGTATGTCGAATTTTCTTTTATAACATTTGATTATTAAAGATTTTATAGCAGTTGTGACTTTTGGATCAACCCTTGTGCATACTTTAGAATAAATCAATGTACCAATCAAACAATACACAGTTGGAGAAATTGAAAACATAAATATTTAGTGCAATAATTTAGAATTCGTATCTTCAATATTTCATATCTGTGATTTTAGATTCGGAGAGGATAGATGCAGTATATGGACCAAACAGACCTAGTGAAATTCCAGACACTTTGTCCGCCGAAACACCACAAACTATACCTCCTATAAGCGCAGTTGATCCTAATAATGGTAACAATTTTATTAATCTTATTTTCAAATTACAATGTAATTATGAAAAATTAAGAAGAAGGTACGGTTTGGGCTTTATTGTGCCCTTAAAATTTAATGTTTTCAAAAAGTTATGAAATTGGTTAAAATATGAGTTTGAGTATATGAATGTGATAAATCAAGAAAGAATATGGTATAAAGGAGGACCATTCTGGAAATATGACGTCATTAATTTGGTACATTTCTAAGGTTTTAACAGAAATGACTCTTTTCAGGGGTTATTTCCCTTATGAAAACTGTGTCCACAGCCGTCGCTCACTTCAATTTTCAGATATGTTGTGTAAACTCCTTTAAAAAATAACACTCCTCAAACTCTTTGTGGGCGATGCATGTGCTCTATATTATCTGAAAGAAAATTCCACTGAAAATTGATGTCTTCTGCAACTTCTTAAGAAAATACGGGAAAATTAACAAGTTTATGACGTCACAATTAGCGTTTAGGAGGTCATATGAGAAAAACGATTTGTATATTTTCACTGCATGGGATTCCTCTGATTCAAAAAGGATGAGTTTTAATTTCTTACCTCACTTACATATTTTTGAAAAATACAGGGCAAGATTTGTATTGAAACTGTACCTTGTTCTTTGAGTATAATCTGAAGACAGGGATATTTGTAACACGACATTGCAGTTGTTGGCCATTTTAAAGAACAAATAGCGGTCAAAATGAATAAATTGAAACATATTAGAAGCAATTTGAAATGACATTTAAAGTTGTCATAAGAGAGGACCGCTCGCGTGACGCAGTGGTTAGAGCGTTTGCTCTAGAGTTGCGGTGTAAGGAGTTGATCCTTACGTCGCAGGACGTGAAGACCAGTCCTTAGTATGAGACCGTATAAACCAAAGTCCCCTGTCGGAGGAGGTGCTGGCACGAACAAGATCCCTATCTGCTCAATGGCTCTGATGCCGAATATAGGTCTTAATTTGCAGCCCTCCACCGGCAAGTAGTGGCGTCTCCAAATGAATGAACAATTCTTCAGAGGGACGTTGAAAACAACAAACAAACAAAACAAGAAGCCATCATAGAGGACATAAAGCGTGATCAACCCCCTGAATATTTTTCTAAAAGATAGTAGATTTCACGACAGCCAGAATGTTAAATCTCAAATCACGGAAATCTTTACATTTAAGAGGAGAAAAAATTCGAACATGTATTTTGCAACTGTATAAGGATGTCCTGCAAAAATCGCTTGACGTCAAACTTGTTTCCTGATAGATATCTTGACTTATTCCCAATCTGATATGATATTCTTTGCATAAGTAGTGTTTGGTTGGAGAAGCTGATATGAGACTTATTTAAGACTTAATAGACTCACGGGGTAAAGCCAATTGTCCAACAGTATTTTTTCTGAAAGTGATGCAACATTGCGAGTTTATATTACGTTAAAGTCAATAAAAGTGTTCAGAGATAAAGTTTGAAGGACACAGTTTTAAAAAGTATGCAATTAATGGTCAATGTGAAATGTTCAAAATTATTGAAATGCGTCAATACTATGACAATGCAGAGTATTGAATCAATTCTTTCACAGAAATCTTATGAATTAATAATTGCATTAAAATGGCTTTATATTTTAATATCCACATCATAGTTGATTACAAAATAGACTATATCTTCTTATTAGTCCCCTACCGGTGAAACCGGAGGGGACTATAGGTTTCGTCTGAGTCTGTCCGTCCGTCTGTCTGTCCGTCTGTCTGTCTGTCTGTCCGTCTGTCTGTCTGTCTGTCTGTCTGTCTGTCTGTCCCACTTGGTTTTCCGCACTTTTTTCTTAAACGCTTGCAGATTTTGAGCTGATTTTTGGTATGTGAGTGTATCTTGATGAGTTACAGATCAAGTTTGCATTTCGTTTTGCTTCATTGATTTTTGACGGAATTACGACCTTTTCAATTTTTAAGGGTTTTCCGCAATTTTCTTCTAAACGCTTGTAGATATTGAGCTGATTTTTGGTATGTGGCTTTACCTTGATTAGTTATAGATCAAGTTTGCATTTCGTCCCACTTCATTAATTTTTTTACAGAATTATGGCATTTTCAATTCTTAACGGGAACCAGATTACACTTGCCGATAGGGGACTAGTATTGCTAATGCAATACTCTCAGAATGCTTGTTGTTTTTGTATCATTTTGTATATTTATATGACTACTTTACCATATGTCAAAATAAGAAATATTTAAATATAAGAAGTATATAAAAATAACTGACTGCCGTCATGAGAAAAGGACCCTTATCTTTTGACGTCACAATGCGCAGAAAACGACGTCAAAGTCGCGGTATTGTAAACACGGAAGTAATTTTTGTCGACAGCATGCGTTTTGTGAACTAGAAATAAAATTGGATTTTTAGGTGTTACAAAAAAAACCCATTAAATCGTATGAAATTTGATGCGGTAATTTTTAATAAACAATATAATTACACACTAGAACATGCATTTATTAGTCCCCTACCGGTGAAACCGGAGGGGACTATAGGTTTCCACTGAGTCTGTCTGTCTGTCTGTCTGTCCGTCTGTCAGTCTGTCCCTCTGTTTGTCTGTCAGTCTGTCCCACTTGGTTTTCCGCACTTTTTTTCTAAACGCTTGCAGATATTGAGCTGATTTTTGGTATGTGAGTGTATCTTGATGAGTTACAGATCTAGATCAAGTTTGCATTTCGTTTCGCTTCATTGATTTTTGACGGAATTACGGCCTTTTCAATTTTAAAGGGTTTTCCGCACTTTTTTTTCTAAACGCTTGCAGATATTGAGCTGATTTTTGGCATGTGACTTTATCTTGATGAGTTATAGATCAAGTTCGCATATCGTTCCACTTCATTGATTTTTGACAGAATTATGGCATTTTCAATTTTTAACGGGAACCAGATTACACTTGCCGGTAGGGGACTAGTATTGCTTATGCAATACTCTCAGAATGCTTGTTCAAACTACTAACATTTGTAAACCACAGCGTTACGTTCTTATGCAATAATTATTTAAGATGTGTAATCTTACTAATGGTTATTTAACCATTGAGGTCAGTTTTATATCAACAACTCATGTACATATAAGTACATATTGGAAGTGAATGATTTGATACCATATACAGTCCCTGAAACGTTCTACTTTCCCATTTTTCCGTTCGCTCACCGTTCGTTCACCGTTCGTTCAGCGTGCGTTCACCGTTCGTTCACCGTGCGTTCACCGTTCGCTCTCCGTTCACAGTTTTGCGTTCACCGTTCACCGTGCGCTCGCGTTCACCGTTCACAAAGCGTTCAGCGTTCGCTCTTCGTTCCGTTCACTTTGCGTTCACCTTGCGTTCAGCGTTCACCTATCGTTCAGTTTTCATTGCCATTCGGAACTCCGAAGTGAAAGGACTTATCTTTTTGTAGGAAAGGAGTTACAGGTTTTTTAATTTAATAACTAACATATCGTGTTTGAAGAATCATTATTTCATGGGGGAAAATATCTACGATATATATTTTTATTATTCTAACTTAGCTGTTAGGTTATTTATTAAATCACTCTGGAAAATAAATGTTGTTATAAGCACATTCTGTACCTATGTAGAACGATGCGGAAATATTAAATTTAACCAAGGGCAATGTGCAAATACTTCAAGCACTGCAACATTTTGTTGTTTTGTTAAAGACGACAAATCGTTAATGGTGATATAATTATCCAAGTCAAATAATTACGCAGCAAAATTACGAAAATATTTATTTCTAACACGTTTTTTTTTTCAATTACTACAGAAAATATAATAGAACTAGTTCTGAGAGTTATACATAATACTGCGGATATCCTGTTAATTTATTATCTAAGGAGCGAATTAAATTGATAGTGTGGTTAAAAGAAATATTTATTTAAAATGTACTGCACTACAGAATTTTCTCTACTATAATATGTAAAGTCTATAGTTATAGAGAAAAAAATTCTCTCTTCACCGTAACTTTATATGTTTGCCATTCGATATGATTAATACCCCCCTTTTCCCCCTAAATCGGTTACTTAGTCAGTACTGCATTTCCAGAATATTTTAATAAACATTTCTAAAAAAAAAGTTAAGGTCTTTTTTAGAACAGAAATTTCAGTCTCAAAACAAACATGCATCTAAAAAAAAGTCACAAAACAATAGTAGTTCAAAATGTACACGTGTCTGCGTGGTATCTGAAATTGGCAGAGAGTATATGTTTCAAATTCAAGTGTTAATGCCCAATGTATTTTATTCATTTATTATTGATTGTTGGAATCAAATCTAGAAATGATAAAAATAAATGTTATAACTTGTTGGAAATACTCGCACTTCGTCTTCGATGCGACGAAACTTTAACACCTGCACAGTGTCGAATGATTTTGATTGACAGGACAAGCACGTGGACTTCGTGTGAACTTGAAGCAGGAACATAAAACCGAGTGTGACTGTCAAACAAATGGATATGATTTGTTGATAAAAAAAAATTACTTTCACTGTCTGATATATTTAGAAAAAAGAAATCAGAGTTTTTGTTTGATAAAGGTACAAACATTTAGTGAAGCCTGGAAGGGGGGGGGGGGCTAAAACGGAATATTTCTCTCTCTCTCTCTCTCTCTCTCTCTCTCTCTCTCTCTCTCTCTCTCTCTCTCTCTCGTCTATTTAATAAAAACTATAACAGCATATTACTTAAATATCAAGTTCTGTAATTTGAATTTATAACAAATAATATGAATCTGTATCTTTGTATTATCTTGTCCGAGTATAACCACGGCCATCTACATATACATGTAGAAGTCTGCTCAATAAATCATCATGAAAAATAGAAATGACACATAATATATTATTGTATTAAAAATGTAAAATACGAGCGTATAAATGCAAAACGTCCACTGACCTTTGTAATTATTTTTTTTTTCATTACTTTACACGAAATCGCCTTGACACGGAGATATATGAATGGATGTTACAACCGCTTTAATTCATTCTATAAGTCAGAAGTTTTCTCTGATTTGTTATCAAATAAGAATAAACATTTTTATTTTCCAACTAAAAAATATCTTTTATACTTCAGCGTTCGGAAACAATTGCAATGTTTTAATGCGATAAAAATCGTGTGATTAAAAACTTAATGTGCATGCATCGTCTTTCTTAGGACAATTTTGGAGAATTTATTTTATTGACTTATTTATTCATTCATTTATTGGTTTACTTATTTATTTATTTATAAGCTATTTATTTATTTATTTATTTGGCACCTGACATTATAATACAATAAAATAGTTTCAATGCAAGGAAAAGATCAGAGGCATTCCGAATATATCGTTCAGCTTGCGTTCACCGTTCGTTCAGCGTTCACTTTGCGTTCGCGTTTGCGCTCCGTTCGCGTTCAGCGTTCACTCACCGTTCACCGTTCACACATCGTTCACCAAGTTGCGTTCAGCGTTCACACATCGTTCACTCACCGTTCGCTCTGCGTTCGTTCAGCGTTCGTTCACCGTTCGTTCAGCGTTCGCTCACCGTTCAAGTGGGAAAGTAGAACGTTTCAGGGACTGTACCGTACATTTTTCTGCAGGGTGCCTTTTGGTGAAATTATATGGAAAATTCCCAAACAAAAAAGAATGAAATGCAAAGCATACATTAAATACTGTGCTTTACATTTCCACATGGGAGTTCCTCTACAGGAAGAACCTAATTTTAACTTTTTGTTGTGTAACAAAGGTACCTTGCTGTCATCTACACTGCATGTAGTGACCATTCTCACCTTGTGCCTGCAAACAATAGAAATAATTGATATATGTGAAGCCTTTTTAAAGATTCTAGATAATTTATTCGCATATTAATAAAACTACCCAAACAACATTATGTCGAATAATCTTTATGGAAGAAATAATAATTACGTAATATTAATGGGGAACCATTTTTTTTTCTTTTGAATTACCTTTTTTTTACCGATCTGATTTTGGGAAAAAATATTCTTTAATTTTTTTTTTTTTTTTTTTTTTTTAACACTTGCAGACATAGTGTATCAGAAACACATGCGCCAACTTGGAAAACAAGTTGTAAACATTTGCACCTGTAGAAAAAAAGCATAAGGTACTTATAAATATCGATAAGTATCAATATATTGTTTGATCCCTTGTAAATATTTCCTTAAAATACAGATATTTATCAACCGGAGTTATAAAAAAGACCGTATAACCGAGGTCTCCTGTCGCAGTATGTGCTGGCACGAAAAAGGTTCTGCCCTGCGCAAAAGCCATGAGTGTCAAGTACAGCTATATTTTCTGCCCTTCCACCGGCAAGTGGTGGTGTCTCAATTTGACAAATGATAGGCTTAAAACATCAATAATCGTACTGACAAAGATAGCCAAATAAAAAAAATTAAATAATGTATTCCGTCCTTTTTCAAAAACACATTTCATAGAACCTATTTCTTTCACTTTTTTCCTATCAGAAATAGAAAAATAACAATTTATTTCAAACTCTCTTGGCTAGGGTAACTAGGATACACTTATTAAGGAGGTTGATAACGTAAATTTTAAATTTGAATCATTGGCTACAGGTGGTACATCGCATTGAATTATGACTTCGGGCTCTAGCTATTTGGATATCTGATACTACCCATAACGGATATACACTTGAAAATCTAACGATGGTATCTAAGTCTATTGATAAACAATGCTACATTTACCGTATGTGACACTTAAAATTTTTTATTTCAGTCCCTGACCAGCAGAATGTTATTAACCCCGATACATTTGGTGAACAGCCAACAGCTATTTACCCAGACACAGGTGGTGAACAGCCCTCATCTATCTATCCAGGATTAACACCTCCTCAAAGTATTATTCCCCAAGGTTGGTGAGAGCCATTACTAAATAAAGATTTAGTCACACACATGTAGATGTTTCTAAGGAAAAGCAAAGATATTCAATTTACCTGATGAAAATTACTTTTCTAAAGGCCAGCCCATGTCTTTGCCCATCGACGCAGGTAGACTATATCTCCGTTGTGGTATTCGAACAAATAATCCAAACACTGTAATCCGCTGGCTGAAAAATGGTCGCCCAATCCAGAGGAAACAACCAACGTACTATATGTTTAACGGGAGAATACTGGTGCTGATGGGGTTTTCTGCTTCAGATTCAGGCCAATACACCTGTGTGACTAATGATAGGACAATGTCTTCTTCCTCTACAAGTCTTCAGTTTGAAAATCCAGGTTTGATATTTTTAAATACAAGCACAAATCTTGCAAATCTATTAAAAATGATACGTTTTTCTTCTATGTTTTATTATTTTTTCAAGGAAAGTTATGTATTGAATGTTTTTAACCTGTTGACTTACTGTTAAAAGGTTCAGCAACAGCTGTATATGGTCCACCAGCATTGAATCCACTCACTGGAGATAAAGCAGAAATCGTCTGCAATATTCCAAACTTGGCTCCAGGAGTTTCTGTGTCTTGGGAGAAGGATGGTCAACCATATGACGTTCCCAACACCAGAGTCCAGTTCCTTGACTTTAACCGTAGAATTGTGTTTAGTTCAGTATATCCAGAGGATGTCGGCAACTATGTTTGTATTGCAAATGATGAAATTGGAACCACTTACTCGACAAATGTAAAAGTCTTCGATAATGGTAAGCATGATTACATGCAGAATCCTTTATGATTTTGTAGATTAATTACAATAGTTCATATAGGGATGATGAATAACAAATTTTCTTCTTACAGATACTCTTCGACAGACAGATGTTTATGGGAATCCTACATTTTTGCTTTCGCAGCTTGATAAACCCCTACCTAACCTGAATATTGGTATGACTCTTTTTTTTGAATTTAATATTACGAGAAGTTTGTTTCTGACGCTTATTTTCTAATTTCAATGTTTGTTTTTAAATATATGTGTAGGTGGAACACTAGACGTTCCTTTAGAATCGGGTACTGCCGAGCTGTTATGTGGAGTGCAGACATCGAATCCAAATGCCGTCTTCACTTGGATGAAAGATGGACAACCTCTCACAAGGACACCAGTTTATTATCAGGACGATGGCCGTGTGCTGGTCATTCCAGACTTTTCACCTGCTGATGATGGAAAATACACATGCATTGTAAATGACAGAATGATGTCCACTTCTTCAACAGATGTCAGATACGATAATCCAGGTATCAAATCTGAGTTAAAAGATTCAAGTGACATTTTCTGATTATTTTTTTCAACGCTCTTTTACTTAATATACGGAGAGACTTGAACAATATTAATCAAACTTCTCTTTGAACATATATTGATGAAGGACTTTATATATTCTAAAGGAGGTCGAGACTTTTATCAGAGGGATGTTAAGGAAAAAAGAGAATTCGTTTGAGCCAGTTCAAATTTCTGTAATGAATGCCTGCTAGAAAAGAAAACTGAGATGGATGCTCCTTTTATTTTTGAAAGTGAAGTGTATTTGAATCCCTAGTACTGGGGTTGATCATGCATTTACTTAAGTATTAGTATGGGAAAATCATTGCAATTCTATTTTAGATGGAATACGCAGCCCCATAAAAACTCAGTTTGAAATTATGTTGTTCCAAGAATTTATGGTAATACCACGAAAAAGGTTTAAGTTTTTATGTGGGACTATTTAAGAAAATAATTTTCATTTTTAAGAACAGCAGATTCAAAGCTTGACTGAAAAATATAAAGCAATGTTGTGATGATTAAAATTCCATTCATGCCTAGAGTATGGACATGATAATGGCCCAAAGCTTTACATACAAGTAGATACTAGTAGTAAGAACCTTATTTCTATATTTTAGAACAACTGGACTAGATTAAGTAAAATGAATATTAAAGTATACGTATCTCCAAATAGTGTCGAATAAAAGTTACTCACTTAATTGAATGTTGGACAAGGGAGAAAGTGACAATAAGCTTAAGTGTCAAGGAATAATTCACCAGTGGAATTGTTTTGAAATATTTCCTAAGTAAAACAAATTAAACCACTTTGGAAGTATCGTCATGTAGCGTAGCTCTCTCCAAATTCATTGCAAATGAATAAAAATACACCCATTGCTGAAATATAGATTCTTTCCTACTAATGAAAAAGCAATAAACATTTCATTTATAAAAGCTCATTGTGACTCAACCAAGTGCAACATCGTAATTAAAATAAGTTAGCGTATGAATTCTCTTGAAAAGGAATGGTTTCGGTTGCGTATCAAACTCCTGAAAGGAACGCTGTGATCGACCACAAAGCTGAAATTTATTGCAACATTCCAAACTTAGCCCCAGGAGTTCCTGTTTACTGGGAGAAAAATGGTCAGCCATTTGACTCTCCTAGCCCGAGAGTACAGTTCTTGAATGATAACCGTAAGATTGAATTCAGCTCCGTATATCCAGAAGATGCTGGTAGCTACACGTGCACATTAAATGATGGATCAGGAAGAACCTATACAGATATATTAACACCACATGCAACAGGTAATACAATTTTTTGAATTGAAACTTTAAACACTACTGAACTGTACATATTCACTCGAAAATGAACAGGTTGAAAAACCGCCATATATATACTTTTTCTGCGAGTTTGATTCTTGTATTTCTGAACGTCGTGAATTGGTTGGCAGCCTAATTAGCACATTTAATGATATAAATGTTATCATTCATAATATCTATCATATATTCGTAGTTATATTAATTACTGTTCTAGAAAGGGGTAAACAAAGAATCCCTTTTAAACAAGAATTGAAATTGTGTATTTGTTTAATGTTCGTTAAAGAGATTTCAATATCAAATTCAAAATTTCTTCAAAATCGCATATGCTGTCCTCTTTGTTAGATTTGGAAAGGAAGGATGCAGTGTACGGGCCGAACAGAATTGGGGAAATTCCAGACACATTGCTTGCTGAACCCCAACAACCAACAGGTACAAAAGATCCAGTTTTCATATTTTATTAGATTAATCAAAAGCAAACTTAAATAAAATACCAAAGATGTATAAGAAGTTACATCAAATTGCAGAAGATAACTTGAATAAGAGAACGACAAGCACAATTTCACAACATTCACAGTTTTAAAATTATATTTAATGTAGGTAGGGTCTAACAGATAAACTTAAAGAAAATTCAAAATATTTGAAAATATCATGTGTACATTTTTATTAATATGATTTATTTATAGACCTTGTTCTAAGCCTCAAGAAAGAAATGTTTTCTGTTTTCATACAGGGACAATTTAAATCTTAATAAAACTTTAAATTGTGTTGTGTGGATATATATCGAAAAGATATCCAATATTTCACCATAGTTATTTATCTTTATCATACAGATTTATAAACACTGATAGAAAAAAATTTAACATTGTAAAAGAATTAGATGAAATTGATACATACAATGCTTTATTTAAACTGTTTACAAAATATGCTATAAATAAAAGTAAAAAAAAATCTTCACAAGCTGCTAAATAGATAAAAAGAATCAAATATCCAGTTTAAATCCTTGATATCTATTTAGAATGGGGAAGTGGTTGTACTTTCCCTTTTGAAAAAAGTTTGACATTGAGGAAGAATGCCAAATCTTTAAAGGGGAATGGGTTTATGGGTTTCTGAAGAAGAAAATCTTAATGCTTCACATAACAACAGAAAATAAGAAAAACAAGAATTTACTCAGCATTATTGACCAGTAGGGTCAATGGCATATTCATATGATATTTCATAGAAGAGGTTTTATCTGATTTTGTTTCCTGCTGACTTTATTTTGTATTCTAATTCTAAGCATTCTTACTATGATATAATACACAAGTTGATTACATTTTTCTTTGTTGAATCCATCGGTGCAATTTTTACCCTTATTCTTTTTATTTGTGTGTTTAAAGGATAAAAAATAATAAAAGAATGAATTGATTCAATTAATTGAATCAGGAGTTTTCAACTTCTTCTTAAATTAGAATACATTTATATTATTTAATAAAAGTGATAAATTGTCTTATTTTGCATATATGTTTCAAAGAAACTGTTCAAAATATTTTCATCAAACTTCATACACATACATAAATTGGTGAGAACTTTTCAACTATGTCATGGTGTTTTGACCTTGGCCTTCCCTATGACGTTAATTTCCCTTTTCAAGATATCTTAATCAAACTTTTAACAACGTTACATATTGCTTAGAGCAATCTAACTCAATCCTATTTTTTTTTTTTTTTTACCTTGACCATCATTATGACTTTGATCCTCCCTTGACCTGAACTTTAACTTTTGAAAATGATTAATCAAACCTGATATATTTATAATCATATTGGTGAAAGCAATTCCACTGTGACATCATTTTTAACATTGGCGTTTCCGATTACCTTGACCTCATTATTCATTTTGCTGTTACTTAAGTTCTGTTACTTTCATCATGTTTTCAATTATCCCTGGCCAAAGAAGTATGGTAATTTTTTCACATTGCAATACAAATATACCTTGGCAGAGAATTCATGTCCTGTGTACATATTTCTAGTATTGACATTTGAGGACATACTAGTTATATAAGGTTCTTTACTTTCATCGCTGTTTACTCGTAACATGATTAAAATAACTTAATGGGTCGAAAACAGTGTTCCATGAACCAGAAAAATATTGAAAATTGAGGGCTTTCTTTCGTTCAAGTCTACCAGTTAAAAAGTGCAAAAGAAAATTCTGATTTTTGAAATAATTGTAATAAAAAGATTGTAATGGACACCAACAGCCAGGAAAGGTTGTTGTATTGAAAATAAATCAGTTTTACACAAACCATTATCTTTGAAGCCATATTTATTTTAATGGGAAACAAATTTTAAAGAGGACCTGTTTGAAATATCATTTGCACTACCGTATAGATAAATCCACATTATTGGGATAGGGGGTTGGATAATATAGGCAGTATGTCAGCCACCCAATCCTATGTTGTAGTAAACTTTTGTTTATTATAATAAATTGCTGCTTAACTCGAAGTTACAAAAAATAATACATCACAAAAATCACCTTGTCACTCTCAAGAGAAAAAAAGCACAACTACAAAATATAAGATAAAATAAAATGAAATATTATGATAGTAAATTAAACATGGTATTGATATTTACATTTAAAACGTTTTATAACAACAAAAAACATCATTCAGTTTAACATTTTAGGTAGCTTCGAATTTACTCTGGCATCTCCATTATCATTCGACTGACCTTTTTGTTACATTTTTCCCATTGCTAAGGTGTCAACACAATTTTCCCGATTCGCAATAGTCGATTCGAACTTCACTGTGACATACCAGACCTCCTCCCCGGCATCGACATTATATGGAATAAAAATGGACAAAAGTTTTTGCCGTATGGCATAACTCCCCGGATTTATTTTATGGAGAACAAGTCTGTTGTGGTATTTCGATCGATATTACATGAGGATACGGGAGATTATACATGTATCGCCGATGATATAACGGAATCCTCCCATACAACAAGACTGGAGGTCCAAGGTGAAAATCACGCTGTTTAAATTAGGGTCTGGTTTCTTTCTAACTAAGCTAGGATGATTTTATAGGTGGATGCAGAGAAGACAGTATTAATTATGGTGTGCCTTGGTTTGTTGGTTCTGTTTGTTTTTAAACATAAACAAGTACAATTACTGACAGAGTTTCCTAATCACATTTATAGCATAACCTTTATTCTTGTGATTGCCGTATAAATGGTTTTTTCTTCCCTCACTCTTTATTTTCAATTCAATCTGCATATTGCTTATAAAATCTACTTCGAAGCTTATTAATATATTATGAGTTTTTAGTCATGCATAAAAAAAATTCACAACTTACTTGAAAAAATACTTTTTAAACGACTCCATTTATACGGCTTTCGTTGCTTTGGTTTTTTTTTTAATTTCATTTTGCGTGCCCTGTATGGGGTTCGATTATAAATTGTGTTATTTTAACGAATATAAACTAACATGAACATCGACATGAAAATAACGCTTTCTATATTTTATTTTTCGACATTAGAAGTGTTGATATGTTTCTCGTAACGATACTGCTTTTAAGTTTTTGAAACTAATGTGAAAAAATGAAATTACTTCATTCATAAATTGTATTGATTTATGAGGTGAATACATACAATTTCAGAACAAAAAGAAATCCAGCTATCGCGTTTTTTAAATTGATTTTACTTTTGACGTTAAGGCATGACACCTGAACCAACGGAAACATTGCCTAGCGATCCATCACTAACTTCAGATAAAATTAATCCAGACGTTGTATCTGGACCATCAGAAATATATCCCACAGATCCAAATCAACCACCGGAGTCTATTATTCCAGGCACAGCACCAACACCCTCAGAGATATACCCGGGAGATCAAAATGAACAACCAGCTGGTATTAATCCAGACTTGGTACGTGCGCCATTAGACGTCTTACCTGTGGATCCAGCTAAACCAACAGAGACCATAAATCCAGATGTGGTACCTTCACCACAAGATGTATACCCCATGGATCCAAATCAACCACCGGAGACTATGAATCCTGACATGGTACCTAGACCATCTGACATATACCCTACAGATATAGCACAACCCCCAGATGCTAGAAATGTAGACATTTTCCCGACGCCTTCAGACATAAGCCCAGTAGATCCAAATCAACCGCCAGGATCCATAAATCCAGATATGGTACCCGGACTTCCTAATGTGTATCCTAGGGATCAAAATCAACCAGCGGAGGCAATAAATCCAGATATAGTACAAAGACCATCTGATCTATATCCTAGAGACCTAAATCAACCGCCGGCCGACATAAATCCGGATAAAATGCCTATACCATCAGATATATACCCTAGGGATCCAAATCAACCGTCGGAGGGTATAAATCCAGACTTAGTACCTAGGCCATCAGACATATACCCTAGAGATCAAAACCAACCCTTAGATGCTACAAATCCAGACATGGTACCAAGACAACCAGACCTATTCCCTAGAAATCAAAATCAACCACTGGATACCATCAATCCGGATATTTTACCTAGGCCAACAGGTATATACCCCAGGGAACCAAACCAACTACCAGAGGATATAAATCCAGATATTGGTCCCCTTGTTGATACAAACCCAAACGACTTAAATCCAAATAGACAAGCGCCATCACCAATAGCTACACTCCCTGAATCAGGTATAAGTCACTGGATATATTAACCTAATGCATAACTACAATTCTTAAAATTATTCCCATGTACAAGTAACCTTCATAACTTGCTTGAACTAAATTGTGTAATTTCCTCAGGCATTCCCTCACGTCCTCGTTCCTTTAACTTCCCCATGGCTGCTCCTCCTCCTCCCCCTCCACCAGATTCAGGTGTTACTGGTTTGTACTATCTGTAATCCTGTCATCAAAGTATATACTTGATCAAATTGCTTGTGCAATAGCTTGCTTTATATAGTAAAGGTGTTCAGTTGCTGTAGATAGAATAACTTCTCCAACTTAAGGTTGTTTTATTATATGATAAATTTATTATTGATGAAAAATATTAAAATGATATTATCAACGTTTGGAAGGAAATACTATTTTTGGAAGGAATTGTGATAAGAAGCACTTTATTGAAAGATAGCCGAATATAGAATTTAAAACCCTGCTTGAATTCACTACTGATTTACATGTTACAAAGCTTTACAGTGCTTTAAATTAATGAACTACGTGTAACAAAGCTAGCCATTGCTTAATTACTGATTCACAAAATATAAAACTGTCCTAGCTGTAGCTAAAATTTACAGAGACAATGTTACAAAACAAGACAGTGTTATAAATTACTAATCTATACGCTACAAAGCAGGCCAAAGCTTTTAATTATTCCTTCTTGCGAAGATGGTCAGTTCTTTAAATTGTTTAACTACATATTACCAATTTCAATTGTGCTTTAATTTACAGGTTTAAACGGTACCAAGCTGGCAAGTGTTTTAAATTAGTGATTTACAAATTACGAAACTGACGGGTGATTCAAATTACTGATCTACATGCTACAAATCTTGCCAGTTATCTGATTAACTAATCTATATTTAACAAAGCTTACAAGTGCATTGAATTGCTAATCTTATCGTGTTTTTTTAATTGATTATAAATTTACAATTCTCTTATAAAGAATAAGAGTGTAAAAAATATTGAAAAATTACAGACATTGTAGCCTCACTAAATCTTTTGGTTTACTATTTTAGATACAGACCAACCTCAAGTTGACGAAACTCTGCCTAGAATCCCGTCAGCTCGGACCGATATTTTGCCTCAAGGTACATTTAATTTCTGATAGTCTTGATGTCTTGAAAAAAAGATCATATCCATTTATGGCAAATACTTTGAAGATATTGGACCGTGTATGCACAATCTTCAATTTGATGATAATCCACTAGGAAGTATTTCTCTTTCTCTAAAATTTTCTCTAAAAATAACGGTTTGAAAAAAATTGCTTTATAAAATCTTTTTTTTTTCAAGATGTCGTATCTGATTTATTTTAATTTATAACATCGAAATTACTTTGCTATTCCATATTTGTAAATTGCTTGCCGGATATTTCGAGTGATTTTTGATTTTTTTCTTACTTTATTTGACTAAAATCTGAATTGAAATCACTACATCGTTTGCGCATTTAATTTATAGACAAAATAGAACCCACAAAAATCTTAACTACTTTCAAATTTTCTATTTACTATAGAAGGACAAAGAAAATATTGTACAAAACATATCAATTTTTGAGCTTATTTCAGCACCACAGCCTTTAACCGTCACAGCAAATGAAGGAAGTCCTTTTGCACTGAAATGCAATACAGAGTGGTATCCAGGGGACAGGATCACATGGAACAAAAATGGTCAACCTATAGAATTTTCTTCACCTAATGCACCTATTGGTATAGAAAACAGATTAATCTTTCCTCAAATCACGCCATCCCACAGAGGGTCATATACATGCACAGTAAATAACAACCCCGCGACAGCCAGCACCACGATTTTGGACACTGGTATTCCTAATTTCGTCTCTTAATTTCTAAATGTTTAAAATGCATACTTTACGTACAACTACAATTCAAAACACAAAATATTGCATTTTATAAAGTGCCAGGGAGCCCAGACAACGAAGGCTTTATTGATCCGGAGCAAATCGAGAAAGCTGAGGGAGAAGTTTTTACACTGAAATGTAAAATCCCTAATATAAAGGAAACTGACAGCATATCATGGTTCAAGAACAATAACCCAATAATGTCATCAGCAAGAAGACGTCTCAGCTCAATGGGTATTGCTTTTAATCCCTTGACTATGTCTGACGGCGGATCCTATTTCTGTTTGAGGAATAATGACCTCGGTTCAACATATTCGGCGGATCTGACAGTGTTACCCACAGGTTTGTTGTTTGAAATCCTTCAAGTGCACATGTATTTACTTAAACTGTTTTCCACTATCCAAGCAATTTGAAAATTGAAATTTTGAGTTTTCCTTACGCTTCTATGTATGTCTTCATATAGGTATATATACTGCTAACACTTCGCCATTTATTTGAAATTTTAAAGTCTTTAACTTGAAAAAAACCTTTTTTTTAATGAAAGAAATTCGATAATGACAATGTATAACTATATTTGTGCTCAATGTTTCTGTAAGCATTTGAAGTTTAAAGAAGCACACCAAATGCACGTTATTTTAATGAATTAAAAATAAGATCATAGGAATATTTTTTTGACATTGAAAACTTTAATATATGCATTATTTAGCAAAAATATCTTTAAAGAGTGGAATGAAATGTAAAGATAACGAACGGCTATCGTTTATCAAAAGTTCATTTAAACAAGACATATTATAAGCAGAATCAATAAGGACTTCTGAATACTGAGATGGGATCTTATGCCATGGAGGAGTAAGCATTCCCTGCCGACGGTCACGCCTGCTGTGTGCTCCTAGTCGTGATCGGGTAAACGGAAAAAAATCAGTGACAATTCAGTGCGTAAAAATTGGTCTAACAATTAATTTGAAAAATGTCAGTCAGCATTCGACTTAATGATAGATTGTATTTTCTAACAAGTTCATTGTATCGACAATATTACTTGCAAAATGTTGGCTTTAAATGAGACTGTTGATAATTTTGTTTCATTAACTTGTTTTTCAATAGCTTTTCTCGTTTTAGAATTTGTTCGTACGTAGAGTATGCTCTTGCGTATCGAATCAACTGGGGGACGTAAACTCCATATGCAGTTGAATACGGTATTATATTGCTACATAAATAAGGGAAGTTGACAATAGAAAAGTTTAGGTTTAGGTTTCTGCCACCCGGGTGGGTGGCAGCTAGTTCTACAGCCCAGAAAAGAATTTAAGATCCCTTCATCCAATTACTTTCTCATAATACCTGAAAAACTGTGTGTTGATTATTAAAATTTATTTTTTTTATTTGTGGAATCAGAGGTATACCAGTTGCCTAGATTCTGACATAAGAGGAGTAAACTAGTGACTTCCACCTGCCTGGTGCTTTGATCACGTCATCTAACCCACCAAGTAGGATCATATATGTTGCCCTCCCAATTCTGAAACTGTGGGCACAGTAGTGCCCTTGTACACCTATTAAAAAGGGCTCTCCGGAGAACTGCATTAAATTGGTATTTGTAAATTGTTTCAAGTTAACATGGGTCTGATGAGGATGTAGAGGGACAAGTGCTCAAATAATTGCTGATAGTCCAAACATAACACGGTACCGTCTTCAACTCTTTTGATATGATTAATTTTTTTTTTTTTTTGGCGTTTGATCTGTCTATGAATGAGGGATAAATACTCGGATATGTGACTGTTGTTTGTTTACTATTACGTTTTGGAATTGTATGAGATGCGAGTTCTTGCATTTCTTTATGACAGTGAATTCCCTCAGCCTTAGAAAACGAAATAAGAAAGTAAAAGGGCATAAGTGAAAAATGTGGCTTGATATGACGAGGAGCATATGGAGGGGAGTGATAAGATTAACTCTCTCAGAAGGGGACATGTGATTGGGCAGCGGCTATCTACTGACTTGACTATTGTTCGTTCAAGACGTTCAAATGTTGTTTTGCGTCTGGAGCCAGTTGGTGAATATTTTTTTTCACAATGAACAAGAAATGCAGTCTGCTATAGATTTTGTATGGTTGAAATACGATGTGCTTTAATTATCGTATTATACTGAAGATTAATATGGATCACCCGTCCTACAATTTTCATGACTGTTGGATTTGAATTTGGAGTTGTTCAAAATATGACTTGTACAACAACCATGCATGTTATCAGTGTGGAAGAGGATCCGTTTATTTGTTAGGAAGTCGTGTCATATATTGCACCATAGACAGAGTCTTATCTCGGATAATTTCAGATTGCATCCACTTTTCTGACAATTTTGAAATAAGTGTTACTTCAAGAGGTAAAGATTCAGTCCACCTCAATTTTGCCACCTCCCCCGGCACTGTCGGTAAATAGCTGTCAGTAAGTATCTGTTACCCAAATGTTGTTTGTAGTTCAGTAGGAATTTCAACCATACTTCAATGTCGGCTTACATTCCTTAACCCTCATCTTATAATGTTGCTTCTAATAATCATGGTAGCATCACTGAGCCTCGAATAGAATGATCTCCCAGGTGCCAATACTTTGCAAGCGAAATAAAGCAGACTGTTAAGGGATTGTGGGGATTTGAGTGTGATCTTTCTGCTCGACAGACAACTTTTGATGGTGAATGTACATTGAGCTACCTTGTCTTCAATTCTGTGAGTTTTATAATAATTTTTATTGTGTCAAGTTCTACACCAAGGAATGTCAAACTCGTGGCTGGGGTTATAGTTTTTCTGGAGGGATCCCTAAATCTTGACAAATATCTTGGAAAATGAATAGAGTAATGTTACAGTTTTTAGAATGTGGTTTGCCTGCAAACAAGAAATCATCAAGGTAGTGCAAGATATTTGGGTTATACGAGATATTCTTGGTTATCCAGTGGAAGGCAGTGACAAATTTTCCCCAGACAACACAACTGATTGAGGCACTAAAGGGTATCATTTTATGGAAGTTAAATTTTTCTTGGAAATTAAAACTTAGCAAGGGAAAAAATCAGATGTAGCGACTGGTACATGTATGGGTCTAAATGCTAACTTGATAACTGATTTATCTAGCTTTTTCCTTGACCCAGAAGAGCTATCATGTCTGCTGTGTCGTCAATGTAGGAAAAATTAATTGAGTCATTTCTACGTATGATAAGTGGTGAATACGTCTGAAATTCCCATCTCTTTTTGGAGTATTAGATCTAATGGCGAACCTGAAGTGATGTGAAAAGGGCGCTGAAAATGACCACATATTCTTTGAAGAGCTCATTCTACGTGATTTTTTTTATTAACCATTTCAGGATGCTGGGTAGCACTTTAAATATTCTTAGCTCTGGTCTTTTTGGGTCATTGTTGTGTAATTAGGTCACCTGAGTCACTCAGGTGACCTATTGCTATCCGTTTTTGTCCGTCAGCGTTCGTCGTGCGTCGTGAGTTAACATTTTAACATTTTTAGCTTCTTCTCTGAAACCACTCAACTAATTTCAACTAATTTTTGCATATAGCACCTATGGGTAAAGGGGAACAAAAATTGTGAATTTCATGGTCCCTGCCCCCCTGGGGCCTGAGGGGTGGGGCTAAAACTACCAAAATTAATGCAATCTTTAAAAATCTTCTTCTTTATTCCTGGACATCAAGCAGTCAAACTGTTGGCATGATTGTAATAAGCAATGAGCCCTCTACCAAAATTGTGAAATTCATGGCCCCAGGATCAGGGGTTGTGGTGCTAGGGTGGGGCTATATACATCATATAGTGAAAGTGCATTATTTCTTTGAAATTCTTCTTCTCTGCTCCTGGGTATTAAATAAACTAACTAAGTACATAGTTATGTTGAGCAAGACTGCCTCTTCCAAAATTGTGAATTTCATGGCCCCTGGGTCAGGGGTTCTGGTGTTGGGGGGGGGGGGGGCTCTATTGATTATATAGTGAAAATGCATTAAATCTTTGAAAATCTTCTTCTCTGCTCCTGGGTATGAAATATACTAACTGAGTACATGGTTATGATGAGCATGCCTGCCTCTTCCAAAATTGTGAATTTCATGGCCCCTGGGTCAGGGGTTTGGGTGTTAGGGCGGGGCTCTATTGATTATATAGTGAAAATGCATTATTTCTTTGAAAATCTTCTTCTCTGCTCCTGGGTATTAAATAAACTAACTAAGTACAAAGTTATGATGAGCATGGCAGCCTCTTCCAAAATTGTGAATTTCATGGTCCCTGGGTCAGGGATTCTGGTGTTAGGGAGTGGGGGGCTCTATTGATTATATAGTGAAAATGCATTATATCTTTGAAAATCTTCTTCTCTGCTCCTGGGTATGAAATATACTAACTGAGTACATAGTTATGATAAGCATGGCTGCCTCTTCCAAAATTGTGAATTTCATGGCCCCTGGGTCAGGGGTTCTGGTGTTAGGAGGGGGGGGGGGCTATTTATTATATAGTGAAAATGCATTAAATCTTTGAAAATCTTCTTCTCTGCTCCTGGGTATGAAATAAACTAACTAAGTATGTAGTTATAATGAGCATGGCTGCCTCTTCCAAAATTGTGATTTTCATGGCCCTGGGTCAGGGGTTTGGGTGTTAGGGCGGGGCTCTATTGATTATATAGTGAAAATGCATTATTTCTTTGAAAATCTTCTTCTCTGCCCCTGGGTATTAAATAAACTATCTAAGTACATAGTTATGATGAGCATAGCAGCCTCTTCCAAAATTGTGAATTTCATGGCCCCTGGGTCAGGGGTTCTGGTGAAGGGGGGGACTCTAATGATTATATAGTGAAAATTCATAATTTCTTTCAAAATATTTTTTTCTACTCCTGGTTATAAAGCAAAGAAACAAGTGTATAGTTATGATGAGCAAGGATGCTTTTACAAATCTTTTAACACTTGTGGTCCCAGGGGTTCTGTTGTTTCTCCGGGGGGGGGGGGGGGGCTCTTTATGATTATATAGTGAAAATGTGTGAATTCTTTGAAAATCTTCAACTAATTACATAGTTATGATGATGACGGTACCTCTTCCAAATTTGTACATTTTCATGACCCTAGGTCATGTGTTCTGGTGTTAGGGTAGGGCTGTGTTAAATAGTGAAAATGCATTATTTCTTTGAAAATCTCCTCTGCTCCAGGGCATATTAGAAGCAAACAGAGTAAAAGTTTTAATAAGCAAGGTATTTTTACCAGAATTTTGAACATCTGGACCATTTAGTCAAGTGTTCTGGTCCTTGCCAGGGCTCTATTAATTTGTATTCTACTTAGTGAAGTTATTCACCTTTGCTATTCACCTTTGATAATTAATCACTGTAGATAATGTCTTTGAAAGATTAATAGAATAAGAAAATTATGCAAGAACATTTATTGTATAATGCAAAAAGTACTTTCATAGTTTAAATAATCAGGTAGACTTGGAAATAATAGATGAATAAAAATGAAACAAATATAACTTATCTTTTTAAATGTTCTTCAAGGGCCAAGTGAGGCCAATGTGAGAGGTAATAATAGAGACATCTATTATGATCTTAATCGTACTATTTTCCTTGCTATTGGGCAACAAAGCTTCGTTTATGAGTTTATGGATCCTCTAAATTGTTGTACTCAGGTGACCGTTAAGGCCCTTGGGCCTCTTGTTTAAAATCATATTGGAAGCTATTTATCAGGAATTCTTTAACATTCAGTTACTTTGATTGATGTATAGTCTAATTTGTAGAAAATGGTGTTAAAAACCACTACGTTGTTAGCAATTTGGACTATTGTTTTCTGTAGTTGAGTGCTGGATGAGTACCACAGCTTAACTTGCAGGTGTGTCTGTACTTACAATTATGGGAGAACTGAAATTTCAAAACTATAATAGTTACATGTATTGTCGTATAACGAGTAATCATTTGTTATTTTAATGCGTTTCGATAATTGTTAGGAAACGTGCAAGTATCAAATATTGACATGAGTTATTGCACATGACATCTGCGTTAGAGATATGCAGTAACCATATCTCACTATTCAATTGCCCCCAGTGATGAATGCTGGACAGAAGCCTTTCCGAGTCTTTATTGTTCGTCATATTTAAACCAATCTGCCGATTTGATGGGCGAGACGAATGAGAGAAAGAAAAAATAAAAGCAGATGTCTTCTTTTCTATCGACATATATGCCTTAGATTTCGCTGAATTAGGCATGTTTTTTGTCCCTAATTTGCAGTTTCCCTTGAGAGTCCATTTCGTTGGTTAGTATAAGCTATAGGTATAACTGTATAAGTAAAGTATGGTCAGATGAAGATATTTGTAGATCTTTAGGTGATTAAGTAGAAGCACGAGGCCTAATAATTTTGATCAGACTTTTGAGGCAAAAGAAAAAACGTCGCCTGCGTGGTGCAGTGGTTAGAGCGTCTGGTCTAGAGTCGTGGCGTAAGGAGTTGATCCTTACGTCGCGGGTTCGAATCCCAATGTGGGACGTGGAGACCGTCCTTCAGATGAGACCGTATAAACCGAAGTCCCGTGTCGCAGTAAGTGCTGGCACGTAAAAGATCCCTCACTGCTCAATGGCCGTAAGTGCCGAGTATAGGACAAAATTTGCAGCTCTCCACCGGCAAGTGGTGGCGTCTCCATATGAGTGAAAGATTCTCGAGAGGGACGTTTAATAACATACAAACAAACAAACAAACAAACAAAAGAAAGAACTTGAATGTACGTTCACTTATATATTGTAATTCATATCCACAACCTAATAAAAATAGAAGCCTAGTCATTGTCAAATCCAAAATCAAAGTTCAAAGTCAAAAGGTCAATCAATATGGCTGTAACATGACTGACTTGTCAGTTTTATAATTTTCCATTTAATTTAGAAAGAATTTTTGATTTTTGAATGAGTGTGCTCTCACGTGACGATTTTTTTTACAGATTCAACACCAGTTTCTCCTGTTTCCAGTCGACAGGATCCTTTTCCACCTCCAACAGGTACAAAAACAACAATAACAGTGATTAGAATGGAATTGTTTTATTACTACTTGGCTTAGATTAAAAAGAATATAAATAGGAAATTTGTTTTTAATCTTTTCCCCCGGAAATTTCCATTTTTTATATCAATCAATGTTAAATCCTGCATAGTTTCCACTACTGAAAATCTTTCACAGGGATAGGATTGAGAAAGGAAATCAGAAATAGTTCGTTTGTTCATGAAAATGTTATATAAATTTGATTTTTTTTCTATGAACGTCATACTCTTTATAGACCCGGAAGTTAGGAGACCAAACGCTTTTGTATTTGAACCAAGGAAGCCAGGAATGCCTTCTATTCCAGGTATCTAAGTACAGCTTTATGCATTTTATATTTACTTTCCTGTATTTCTAAATTGCATTTAAAGATAACGAACAGAAACGCTAGGTACACGGTCACAGATCTATGACAGCGTACTTAAAATGCATCTAGGACACATAACCCAAAACGCAATGGCAGTGAAGTACATTACTATAAGGAAAAAGAGTAATGGTAATTTTATGACAAAATTCTAGAATAAATGGGAACGTAAGGAGCTCTGATGATCCTTAATCTTGAAATTTCCTAATATTTTTTATGTGATCAGCATTTTGACATTTTATATAAATTCTATCTGATCTCCTAATGAATATGCATGTACTTACAAAAAAATAATATTTTTCAATTCTTTTCAGATATCAGTCCTGATAATGGTAAATACTTTTTTAAAAAATTACCCGTTTCAATATTTATGCACTTCATTGTTGAATAATGTGTCTTGTTATAATATTCAATCTCTCTTCGTTGAATTGATTTATTTTATGGATATATATTTACATGCTTTCAAAGCATGCAAACTATATGAAATACAAAATTATAACCTTTCCCAAATATTTCCTCATATTGACCTTTATATTGTGCAGAATTGTTTGGTTTCCCACCTGCCCCTCCTCCCCCTCCTTCCTTTGGTTTGTATATATTGTATACGTAGCAGTATGCAGCTTTTTCTGTATTTGTTCCTCTGTTTTGTGTATAGTTTGTATATATTGTATACGTAACGGTGTGTAGCTTTTTCTGTATTTTTTCCTCTGTTTTGTGTATGATTTGTATATATTGTATACGTGACAGTGTGTAGCTTTTTCTGTATCTGTTCCTCTGTTTTGTGTATGGTTTGTATATATTGTATAGTAACAGTGCGTAACCTTTTCTGTAATTATTTTGTGTTTGGCTTGTGTATAACCGGTATGTGCATATTGTAGACGTATCAACATATTATTTTAGTAATCGGTTCCTCTGTTGAGTGTTTGGTTTGTATATATACATATTGTAAACGTGTCAATACGTAGATCTTTTTTAGTAATTTTTTGTCTTGATTTGTAAATGTTGTAAACGTATTAATGTAACGCCTTTTAGTAATTTAGTTCTCTGTTTGTGTTTGTTTTATACGAGGGGCATTTCAAAAGTTCTGGCAACTGGTGTGCGGTAAACTAATGAGCGTCATTATCATAAATTAAATTATATCAATCCCTCAAAATAGTCTCCGTTGACCTGGACACACTTTTTCAGTCTTGAAATCCACGTGGAAAATGCTGCCCTATAGTCCTCTTTCGGTATACGCTTCATACACTGGAATACGGCACTTCCGACTGCATGACGACTTTCAAATCGCCGTCCTCGGAGGGCTTCTTTGATAACGGCATTCAATCAAAAATCGCATGGATCTAGGTCAGGACTGTAGGGTGGATATGGTAAAACGGCAATACCATTTTCCTTTAAATATTTGGTTACTACCTCTGATCTATGGGCAGGTGCGTTGTCATGGAGGAGCTTTATTTCTCTAGTACTGGTTGTTGGTCGGGTCGTTTTATAGTGCTCTACAACCTGAGACAAGACATTCTCTGCATAAAATTGACCAGTAACACTGCTGTGTTCTGGAACCAGAACTTGAGCAACAGGGCCTTAAGAATAAAAAAATAAGGCGTACATTACTCTCCGGACAGACCGGTTTCTGTGTGCAATTTGAGGCCTTGTATCATTTTCACCGATCCAAACTTTATTATTGAGCTTAGTTTCCGGTTCAAAAAAATATATCCATGTTTTATCACCAGTTACAATCTCATTTATTCGCCTTTGGTCACAATCTACATAAATTGTTAGTAACTGTGAAGCCATTTCTACCCGGATGCGCTTTTGCTCTTCCGAGAGAAGATGTGGCACCCATCTAGCACAGACTTTCCTAAGCTTTAAGTTTTCCTTTAAAATACGAAAAACTGCTGACGAATTAATGTTAGTTAAGTCTGCTATTTCCTCAACTGTATATCTAGCATCATCAGCTATCGTATTTTGAACAGCGACGATTTCTTTTTCGCCATATGCAAAAACTGGACTCCCCGAATGGGGGTCATCTTCAATTGATTTTCTTCCCTCTTTAAATTGAACTACCCATCTTGCTATTGCTCGATATGAAAGAGCATGCTCTCTATATACTACATCTAAATCGGCTTTTATTTCTGTTGTCGTAAAGCCAAGCAATGAGCGAATTTTGCAATACGCTCTTTGCTCAACAAAAAAATTGTTCTCCTTATCAGTCATTTTTACGCCCAGTATACAGAGATGCCTAATTATGACGTCATTTAGCAGACCTATACGTCATTTTGAATGTAAAATGACGTCACTACTAATGCATATTTGCCTAAGCTTTGCAGTGGTATCGGAGTAATTTTAATCCGTAACGTAGTTAAAATTTTATATACCAGTTACCAGAACTTTTGAAATGCCCCTCGTATTTATTGTATTTGTATGTGGCTTAATCAGTAATTTGTTACATATGTTTTGTGTCTTGGTTTATATTTATTGTATATGTATCCTGCTTAATCTGTAATTTGTTCCTATGTTTTGAGTCTTTGTATTGTATACATATCATTACGTAGCCTTTTCAGTAATACGATTTTCTGTTTTGTTCTGTGTCTTTTGCTTACTTTTAAGGTGATAGAGCGCGCATGTTTACCTGCAATCATAATAGACAGAAATAATTATCCGATCGTATTTATGCTTTAATAACATCTCTTAAAATATAAGAGGTACAGAAAAACATTTTATTTTTAGGATTGAATTCTAGGATTTTCTTGCTTTTGGTATTATGAATAGAAATGCTTCTTTTCAAGCTTGACTGAATTTAAAATAAATTTCACTGGGATCTGGAAAATGAAAATTGCATGTATTTATATTTCTTTTGAATATATGAAATCTTTACAGGAGGTCCCACACAACCGCAGACTAAGTCCATATCACCGATTCCGGGACCTCAGACTGATCCAATTCCGCGGATCCCTGGATCGCGGATTGATCCAGTTCTGCCAATCCCTGGATCTCAGATTGATCCTGTTCCGCCGATCCCTGGGCCACAGACTGATCCTTTTCCTCCTATCCCTGGATCTCAGATTGATCCAATTCCGCCGATCCCTGGATCGCGGATTGATCCAGTTCCGCCAATCCCTGGATCTCAGATTGATCCTGTTCCGCCGATCCCTGGGTCACAGACTGATCCTTTTCCTCCTATCCCTGGATCTCAGATTGATCCAATTCCACAAAATCCTCGATCTCAAGGTTCATGTGAGTTCCACAGTTTTCAATTTTTTTCGAACATGTAACTGAATTTTAGTTGTTAAAAATTCAGTACAAAAGAATTGATAGGGAACATGTGAAAGTATGAGTTGATGTTAGAGAGTGACCTTTCCTTAAGGAGGCTGGGGGTCAACAAATTAACCATCAGATATAACTTATTTTTTTATATATGATATCTTAAGCTGTCAACTATCATTTGGCAAAGAAAGAATTCATACATTTTAGTTTTAAAATTTGATCATTTTTGTATATCTTTACATGGAGCTCTTTTTCTAAAGGAGATCAATATAGTCTATAAATGGCCACGACCACCCAGCCCTCTTAAGGAATAATAGCCATATAGATATTTCTCTTGAAGTCATTCTAATAGTCGTTTTCAGAGTAAGTTTTATCCATTTTAGTAGATGACAATCAACCAGAAAGAGTTCTACTACTTCTTTACTGTCACTGAATTTATGCGCAACAATATTTGATGGTCTATTTGATGTTTTAGCCATTCTTTCCGATGTAGAGGTATCACCAGGGCATTTCCGACCCTCAGAGGGAACCCCGTTTATCTTAGAATGTGGAGGCGGAATAAATCCAGATTCCGCTGGAACTGTTAGGTGGATTAAAGATGGCAGGGCTGTAGATAAGGACGTCCGTCAAGACAGAAACGGAAACCTCGTGTTTAATCCAACCATCTTGTCTGACAGTGGATACTATACATGTATGTCCACCAATCAGAGAAAGGTTTACAATGCTGCCGTAGATGTTTTACCTGAGAACATCAATGGTAAGTTTACCTGAGATTGGAAGAAACGAATCGACACAAACATATATTTAGTTGTGTCAGAACAAGATTAATTCATGTCAATTGACATACGTTATCTTCTCAATGTTATTGTTTCACCTGTTACTGATATATTAATGCACATCATTACAACTTTACACGCTTCTATTAATAAAATTGGCTCTTATGTGATAAAGCAAGGACGCAACACGACGTAACACATATTTAAAATTAACTGTTGGAAATAGTTCATCATTTTTCGATTTCCATGGTATGGCCGTGTCATGTGACTTTTATTTACAGAATGGCTATAAGTGCGAAAAATATAACCCTATCCTAACATTTAAGCATATCTTATTCAGAAACCATTTTAAATGTCTTACATTTTCTTATATGATCTTCTGTCTCCTGTATGCACCTGCTTACATGGTTTACCTGTATACTGTAAGTCAGTTTTTATTCGCGAGAACTTAATTTTTGCGTAATTACGCAAGCGGGCCTTCTCCCGAACATATTTTTGTTAGAATAGATTTTATACACTTTCCACAATTCGTAAAAATTTGTCTGCTTATAAATACCAAATACCTATCCCGCGAAAATAAGGTGTTGCGAAAATTTGGTGATCTACAGTAATCATTCCAACTTCTGAACTGAGTCAGCTAAAATATCTTATATTTTTTCACTATTTTACATAAACTGGCAACACAACTTTTAATACTATAAAGATTTTAAAAAATAGAACTTTATTATTATACAGGGTAATGTCAATCATTTGTATATGTTGTAGTCGATAAAGACAGAGGAAATGCTGCGATACGTAGACAGTGACGAATTTCTTACTTCTGATGCAGTTTATTAATACCTATTTGTTGCATGAATCTATCTCCAGTTACAACACTGTCTTTAGCCACGGTCGGAAGTCGGCATATGTAGCTGTCTACTGAATGGGAGAGGACATTGTGGCTGTAGTTTGCCACGGTCGGAAGTCAGCATACGTAGCTGTCTTCAGAATCGGAGAGGACATTTTGGCTGTAGTATGCGGCAATAGTCTTACAGATATCACAAAATCAGTCGCATCTATTTTAATATCTCTTGTTTACATGTAACCAATTTTTGGACTTCATTTCTTCAATGATTTTGTTTTACTTTATGTGCGAAGTGGGTTCTCATCATTAATAAATACCACATTTGAGAGCATGAACAGTATATAAAAAGAAAATTTGTATTAACTATTAAGACTATGAGGTTTTTAGTAATTAAACAAGTATTTTCACACCTACGTCATATGACGTCATATTCATTTGTAGCTCTTATTTATGTGCTGCTTTATCACATAAGCGTTCTTTTTTTGAAGTGGTCAAACTTTGGTGTTCTTTTCGATGGTTTTTGAAGTGATAAGAATAATCATTTGTTTCTATTATGATGTTCCTATAATTCAGTGTTATATCGTGAAAATAAATTGTATTTCAATTTTCAGATAAGCATTATTTTGTGCTACTTTCTAAGATTTTAAAATGTGCCTTTTTAATTTTTGTTACAGATTTCCTTCTGAGTGAGAAGAATAAAAATCCAGAGGATAGACTTCCAATGCTGGAGTACTACAGACCTCTGTCAACATCGTTATTCAATCTTACCTGTAACATTACTGGAGCAGATTACCGACAACCAATTACATGGACCAAAGATGGTCAACCGCTAGATCTTTCAAAACCTTCAATGCTTCAACTTGGAGACAGAGGTCGAACTCTTACATTCCCATCAATTCTTCCTGATCAGTCAGGAATGTACAGATGTCAGATAGGACAAGACGACAAGGCGGCAATTATTGATGTCAGACCCGAAAGTGTCCAAGGTATGCAGATTTAAACATGTAAAAACAGTTATATTCATGAGTACCCTTTATAGTTACTTTTGCTGTACCTGTATATTGCTTTGATCTTTATGGATGCCCTTGTATATAGCATAGGCAATTATAAGAGTTGCTTTTCAAAGAATAATGCTCTTTCATAAGGAGAAGAAGACTTGACAAAATACAGTAGATGTCGTACCTTTATTCCAAATCGATTGTCTTTCTGCATAGTTTTCATTACCTTTTTCTTGGGATGTTCATGTATATATTAAACTTAACATCTTTACCAACATGTTTTATACATGTAGTCACATTGAAATGCTTACGATACTTTTAGAGTACTTGCTTTTAAGTGAGCTAAATGACAGAACACCCAATGCGGTGCTGCCAAACAGGGAACAGCTGCCATACTTACAGCTGCCTAATACAGAGAACACCCCAAAGCTCATTGTAACGGACAGTGGTTCTTCCACTCTCATTCCATGTGATTCTGGTTTTAATGTCGATCCTAATGCACCAGTTTCCTGGTACAAGGACGGTGTTCTTTTGTCATCGGAACCTGGAGTGGAGTTGCGGACAGAGGGTTTGTTTCTTACCAATCCCATGCTCTCTGACACGGCTTTATACACATGTGTTCTCGGTGATGGCGAAGCATCATCTTCCACCAGGCTGATTGTCAACGAACCTAGATCATATCCAGGTAAATAGTCTTATTTCTTTATTAATGAATTTTTAAATAAGTGCAAAAACGAATTATAAAATATTAATAAAACACCATTTTTTCATACGGTTTTACAGGTGTGTACGTCATTTGGGTAATCCCCGTTTCAATCACTTTTTCTGTTTAATATAATATATTGTACATACAAGGGTTGTCGATTAAGTTCGTAGAAAAACGCTATAATTTTCTTAATAATGACTGGGCTACATGTGTCTCATATTATTTTTATATTGACCATGGATAAGTAAACGTAAAAAAAATAAAACAATATACTCTATTTTACGAAAGTTGTAGGTGTAAACAGATTGTATACGCAAACCGCACGGCCCAGTCTAAGCTAGTTTTGTAATTATAACGTTAAAAGATTTGGATTTTGAATTTTTATCACATATTCTTAGACACACGCTATTTTTTTCTTTATCATGCTTCACTGCTATGTGTGTGCGATAATATTTACACACATGCATGTGTATAGACCAATTGAATTTTTAAAATTCAAATCAATATATGATCATTTTTAACCGTCATCAGTATAAACACTTCGTATACACAGGCTGCGCAGTCCAGTACGTCAATGCGCTAGATTTATAACAATGCCATGAATAGGGATATCCTATTTTCAATAAATAACATTAGTTTTCCAATCTTTTAGTTTTTTTCAGATTGTACACACCGTTGAAAAATCATGTATACCAATTTCAAATTTAAGTCAATGAACTAAATATATATTACAATAATTTCCAGTTGTTTGAATAATTAGTTTATCTCTGACGTCGTTTCAACCATATTAGAATATAATTTAATGATTGAACGCTGTTCCGTTCGGATTGCCGACGTCGCTTTTTTCTGTCAATTTGTGAAACATATTCGTTGCATTTTTTCCTTGGTATTTTCACAATTTGTCCTATAAGCGTTATTAAAGATATCGATCAGAATATGACGACAACCGCTTTATTTGAGACACATTTAATTTTATTAAGTTGTTTTGCTTGTTTTATGAAGAAAATAATCCTTACAAACCGAAAACTTTATTTCAAAGCTTATGACATTTTAAACTTGGATCGTGCACACTATCATCGACCTTTAAAGACCGCGATTTTTACAAAAATATTAAGATCAAGCAATCAAAACAAAATTATTCTGACTTGGATTTTCATTACAAATATTTTATTATATATAAAAAGTATATCTAGGTTTCACAAAAATTGTCCACGTACTTTATGGAAAGCCTTATTTATTATATTTCCTAACCATTTAATGTTTTAGCTAGATAACATCATACAAAGAGTAATCAAATTTATGTCAGTGGATATTCGAGAAAGCATGCAAAAGATATTTAATATTTGAAATGTATTAACTTGCTCGTAATATTACTTACATGTAGGACACCTTTAATTCAGCCATCTTCTTTTTAAAGTCAATCTGCTAAAACGATACCTTTTATTGATCCCTATACCTAAAACACCAAATTATGTTTATAAATTTTGAACAGAAACATGTGAAGATAGCGATGGGAAAGTATTCCCAGAAGGAGAGACATACGCTCCAGATCTTACAAAGCCTTGTGAAGTATGTACATGTTCCCGTGGAAATCCAGTAAATTGCAATCAAATGATGTGTGATGCTCCTCCATGTCCAAATTATGAACTTATTGAAGGCACATGCTGTGGATTCCGATGCTTAGGTACCATACTAGTATTTTAAGTAAATTAATAAAGCTCAAGATATATTTTTTTTCCAATTTCTACGAATTACATTCGATTATTATGCACTACTACTGAATGAACTGTCTGGACGTGGTAAAGCTGGAAAAGGTCTTGGAAAAGGAAGCGGTAAGGTCAAAGGAAAGTTCTGAAAGATACTTTACATCCAGAGTATCAGCAAGTCCGCCATACGCCGTCTTGTTCGCCTTGGTGGTGTCAAATATACATGTATCTTTGGCTAATATTTTTTCTCCCTTTGAATTTAGTTTTAATTGATCAATTATTATTTTTGTACTTAAGACACACCAGGTGAGCCACAACCTCCTTTTACTCCCATCGAACCTGAACCTCCAATTAGGCCTCCTGTCAATGAAAATCCAGATCGACGGTTAACTGAGTCCGTATCTCCTTTTAGAGGCAAGTTTATTTCTTACAGATCTATTCATATTAAATTGTCTAAAACAGACTATTCGTTAAGACTTCAGATTTTTTAGGTCATCTCAGTCAGTCAGGCGACCTATTTCAAAATATTTGCCAAACATTGTGTGTTGTCCGTTGTATGTCCGTCCTTAATTTTTAAATTAAATTAAAATTTTGTTAAAACCATCAAAATCAATGCAATCATCAAGAAAGATTCTGTATTCTTGAACATCTATGCTAAATTGTGGGCTTGATTTTAATGAGTAATGATTCCTCTACCGAAATTGTGAAATTAATTGCCCCCTGGGTTTAGGCTCCATTATCGGGATAAATTTTTCATATCATCCAGGCAAACTATTCACAAGATTATGATAGTCCAAAAAATTTGTGAAAGTCATGAGCACTTGGTCCATTGTTCAGACCCTAAGGTGTGGTTTAGTTGGTCATATATTGAAAATTCATCACATATGAAAATCTCTTTCCTTTACCAATGGACAGTAACAGATTGATTGATAGATTGTATACTGTGTTACGTCCCGTTCGAAAATTTTTCACTCATATAGAGACGTCACCATATACATGTACATGTACCAGTGAAGGGCTTCAAATTTAGACCTTTACTCCACACTCAGAGCCATTAAGCACCGACTGAGCTACCGTGACGGTGACACTAGCAGAAACACTGTTTACATGACTATAATTTACACACAACTCTCTTCAAAAGTTTTAATGTCCCTAGTCCTGACTCTCTATTTTATATGATTGGGTCCTTTGAAAAGCTTCATTCACAATTCAAAAAAGATTCATGTTTCCCCCTGAATATTTTATTTTCAAAAAGCCATCCCCCTATTAAAACATATAAACAGATAAAATTATATGTTTATAATAATATGACTTGCTACTAAGATTTTTGTGTATAATAAAACAGAAGTTAATTTAAGAACTAAATATATGATTAGTTTAATTATAATAGTTTTCTCAAAGAGAACACTAATTTTCCCAATTTCAATGGCCCTGGCCAGTGGTGTGAAAATCCTGAAAATCACATTGAAACCTTAAGATCTTCGTCTTTACCGAAGATGAATCCGTCAAATTGTGTACAAATTACAATGAATACAAACTACAAATAAATAATATTTTAGGAATGACTCTAATCCTTGGCCATATTGTTCGATTATAACCTGGTTTCGGTCAGTTTACGCTTTATAATCCGCGAAGCGGATTATAAAACAGCGTAAACTGACCCAAACCAGGTTATACTCGAATAATTTGGCCAAGAATGAGTCATTCCTTATAATATGATTTTAAAATCATTTAATAACTATGGGTGTAAAATTTCGTTGCTTTTTATTAGTTCAAATTTGCCGCTCAATAATACAACTGTAGTAACGGAAGTGATGAGAAGCGAGGGGAGGTAAGAACTGATACATAGGCCTAGCAGCCTTGTTGTTTGTTTACATGTGGTAAGATCGAATTATTGTTTGAAGTTAAAGGTATATTTATTAAATCTGGAATTTTCCATGAATCCAGAGGATTGGAAATGAGAGGATTGTATGGATACAGATGATTCAGCTGGTTGTCAGGGAGGGGGGGGGGGGTGCCCCCATACCAAACCAGGTTATACAGAAATAATTTGTAATCCTTTTTGGATATTAACCAATCAGAGGCTAGAAAACAAACGAAATTAAATTATATTGAAATACACCTTTTAAGTTTTCCTTACTCGTGGACATCTGGCAAATAAAATGTTTATCTTCATAATTAACACTAAACCTTTCAGGGCATTTGTAAAATTCATGGCCCCTGCCAGATGCTTCAAGTCCAAGGATGGGGATTATCTGGTAAAAATTGAAATATTGCATATTGAAAGTATATTAACATTTAAACAAACTAATTCAGAGAATTTGTGTCCCCCGCTGAAGGAAAAAAAAAAGAAGAACATGCGCAGATCTGGGGGTGGGGGTCAGACCTTAACCCCCCTCTTGGATTTGCAGAATTATCATATATATATATATATATATATATATATATATATATATATATATATATATATATATATATATATATATATATATATATATATATAAGAGGGGTTATCAAAAAGTTCGTGGACTGATGCAATAAAATTAATACTATGTAGTCTGTGCTTACAAAATTTATAATAAACATAAAACAACAAAAGTTTAAGAAATGTTGAAAAATTTAGCTTAATACGTTGGTAATTTTCCAAATTATACTAAAATAAACAAGACATTATATGATCACCCGGCGCTGTTGCCCTTTACTTTCATGACGTCCGACGTCACAGTTTCTCAATGTCCGCTCCCTCTCTACCTCATTCACTTATCTTGATGAGATTACCTGGAGTTAAGTAGGGGCTTAAGCCCGTCTTGTTTATATAACTTTACAATTTCATGAACAGCTGCTTTCAATGCATATATTATTGTAAATGGATCTATACATAAGGAAAGATCCTCACTTGATTATCCAACAAGGAGTTTAATTTCTACAACACATGATCAACGTCACTTTTCGACGTGACTGACTTTTGACCCCCTGACTACAAACCGACATTAGCTGTGCATCTTTCATCTTTCTGAATCTTTTGGGGCATTTAAAAACAACTACTTTGGGTGCATTTAACTTTTCTGTAGCCCGATGAAATTTTCCCTACGTCTATATCAGTTTTTCAAGGTGCGAAACTTTATCGAATGCTAGAAAAAGAAACCCTTAAAAAAGCCCTTAATTTTTTAACACTCCATATAAAATTTACGATAAAATTTCATAGAACTTACGAAATGGGGTAAAAATTGCAAACTTTACAGAACAATTGTATAGTACTACATGCCTGAAATAACGGGATTTTGTTTTATGACAAATGCTCATATCAAAAGAGTTTTTCTCAGTTACACTCAGGTAGAAAAAACGTCATATTTGAGGTTGCGCCGCCTGGACATACCATTGCTTACAAAAACAGTAACAATTTATTAAAAAAAATAAAACTTATGATTTATGATTTATTCTATAGATAGAAAAGATAATGCTCACTAAATGTATTAAAATTCATTGATGTACCTAAAGCGGTTATAATTTTATGGCGCTTGTCCACGAACTTTTTGATAACCCCTCGTATATATATATATATATACCGACATATGTATATATATATATATGTATATGTATACTGAAGCAAATATGGATATAAAGATTTGATTGCTTATTCTTTAATATGTGCACAGAAGATTCTTTATATATATATATATATATATATATATATATATATATATATATATATATATATATATATATATATATATATATATATATATATATTTATCACACTGTGATAAAGATTTTATGAGAAGTTTGTACACGCCAGACGTCATAACCTTTTCATTTCGACTGTTCATACTTTGAATACTATCATTTGGTAAATCAAAAAAAAAAAAAAAAAAAAAAAAAAAAAAAAAAATTAAAAAAAAATTATGGGATCGTCCGGGATTTGAACCAGTGACCTCTTACATGCTAAGCAAGAATCATACCACTAGACAAAAGAGGCACCTGATAATAATTCAAATTAAATGCAAACATTAAGTCACATATACATGTTTATATTGTCAAAATTTTACACAACACATGTTGTCTAATTTAACCTTTACTGAACAGTTCTGATAGATGTAATTAGAATCTAAAGTCCGCCGACAACCTGTATTATATGTGATAACTCTCCACTTGCTCCTTTGCTAAGAATAGTGCCACGCGACTTTTAATACAATAAAAAACGGGGCGGGACACTTTGAGAGGGGCGAGAGAGGCCATAAGGAGTTACGGTATAAAATTCCAATGCAAAAGCTCAAAAGCTTCTTGAAATATTGCCCGGAAACGAAAGTCTTACACACAGAATTTATGAATTGACGACTTTGACTTTTGACCTTTTGACCTCAAAATCAATAGGGGTCTTCTTTAGGCCACAGGGAGTTGTTATGTAAAGTTTAACTCCGAAAACTCAAAGGCTTCTCGATATATTGCGCGGAAACGAAAGTGTTAAACACACAGAATTTATGAATTGATGATCTTGACCTTTGACCTCAAAATCAATAGGGTTCTTCTTTAGGCCATAGGGAGTTGTAATGTAAAATTTCATTGCGAAAGCTCAAAGGCTTCTCGAGATATCACGCGGAAACAAAAGTGTTACAGACAGACAGCTAGACGGACGGACAGACAGACCGAAATTAATATCCCCCACTTTCAGTGAAAGAGGGGGACAAAATATTTTCGATAACTTAGTAATAGCAGATAAATTGTTCACACGAATATGAGTAGCAACTAATCCTCTGCATGCTTCCTTGGACCCTTGACCAAACCCCATGGTGAGGTTACTTGATCATGATCATATGTTGAAATTTATTTCGCAGCATACTATATCTTCTTAACTCCTGAGCTTCTAGGAGCAATCTGTATGAATATGACAATTGCAGTGTCCTCAGCAAACTTGAATTGTATTGTCTAGACAAGTTTCAGGTTTGACCAGGATTTGTTTCATGATAGTCTAATGACCGATGAGGCTCATTACCTTTATGTTTAATGGTGTACTTTTTACTTTGATAGTTATTCACGTATAAAAAAGGAAGTACAATGACATCAAATACTAAAAATAAACAAAATATTTTATAGAGCCATAAAACCACATAAAGGGTTGTACATTCCATTAACTTTTTCTTTATATACATGCATATCCTAGCAATGTTTATAGCTTTAATCATTTATGTCTTTAGTTGCTTTGTTTTTTATTACACAGGCGTTCCTCCTCTACCTCCCCCTCCTCCGCCTTACTTTGGTTTGTATTATTCTGCTTGTTTCATGCATTATATTCTGTCATGTCTTATTACCCTACATTATAGATACCATCCAAATGATTTATGCATAGTTTTATTTACAAAGAACTTTGTGTGAATACTTGTGCAATAGAAAGCTATACATGGCTATATCTACTTCTAAGAGAGCCATTTAATTTCCTGCTTCCATGTGCTAAGATGCTTGTAACGATGCTTGTAATGATGCTTGCTCATCTCTCTTCCGCACTAATTAAAATTATGAAACTAATGCAAGGCTTCTGGTTGTATGGGGAATATTTTTTTCTTACTAGTAACCTTTAAAACCATAATTCACACTTGCTCTCTGCATTGCTGAGCTAAATGAAAGTGTCATAGCTTTAAAATCTATTAAGCTATTTTATATATTGAAGTGTAATATAAGACATTGAGGTAATTTACGCAATCTAAAAGTAAGTTTAATGTCCAATGTTTATAGAGGAACCTGATCCGGATCCAATGGGGATAAATCCAATGGATGCTCTTCCAGCAACTACAGATTTTAAGACACGGCAACCACCTCAACCTAGGCGAATTTCAAGTAAGTGTAAGGGAAACGTTGTTGCTGTTTTCTATATTCCATATTAAAATGTTCACTGCACGAATTTGAGGTTCAGTAGTATTTCAATACAGGTAGATTGTTGAAAAAGAATGAACAATGAATTTTTAGAAACTCCCTATGAGGAGGAAATTTCTCCAGGACATTTCCGGCCAACAGAGAGGACCATGTTTAACTTAAAGTGTCGTATTCCTTCGGCTAATGGAAGAGTTATCTGGATGAAAGATGGAAGACCACTCAGAAATGCAATACAACAAGGTGTAAGGGGAAACCTGGTATTTGATTCCGTTAGGATGCGTGACAGTGGAATATATACATGCTTATCTGATGATTACAAACATATATACAATGCTGCCGTAGATGTATTGCCAGAAAATATTAATGGTAGGTTAATGTCTGCAGTTTTATAAGATTATAGGAAGTACGCAGGTATATTTGAGATATATGTTTTTTCGAAGGGGGGGGGGGGTGTTCATCATAATTTTTTGAAGTTTAGAAATGCAGTAATTGGACTTTTATTGGTTGAAATTGATATAAAAACCGAACGATGCATAAGCCAAAAAATGATGTGCGTGCGTATTCTTTCATTTTAAATTATGAAATGTTTTTAAATAGATTTTGTGCTGAGTGAGAGGAACACAAATCCAAAAGATAGACTCTCTACTATCGATTATCACAGACCCATGTCAAATACTCCCTTTGATCTTAACTGTAACATACCTGGAATGGATAACAGACTCCCAGTGATGTGGAAGAAAGATAATCGACCTTTAGATCTCTCCAAACCCATGTCTCTCCGAATCACAGATAGGGGTCGAACTCTAAGATTCCCCTCAATTCTGCGCGCTCAGTCTGGAGTCTATAGTTGCCAGATAGGGGATGTAGATAGAACAGCAATTGTAGATGTCAGACCAGAAGAGGTACAAGGTAAGTAGACGTTCTTCGAAGGTTGTGGATTGAGGATTTTTTTAACTCACCGGAGCCAGTGTCATAATAGGCAAGTGGAGCTCATCATCAGACTTTACAAAAAGCACTTGGCCAAAAAGAGAATTTCAATAAGGGCTTATTGGGCACAAAGTATCCTTGGATATAAGAAATTAACATTTATAATAACACAGACCATACCCTTCCCAAGATGAATTAATCAATGAAGTGTAAGAATATTGTGAGGTCATTAAAAAAAATGTCTTGAAAACCACTGTGTTAGAACTTTTAAAAAGTATGTGTAAAACTTTCTAATATATTAGTATATAAAGTGTAACATTAGTGTAAAAGTAGTTATCATGTTTTAACTTCTGAACATTTAATTTCTCTTAAACCATTTTCTCCAATAGTATTTAACAGTATCTCTGAGTGAAGAGAAAATTTGTATATTTTATGTTGAGATCAGGGCCTCCAAAGATTTTAGGTATATCGGGCAAAGACATATAACTTTTGAAAGTTAGAGAAGTATTAATGGTGTAATGAGTACTCTGGGGGTAAATTTTCTTGTCCGCTCTAGAAGATCCAAACCCTATCGAAATCTGTCACATTAATATTTATTAACACTCCTCTCTGCAAATGATGTTTGTTTTGAAGTTAAGGAAAGACCTGGGTGTTTGCATTCACTGAAGGCTTTAATTCTATAAATTGAATACTTCTTTTAAGTTCAAATATTCAAGTGTGTATTATATATATCTAACTCTCATAAATCTTTAAAAAAAGTATAAAGATATGTTATTTGTTTAATTGTTGCCTATTTGCAAATGCCATGTTTTTAGCTCACCTGAGCTGAAAGCTCAAGTGAGCTTTTCTGATCACCCGTTGTCCGTCGTCCGTCCGTCTGTCCGTCCGTCTGTCCGTCTGTCTGTAAACTTTTCACATTTTCGACTTCTTCTCAAGAACTACTGGGCCAATTTTAACCAAACTTGGTACAAAGCAACCTTGGGTGAAGGGGAGTTTAAATTGTTAAAATGAAGGGCTAAGTCCCCTTCAAAGGGGAGATAATCAAGAAAAGACAAAAATAGGGTGGGGTCATTAAAAAATCTTCTTCTCAAGAACCACTGGGCCAGAAAAGCTGAAACTTATGTGGAAGCATCCTGGGGTAGTGTAGATTCTAAATTGTTCAAATCATGACCCCGGGGGTAGGGCGGGGCCACAATAGGGAATCCAAATTTTACATTGAAATATGTAGTAAAAATCTTTAAAAATCTTCTTCTCAAGAACCACTGGGCCTGAAAAACTGAAACTTATGTGGAAGCATCCTGGGGAAGTGTAGATTCTAAATTGTTCAAATCCTGACCCCCGGGGGTAGGGCGGGGCCACAATAGGGAATCCAAGTTTTACATTGAAATATGTAGTAAAAATCTTTAAAAATCTTCTTCTCAAGAACCACTGGGCCTGAAAAACTGAAACTTATGTGGAAGCATGCTGGGGTAGTGTAGATTCTAAATTGTTCAAATCCTGACCCCCGGGGGTAGGGCGGGGCCACAATAGGGAATCCAAGTTTTACATTGAAATATATAGGAAAAATCTTTAAAAATCTTCTTCTCAAGAACCACTGGGCAAGAAAAGCTGAAACTTACGTGGAAGCATCCTGGGGTAGTGTAGATTCTAAATTATTCAAATCATGACCCCCGGGGGTAGGGCTGGGCCATAATAGGGAATCCAAGTTTTGCATTGAAATATATAGGAAAAATCTATAAAAATCTTCTTCTCAAGAACCACTGAACCCGAAAAGCTGAAACTTAGGTGGAAGCATGCTGGGGTAGTGTAGATTCTAAATTGTTCAAATCATGATTCCCTGGGGTAGGGCGGGGCCACAATAGGGAATCCAAGTTTTACATTGAAATATATAGGAAAAATCTTTAAAAATCTTCTTCTCAAGAACCACTGGGCCAGAAAAGCTGAAACTTATGTGGAAGCATGCTGGGGTAGTGTAGATTCTAAATTATTCAAATCATGACCCCCGGGGGTAGGGCTGGGCCATAATAGGGAATCCAAGTTTTGCATTGAAATATATAGGAAAAATCTTTAAAAATCTTCTTCTCAAGAACCACTGGACCCGAAAAGCTGAAACTTAGGTGGAAGCATGCTGGGGTAGTGTAGATTCTAAATTGTTCAAATCATGATTCCCTGGGGTAGGGCGGGGCACAATAGGGAATCCAAGTTTTACATTGAAATATATAGGAAAAATCTTTAAAAATCTTCTTCTCAAGAACCACTGGGCCAGAAAAGCTGAAACTTATGTGGAAGCATGCTGGGGTAGTGTAGATTCTAAATTTTTCAAATCCTGACCCCAGGGGGTAGGGCGGGGCCACAATAGGGAATCCAAGTTTTACATTAAAATATATAGGAAAATCTTTAAAAATCTTCTTCTCAAGAACCACTGGGCCAGATAAGCTGAAACTTACTTGGAAGCATCCTGGGGTAGTACAGATTCCAATTGTTCAAATCATGACCCCTGGGGATAGGGCGGGGCCACAATGAGCACTGGGGGGGAGAAATCAGGTGAAAAACAGCAAGGCCAAAGTTACTCAGGTGAGCGCTGTGGCCCATGGGCCTCTTGTTTTGTAATTTGTAATATATATGGAACATCTTAAAATGTCATACTTTAAGAGTTATTTCATGTTCTTCCGTAATTTAACTTTCCTTTTTAGATCACCTGAGCTGAAGGCTCAAGTGAGCTTTTCTGATCACATTTTGTCTGTAGTCCGTCTGTCTGTCTGTCCGTCTGTCCGTCTGTAAACTTTTCACATTTTCGACTTCTTCTCCAGAACCACTGGGCCAATTTCAACCAAACTTGCTACAAAGTATCCTTGGGTAAAGGGGATTCAAGTTTGTTTAAATGAAGGGCCACGCCTTCTTCCAAGGGGAGATAATTAAGAATTCGTGAAAAATTAATGGCATCATTAAAAAATCTTCTTCTCAAGAACCACTGTGCTTGGAAATATGAAACTTATGTGGAAGCATCCTCAGGTAGTGTAGATTCAAGTTTGTTTAAATCATGACCCCCAGGGGTCGGGTTGGGCCACAATGGGTGATCAAAGTTTTACATAGGAAATATATTGGAAAAATCTTTAAAAATCTTCTTCTCAAGAACAGCAAAGCCATGATTGGTCATATTTACTTGGAAGCATTCCCAGGTAGTGTAGATTCAAGTTTGTTCAAATCATGACCCCCGGGGTAGGGTGGGGCCACAATGGGCGATCAAAGTTTTACATAGGAATATATTGGAAAAATCTTTAAAAATCTTCTTCTCAAGAACAGCAAAGCCTTGATTGGTCATATTTACATGGAAGCATTCTTAGATAGTGTACATTCAAGTTTGTTCAAACATGACCCCTGGGGGTCGGGTGGGGCCACAATGGCTGATCAAAGTTTTACATAGGAATACATAGGTTAAATCTTTAAAAATTTTCTACTCAAGAACAGCAAAGCCATGATTGGTCATATTTAAATGGAAGCATCCTCAGATAATGTAGATTCAAATTTGTTCAATTCATGACCCCCCCCCCCCCCGAAACACTTTTATATTTAAACTTTTCAAGCTGTCAAGACTGAAGTGATTTCTGCCTTTTCCTAGCCATAGTGCTCAGGATAGCGATATGGCCCCTGGGCCTCTTGTTTTTATCAACTTATAATATTCTCATTTCTTTAACTCCAACCATTGATGCCTATCCATCTGCATGACCCATGTTCGCTAGTTGATCATATTTTAGCTCACCTGAGCCGAAGGCTCAAGTGACCTTTTCTGATCGAAATTTGTCCGTTGTCTGTCGTCGTCGGCGTCGTCATCGTTGTTGTCGTAAACTTTCACATTTTCATCTTCTTCTCCAGAACTACTGGGCCAATTTCAATCAAACTTGGCACAAAGTATCCTTGGGTGAAGGGGATTCAAGTTTGTTCAAATGAAGGGCCACGCCCTCCTCCAAGGGGAGATAATCACGAAATAGCAAAAAATTAATGGCATTATTGAAAAATTTTCTTCTCAAGAACAATGGGCTAGGAATGATGAGACTCATGTAAAATTATTGTCAGGTAGTGTAGATTCAAGTTTGTTCAAATCATGACCCCCGGGGGTAGGGTGGGGCCACAATGGACGATCAAAGTTTTACATAGGAATATATAGGAAAAATTTTCAAAAATCTTCTTCTCAAGAACAGCAAAGCAATGATTGGTAATATTTATGTGGAAGCATCTTCAGGTGATGTGGGTTCAAATTTGTTCAAATCATGACCCCCGGGGGTATGGTGGGGCCACAATGGACGATTAAAGTTTAACATAGGAGTATATAGGAAAAATCTTCAAAAATCTTCTTCTCAAGAACAGCGAAGCCATGATTAGTCAAATTTATATGGAAGAATCTGCAGGTGGTGTAGATTCAAATTTGTTCAAATCATGACTCCCGGGGGTATGGTGGGGCCACAATAGACGATCAAAGTTTTCATAGAGTATATAGGAAAAATCTTCAAAAATCTTCTTCTCAAGAACAGCAAAGCTATGATTGGTCATATTTATATGGAAGCATCCTCAGGTGGTGTAGATTCAAGTTTGTTCAAATCATGACCCCCGGGGGTAGGGTGGGGCCACAATGAACGATCCAAGTTTTAAATAGGAATATATAGGAAAAATCTTTAAAAATCTTCTCAAGAACAGCAAAGCCACGGTTTGTCATATTTATACGGAAGCATCCTCATATAATGTAGATTCAAGTTTGTTCAAATCATGACCTCCAGGGGTAGGGTGGGGCCACAATATAAGTTCAAACTTGTAGTGAAAAAAGTCATAGTTAGTCAGAAAATTATATAAGCATCCTTGGTTAGTGTAGATTTAATTTTGTTCAAATCCCTTTTAGGGATAGGTTGGGACCACTTATGCATTAAAGCTTTTCAATACTAAACTGATTTTTCCTTTTTTCCTAGCCACAGTGCTCGGGTGAGCGATGTGGCCCCTGGGCCTCTTGTTTAACCTAGCTAGGACGTTAGAAACAATTGTTTTAATGATAATGCGATGGGTATCTTGTAATAACAGCTGTAAATATTCATGCTTTAAGCTTGCCAGAATGAGAAATTTCTACTCCATCCGGGCCAAATATTGCCTTGGGCAAAGATAACAAAACTATATTACAAAACATATGGGGGAATTATGGTTATGAAAAACTGCTTTATGATACTAAGGTGACCTTTAAGGTCTAATAAATTGCTTCATTATTCTTTTTCTTCAGAATACCTGCTTTTAAGTGAATTGGATGATAGAACACCCAATGCAATACTACCGAATCGCGATCAACTGCCAGCACTGAGCTTGCCATCTGAGAGTGATCCTAAATTAGTAGTGGCTCCCTCTGGAGCTCCAACACAAATTATGTGTGAAGCTCAACAAAATATGGATCCTAGTCTGCCTGTAATCTGGTTTAGAAACGGCGAGTTGGTTTCTCAATCACCCTCGCTAGTATTTAATCCTAGAGGTTTGCTATTCACTTCCGTTCAAGCACCTGACTCTGGACTGTACACATGCGTTGTAGGTGAAGGAGAAGCAACTTCGTCGACGAGACTGGTGGTCACTAGTCCTGGTAAACCATTACCTAGATTTCTTTTTAAAAACTATATCTGTCTGTCAGCTAACAAAGACATTAATTGGAGTTACATGTATATATAATTACCTATCAAGAATGATTTACATAAAGAACAAATATCAAAGGGTGGTTTGAAATCTTTGTAAACCTAGCTTTTTAAGTTTTTACACATGTGCAAAGTAAACATAGAGGTATCCTTTGAATTAAAAGAAGTGAGTAATATTTTTTTTTACACTGTTAACATTTTCATTGATGTATCTTCAGGTATGTTTCTAGCATCATTCACTGATATAGTAGTTCCTTATCAGTTTGTTTGGATATATTATAGATTCTGTTGATCCACTGCAACCAAGTCCAATTGACCCGATAAATAGGCAAGTGCCTCCTGTCCCTATCGATAGATCATTGCCTATTGACCCTCTCGATAGGTCAGTGCCCCCTGGCCTAATTGATGGGCCAGTACCTACTAGCCTGATCGAGAGGCAGTTGCCTCCAGAACCGACCGATGGCTTAAATCAAATATCACCATATCCAAAAGGTAAGCTTGCGTGGGATTCAAATATCACAGGAAATACTTTATTGCTATTAGATACACAGTTTTTTTTTGTAATGAGACAGAGACACTTATTTGCTATTAAATGATAAAGAGTGCTTAGATATAATTTATTTTTATATTTCTTGATTTAAATTTATAATTAAATATGACTTTGTAGGTTATCTAAATTACTGCAGTAAATTTCTTTTCATTTAAAAATTTGGCGTCTTACGTGCCTCATCAATTTATATATTTTCCGCCTCTGAACTTGAATTTAGACATAAAATGGGTGATGGGAATTCAAATTTATTAGATAAAATGAATGAATCGGTTCTTTCCACAAAGATTAAAATAATGAGTAAAAAATGAAAAAAAATATTCGACTAGCTAATTCACTAACATGTAAACATCTTCATATGCAGAAAATTCAAATTAAGTTTATCCCATTAACATCGGAAAAGATCGTGACGTAGTTTGACATGGTAATGCATTAGAGACAATGACTTACAATGCAGAAACCATAATTGTAACTTTTTATATTATTGGGCAAATTTTCCCTTGCAGTTTACTTTAAATGATATCGGCCTGAAGGCATGTCTGATACAATTATTGAAATATTCGTCCTCACGAAAACAAAAAGGCACTAATGAAAAATTGAATGAAGTTGAATGTGTCTACATGAATCATGCTGCTTTGGTCCCGTTTTGCCTTTTTACAGAGGCTTGATATAGGAAATATGAACAGATAAATAATATATAATACTTTAGTGACCGTCCAGACCATTGTGCTTCGTTCTTTTGACATCTAAAAATATAATTTAGATAAAATCTGAAAAATAATGAAGGAGTCGGTTTAAATATTTCCAGGCAGTGAACCATCCCTAACAGATTCACAAGGCCCATACACTCTGCCAAATCTAGAGATTCCAAGGCAGATAGATAATCAGCTGATTGGACCAGAAGTGCCTTCAGATCCAGGTTTTACATATATATATATATAGAGAGAGAGAGAGAGAGTACCCGCATCGTTATTCTTTACAATTTTATCGTGTCCTATCGTGCGTGTATCCTGTCGTATCGTGCGTGTATCCTATCGTATCGTGTTTTCCGTTTATCAGGTTTTGCGTTTTCTATCGTGTTTTCCGTTTATCAGGTTTTGCGTTTATCGTGAAGATCGTTTATCAGGTTTTATCGTGTATCGTGTTTTGCGTTTATCGTGTGCATTCGGAAACCCTCGATTTTTATCTTTACCTTGAGAAGAAAAACCCGAGATACATGTATCTCGAGTTCATTTTTCGTTTTGTTAATTTATTTAGGATTAATTTAACTGTTTAACAGAAAGAGAAATTAATACTCTAACTCTGGTATATATGTTTAATAAAATTAGATAAGTAAATTAATTAATTAAAATTAATAAATTCATAAATTAAATAAATAAATAAAGTTTAAGTACCTTGACCAAGCAGAGAGGGTAAATCGAAAGTCAAATTCTATTTTGGACATGAAATAATCGATCTACTAGACAATCGTTATTTTTTTTTTAATTTGTCGAATTGTAAGAAATATTTTTGTCAAAGAAATATTTTAATTCCTTTACACAGATAGAGTCACAAAAGCAAGACCTTTATTAACTTTGTTTTGATAATTATAGAAGCATAAAACAGTAGGTACTTCATGTATGTGTGCAAAAATTAATTATAAATAAAAAAAAAATGTCAGCAGCTTTATTAGGTCTATTACGGAAACATAAATTTTGTCAATGCGCCCAAGTTTTGTTATTCCTTTTTATTTATTTGTTTCTCTGATATGTCTACAAGTTAAATTACAATTTATTTTATATGAACATGCTCCATTCTATTTATCATATGATAATTATATATTATAATATAGATGTTTGCCATTCATATTTAACTACTGCAGTTAGTAGATGTAAAAAAAATAAATAAATAAATAAATAAACAAAACCATACTAATTTTTATTACTATTTCGGCATGGAAATGAAGTGAGTATATGCCGTAACTAAATGACAGGTGGAAGCACTCCCGTGACAAGAGAACTGACACCTATATGTACCGGTCCTGCCTAATCAGTAGAATCCCCCCTCCTCCCCCCCCCCCCCTACATGACCGGCCCGTATGTATTCACCGTCGACATACCTGAACTCCTCTCTCACCAAGTGTCAAGTATTTACCTTGAATCCTACTAGGTTTCAATGAAATGCATCTACTTATTTTCTGGATATTGTTCATTATTTGTATGAACAACAATTAACATTTCAAGATTCTTATACTAAGAAAATTGGTAAATATACAAAATTCCGTTACGATTAATAATTGAATAAATGAATCAAATAAAATATAGGCGAGGTTTGTCCCCCAAACTCCGTTGATTTAGTTCGTTTGTATTCTATTATATAATTTTTATAGGTTTACGGTCTTAAACATGATTGGTGTGATCAAATTTAAAAAAAACTGCGCTTGTGGTACTTCCGCATCTCTGGGTTTTCTGTGTAATACAAAAAGAAACTGTTACAATTGTTTGAAAATTCTATTCATCGAAGAATATGGTAAATAATTCTTGGTAGAAAAACACAATCTTTGCCTCGCATGATTTTTTTTTTTGTTATTAAAGAAAGGCGCCTCAAAGATACATGTAAAAAAAAAAAAAAAAGAAAGAAATAGTCCGGATTTGCCGTGATGCACAAGACGAGTAAATACCTTGAACTTAATCTTATTAGTTTATCGATTGCATTAAATACTTGACTATATTCAAGAAGTCAATATATATTTTTATTCATTTATTTATTTATTGCTGTTTGAATTGGATCTTTTTTAAGTGGTTATGGACCCCCTCCCCCTTTCCCCGCTGACTGTGCCTCAAGTGGGATTAAGACTTTCATAATTTACAAAGTTTTGTCTAATTTTGCCGAAGTTGTCCTATATACGTTTTGTAACAATTAATACAAAGTCTAATATCAATAATTTACAGTTATTCAGTCAGAAAAATCCAATTGTCGTATTGTGAAATTTAATTTATAATTTATTTGTGTGTGCGTTCTAATATGCTGTAAACAAGAGTATGTAATCATTCAATGTTATTTATTTGATATAAAGTTTAAGTACCCAATAAATATATTCACACACATTGTAAGCTTACAATGTAGCATACACGTGTCTATAGTAGATACAAATTCTTGGTTGATATTACACCCTGTTATCCTTTCTTCATGCATGTAATGTTTCTGTTTAATATTTGGACATATTTTCTCTTCACTGTTTTGTCAGTTGTGAGAATAAAGTTCATATCATGTTATTGTAAATGTTTATAACACAGGCAGGCTTAGAAAATAATTTCATTTCTTTGGGGGGGGGGGGGGAGGGAGGGAGGGTTATAAAAAGAAATGTTTTGAAAAGCAAACAAAAGAGGTTAAAGACATTATTGTTGTTGATGGGCATTATTATATAGCATTATATTTCTATTGTATACTACATATGTTGGTACAGTGTAACATTTTTAGGTACATGTATACATCTGCATGCTCCCTTCTTAATCTTACAGGCCTAAAGCATTAGAAATACCATAGAATAAATACAAAAGAATGGAAATGCGATATTTTTTTTTTCGAATACTACACGTAGATGATGACAGATCTAGTGACGTTTATTAATTTTATTGAATTCAATTTCTTTCGGTCGGTCTCCTTCCTCATATATACGTATACAATGCATGTACTTGGAATATGTAAATAATTTTTATGTGCACGGGATATGTGTAAGAGATATATTAATATATAGGAGAGATAATTTAATCACAGTCCAATGCACAGTCTGTGTCAATGCAACTAGCAATTTCAGCAAGTCATTTGTTTAAAACGTAATAAATATAAATTAAATTTATATAAAATATAAATTAAAGCAAATTCGTAGAAACATTGAGGAGAAAGCTTTAACCTTAAAATAATTATAATGATAATTTTTCATCCCCCCCCCCTCTAAATTATGACTAATAATTTTTTTTTCGTAAGATTTGAATTATTAAATACAGATTATTAAAGGCAATTTTGGATACATCACAGACTTCTAGCACAAGATATTGAATCCAAGTATATCGTTTTTTACACGGAGTTCTTCCGTAAAAATAATCGGTGTTTATTATGAATTTCATAAGGTTTTATTTGTTAAAATAATGAATATGTTTATAGCGTTTCGTGAATTTATTGCACATGGGTGTAAAACTTTGCTTGTCTACCGAATTTTGAGCCACCAACAAATTAAAATCTATGTAATTCAACCACTCAAAATTCAAATTTAACGAACCGATGGAATCTCGACATTTGTATAATTACACAAACAATCGCCTAATTTACATCATAGAGTGGAATTAATCTTAAATAATTACAGTTTGAAATTGATGACAATCAATTTTATTGACGAAAAAAAAGTATCTTTTACAAAGCATCATTACTTCAAATTTTTTATCATGGTAAATTTAATATATTTCATCATTTAGATTTGCGGCTTTGTAAGTTATTAGAATTATCATACTACGATATATCAAAAAGGAAACTTTTCGTCTTGTCAAAAAACCCTTCGCATTTTGGAACAATCTTATCAAGTTTTACGTTTATCCTATGTGAAGATCGTTTCTCAGGACTATCGTGTTTTGCGTTTATCACATTTTGCGTTTATCGTGTTTTGCGTTTATCGTGTTTTGCGTTTATCCTATCGTGCGTGTATCCTGTCCTATCGTGCGTGTATCCTATCGTATCGTGCGTTTATCCTATCGTATCGTGTATCCTGTAAAGAATAACGATGCGGGTACTCTATATATATATATATATATATATATATATATATATATATATATATATATATATATATATATATCATTATTATTACTTTTTGTAATGAGGTATATAAATACAAATTGTCAAAGCAGAACAAAATTTATATACATAAATATATATATATTCATTCCAGATGCAACGACACTTCTAAGTCAAGTTAACCCAGATACTGGAAATCTAGAACCGATACAACGACCACCAGATCAACCGGACATCAATTTCCTCCCCCCTATAGCTCCAGTACCACCATTAGATAGCACTATCAGGCGCGCAGATAGGCTACCTACAAATGTTCGCCCAGGTAAGTTCATCCTTTTATTGTTATTAAATGTTCTAGTGACACAAAATGAGTTTCTCAAATAAATTTCATATAAATGTATGTTAAGAAACTTACCACATATCCTCATTTCCAGGTCCAATTGGATTGAGTCCAGAAGACACGGCACCGAGGGAAATGTCACCCCAGAGGCCTTTTGATGGTGGGCGTTCGGAAATCTCCTCCCTTGGTGGTAGATACCTTCCTTCCTTTGCTATACGTATATCAAAACGCCCTAACTCTTTTTATTACTAACAATTCAAATATTGCTTTATGTAATATATTATTCAGAAATTTCAAACAAATGTTGGATTTTTGTATATAAAAATTTTGCTTTGTACTCTGCCAAATGTATTTCTAAACTGATGAAAAAACCTTAGCTTGTTAAGACATAATTTGATTCATGTTAAAGATAGTTTTTAACGCTCTGTCTGTTAAATACATGCATATATTTTCAGTAATTCATGTTTTTGACATGCCAAGACTTTCTCTTAGAAAGTGCTCTTAAGAGTATTTTTTAAAAACTTGTTACAAAGTTCATTTTAATAATAGAGATTTATACCATATGTTTGGTTCACATTTTTACGCAGTGTGTTTGCATAGCATATTCAATATAGTTTTCTCTTTTATTTTAAGACAGCGGTTTTGGAACAGTTTTGGAACTAGATAGCGATATGTTTTTGAGATCTTGCATGGTTCTTTCATTTCAGACTTGTAATATTTGATAGGGTCTATTAGCAAATCTACTTCAGATTTCCAATACTTGATTAGGTTTATTAGCAAATTCATTTCAGATTTCTAATATTTGATAGGGTTTAATAGCATTTCCTTTTTAGATTTCCAATATTTGATAGGGTTTATTTTCCTATTTACCAATGCAGGTTCTGTGTCACCAGATACTATTTTTCACAACATATTTGTTTCTTTTAATTTTAAATTTCACACAAAATGAAATTCAATGAACTTTTTCAACAATATTTTTTTTTAAAAAATAGGGAATTCATGGGGGAAAATAACTACCTTTATTCGATATATGATGGCATAAAATGATGTTTTAATTTCTGTTAAAAAATTATCTCCTAGAAGCACAAAAACCTATAAAAACAAGATGTGTTTGTGAAACACTGATGCCCCCGTATGGCAACTTTCTCAAATGCAAATCAAATATGTTGGTGCCAAAAGTAAGGCCTTGTCCCAAGTAATATACATGTGAAATACAAAAGCCCTAGCAGCTACCATTGAAAAGATATAGAAATGGTTAAAGTTTTTCAAAAGTAAGTCAAACATCAAGGTCAAGGTCAAATGGTCAAAATTAATGGTGCCCAAGGAAAGTTCTTCTCACAAGAAATACTCATGTGAATTAAATATGAAAGCCCCTGTACCAACAATACAAAAGATATGGCCAAGGTTAAAGTTTCTTTCAAAAGTAGGTCAAGTTCCAAGGTCAAAGGGTCAAAGTTGTTAGTATCCAAAGTAAGGTATTGTCACAAGGAATACACATGTGAAGAATGAAAGCCCTAGCACCAACTCTTCAAAATTTATGGCCAAGGATAAGGTTTTCCAAAAGTAGGTCAAACTCCAAGGTCAAGGTCAATGGGCATCAATTGTTGGTATCTAAAGGAAGGTCTTGTCACAAGGAATACACATGTGAAGAATGAAAGCCCTAGCACCAACCGTTCAAAAGTTATTGCCAAGATTAAAGTTTTCCAAAAGTAGTTCAAACTCCAAGGTCAAGGTCAAAGGGTCAATCTTGTTAGTATCAAAAGGAAGGTCTTGTCACAAGAATTACATATGTGAAGTATTAAAGCACTAGCACCAACTCTTCAAAATTTATGACCAAGGATAAGGTTTTCCAAAAGTAGGTCAACTCCTAGGTCAAGGTCAAAAGGTCATATTTGTTGGTATCCGAGGGAAGGTCTTGTCACAAGGATTACACATGTGAAGTATGAAAGCCCTATCACCAACTGTTCAGAAGTTATGGCCAATATTAAAATTAGGTAAAATTTTGTAGAACTAGGTCAAACTCCAAGGTCAAGGTCAAATACGATGGTACCCAAAGAAAGGTCTTGTCACAAGGAATACACATGTGAAATATGAAAGCCATAGCTCCAACCAATGAAAAGTTATGAGCAATGTTAAAGTTTTTTGCGGACAAACAGATAAACAGACAAACAAACAGACAGACAGACGGACGGACGGACAAGGCAAAAACTATATACCCCCGAATCTTTGATACGGGGGCATAAAATCACTTATACTGATTATACTGTATTGTTGGATATTCATTGTCTGTATTTTTCCCTATATAGGTATAATCGAACAGTTCTTTTATCCTCGGATCTCACAAAACTTTAGGCTTCCTTGCAATGTTAGAGGACTTACACCTCGTACACCCGTTGTTTGGTACAAAGATAATCGCAGATTCCAACCTGAGTCTGGTCGAGTCCGCATAGTTGGCAATGCGATTGTGTTCCAGCCAGCTCTAGCTGAGGATAGTGATAGTTATGTATGTGTCAGACCAGACACAATGCAATCAGTACGGGCTCAGCTTTATGTCAATGGTGATGGTAGGTAATCGAAAAATTATTGGAATAGAAAAAGAACTGAAGTCGATTTTGAAACTCCATCTGAAAATTATGACATAATAGTCATTTATTAGAATTATGAACATTATTTATATTAATTTAGAACCACCACCGGGAATACGTGACGAACGAGTTTCCCCGAGAAGTGATGGAAGTACGTGAATTTCTTTTTCAAGAATCAGTAATGCCAAATTACTATATTATTTTCAGACAGGAATTAAAAGAGATGACGAAATATATGGCAGTAAAATGACTATTTTGTTGTATCTGTATCATCTAGGTCTTGTGCAGCATTTTTACTACCCGTCCTCTGCAGAATTATTTGAGCTTCGTTGTGACTTAAGATCTGGTGATAACAGAATTCCAATTCGATGGTTCAAGAATGGACGAAGATTCCAAATACCGGATGATAGACCTGTATCTTTACTCAATAACAATCGTGTTATACGTTTTAGTTCAATTTCCCCGAGGGACAATGGTCAGTACACATGTATTGCTGGGAATAATTTGGCAACCATCTCCTCCGAAATCATTGTTACAAGTCCAGGTGAGCAATGTTGTGGTTTAGATTCTAAATAAGACTGATAGCATGGCTCTACTGTTCTTAAGCACTTCATGTATCTAGAATAATCAAAGCTGAACCTGTAAAGTCTTGTTGTCGACTGCGTGGCTCAGTGGTTAAAGTGTTTGCTCTTAAGACGCGGAGTAAGGAGTTGATATTATCAAATGAAAGTGTCATTTAGTAAGAAAAAATAGCAATATTTGGTAGGGTAATCATATTTGGTAATGAAATAGATGATATTTAATGTTTTGTTGTTGGATATGGATTTTATTTCACGAGTGGGACAGCATTTTTTTTATATTTGAACTAGTGCGAAGCACGACTGAAAATATAAAAAAAATCCTATGAAATAAATTCCATATCCAACTACAAAACATTGAATTTTCTGTTTATCACATTATCTTTGTTTTTCCCTTTCCCTTTTGCCTCTTATCTTTTCTTTACACAGTATCATAGGCTGTAATGTCATAACTGAGCCGTTGAGACCTCATATAGCTTAGCAGACGTGAGATTAGAAACATTGTAACAGGGATTTTTGGCAACATATTTTGAAGAAATTGGCAGTTTTAGTCTCTTTCAAGACCGTCTAGTTACTATATCTTATGACAGGCCAAAATTATTTTTGCTTACTTTGATATCCTTTCAAACTGTAAGAGAGTATCACTTTTGTATCCTTTCAAACTGTAAGAGAATATCACTTTGGTATCCTTTCACAATGTGAGAGAATATCACTTTATTCAATAAATATTCATAGTATTTTACTGTTGAAAATGTAATAAAATGCAAAGGTTAATATTTAATTTGATTTGTTTTCCAACTGTTTGTCTCTTATATGACTGTAGGAAGGTAATATTTTCCATCTCTACCCTAACAAAAATATTCTATAGTAAACTATAGTTAACTATAGTTTACTATAGTTAACTATAGTAAATCAAAGTTCCAAAGTTTTCACTATAGTAAATCAAAGTTCCAAAGTTTTTACTATAGTAAATCAAAGTTCCAAAGTTTTCACTATAGTTAATCAAAGTTCCAAAGTTTTCGCCATAGTAAATCAAAGTTCCAAAGTTTTCACTATAGTAAATCAAAGTTCCAAAGTTTTTACCATAGTAAATCAAAGTTCCAAAGTTTTCACCATAGTAAATCAAAGTTCAAAAGTTTTCCCTATACTTAATCAAAGTTTCAAAGTTTTTTTCATAAGTTTAACAACTTATGTATTTTTATTATTATTTATTATTATTATTTAGCCGTTATAGGGGAGGGGTTTGATATGGGTTTGGTTGGGGCTGGGGTTTTTTTTTTTGTACATCTTAATTCAAATATACAATGTAGTTAATTCAAATGTAATATTTACATTTATGAATTTAAAAAAAAATCATGTTGACTGAAACTGATGAAGCAGATATTTTGATTCTATATGACACATTTTTTTTTATAATATAGTTTTTTCTCTATAAATAAGATTTACGTTACATCTGCATAACATTAAAATTAAATACATTGAAATAAACATTGCTTATTTATCGGCGCAAGCGACAACCTTTACATTAAAATTCATATCTTGTACATTATTCTTTTAGGGGAGGGGTCGGGTTTTTAAAATGTTCTCTAAAGATTTTATGAATCTTAAGCTTGAAATATCATAAAATATAAAGAATGGGAATCAAAAACATAATTCCACAGGATTTATCGTACTTAATCAAAGTTTCAAAGTTTTCATTATAGTAAATCAAACTTTTTACTATAGTAAATCAAAGTTCCAAAGTTTTTACTATAGTAAATCAAAGTTCCAAAGTTTTTACCATAGTAAATCAAAGTTCCAAAGTTTTCACTATAGTAAATCAAAGTTCCAAAGTTTTCACCATAGTAAATCAAAGTTCCAAAGTTTTTACTATAGTAAATCAAAGTTCCAAAGTTTTCACCATAGTAAATCAAAGTTCCAAAGTTTTTACTATGGTAAATCAAAGTTCCAAAGTTTTTACTTTGGTACTATAGTTAACTATAGTAAACTTAGTTAACTATAGTTTACTATAGTATTTTTTTGTTAGGGTATTTATCTGTTGCGCGTTGTCTGTGAAATCAAACAGTTTTTAACTAAACTAAAACCAATGGGCAGACTACAACCAACTTGCATATTAAACATTCTGTGGTTATGATATTCATTTTATTTCTTGCAAAACCGTATGAAGATTTAATTGCAAGTCATTTCTTACAGAACAATCTTTAACATCTTCCGAAGTTCTATGGTCGATACATATAATGACCTTGTCAGCAAATACAATCTATCATTAAGTCGAATGCTGTCTACGTTTTTACTAGTTTTTACTGGCCCATCACTATGAAAATCTATTTAGTTATGATTTTTTTTTTCATGAATTTTTCGAATTACAGTCTGAAATTGTGTAATTTTTCATAATTATTTTCTTATAAAATATATGCAATGTTACTCATTACATATATTGATTTCTTATATGAATATATCGAATTACAGTCTGACGTTGTGTCATTTTTCATCATCATTTTTTGTATAAAATATATGCAATGTAATTCATTACTTTAGCAAAGAAATTGTTATTTAATCAATTAATTATCTAAAATTAAAGTACTAACGGTAATTGTAATGGGAAAAATCATAAATTAATACATTACATTTCAAAGTAATAACCACGGGTCTGAACATGATCGTAACATGAGCTGTCTATGGAGGACAGCTGACAGCACTTTCTCAAGGCAATCATGTGTCTTTTTTATGTTCAGTTATGTTCGGCTAATTTGCTGCTAAGACAATAATAACGATTAACAATATCTCTTTACAAAGAAATTGGTAATTATTATATATACATGTAACTAGAATATTAATTTAATTTTCAGGAATGACATTTAATCCCAGAGACAGAAAAATATCCTTAAGCAGCAGTGACAAGGATGCATTGCTTCAGTTTACAGGCACCCAGGGTAGGAATTCGAAAGCGGTTATAAAAACTTTTACAGTTCTATGAAATTGAAAAGTCAGTTTTTCATGTGTTGAGAAAACGATTACAAATAATTCTAGTGCCTAATTCAGCATTGTGTAAGGGAGTCGTAGAACTTTTATCCACTTGATTTAAATTTTTTAAAGCTAAGAGGTAGAGAAATATTTGAACTGATCTGAATTGGACATTAAAAAAATGAAAAGTCCGATGCTTTGTTGAGAAAATGTATTAGAATAAATTAGCAGAGTCAAGAAATGTTCATTGTGTAACTCAACTTGAATTTTTTTCTTTTCTGACAGGATTTTCTAACAAATATTTCCCTATTGTACGTAGACCGTTCATATTAAACTGCACTGCAGCAATAGACACTCCTTCTCTACCCGTGTCTTGGCTGAAAAACGGGGTTCCGTTCACCCCTGATAGAAGAAGGACATTTACCCAATCCAATTCTATTGTATTTACATCAATCATGCCGGATGACAGTGGTCATTATACATGTATTGTCGGTGACAACGAAGACAGTGAGAATCTCATCGTCGACGTCATTTTCCATGGTATGTACAGGAAATAAAATCCACATGAAATAAAGATTTCTAATTTTATCTAATATTATATAAGATATATGGAAATAGATGCAGTTAGTTCAGTGACTAATGCTTATGTCGTTATTTTAGCTTTATTCATATTTTGATGCAGTCTTTTGGGGATTGATTCATAGACACCGCCAAAATATATTTAGATAAAACGCACTAAAGATAGCATAAATAGCACAACATTTTTATTATGTTCAATAGTTCCTGACTTATTTAAATTTTGAAAAAGCGCACATAAGTACAGAATGATATCAAAAGACGTATTATTATTGCTTTGTAGATATCTGAAGTCTATAGACAACTCGTGTTTTAATAAGATATTATGAAAAGTAATCTAAACATCAAACAAATCTCTTGATGAAAATATGTATCAACTCTCACATTATTATAATATGAAAAAAGTGTCATTAAACACAGACATTTTGATAAAATTAAGATTTTCTTCTTTTCATCAAAGGCCGTTAACTCTTCAAAACATTTAAGGTGCAAAATGGCCAGCTTCTTTTATGTTATCATTATCATGTGAATTTAGTTCATTTCATTTTGGTCGTTATCTAACAATATATATTTAATAGTTTTAAATGATTCAAAACTGTTCTACATCCCTTTTTTATACATTGAATACTTGTAATAATTTTAAACTGTCATCTAAAAACTATAAAGAAAAGAATAATTGCAGTAAAATTATTATATTTTACTATGTTCAAGTGGAACGATATATGGTCTCATAATTTACTAAGCACTAAGAAGATATATTACTATTATAGCTGTCAATGACTTGACGCAAATCCTCAAAATGTCGTTTCAAAATGTATAATAATGTAAAAAAAAAAAAAAAAGTAATCATTCTCTTTCCCGTTAGTCAAATATATTACTGAATTTAAAGTCTTAATCTTTAACCAAAACATTCGTATGTAAATATGACGTTTGCTTAACAACATCAGCGGCTTATTAGTCTCCTACCGGTGAAACCGGAGGGGACTATAGGTTTCCTCTGAGTCTGTCCGTCCGTCCGTCTGTCTGTCCCTCTGCTGTCTGTCAGTCTGTCCCACTTGGTTTTCTGCACTTTTTTCTAAACGCTTGCAGATATTGAGCTGAATTTTGGTATGTGAATGAATCGTGATGAGTTGCAGATCAAATTTGCATTTCGTTTTGCTTCAACGATTTTTGACGGTATTACTACCTTTTCATTTTTTTTAGGGATTTTTGCATTTTTTTTCTAAACGCTTGTAGATATTGAGTTGATATTTGGTATGTGACTTTACCTTGATGAGTTATAGATCAAGTTTGCATTTCGTTCCGCTTCGTTGATTTTTGACGGAATTATGGCATTTTCAATTTTTTAACGGGAACCAGATTACAGTTGCCGGTAGGGGACTAGTATTGCTAATACTCTCAGAATGCTTGTCCTAGATGTGCATGAATATCTGGTTAACTGTGAAAGAATATGCCTTGGTTCTAGCTCTTAAATTACTTTAGCTTCTAAGTGAGAGTATTTTCAAAAGTACCTGCTTTGAAGGATCGAATCATGAAATTCTTTCCTTTTTCAGATATGGGTTCCGAAAACAACACCCCGGGTCGTCCGATATTACAGCGGCGATATATTTTGACATGTGGTATATCAAATTTACGACCTAACACACAAATTTCCTGGTTTAAAGATGGGCAACCTTTTATTGCCAATTCTGAGCGAGTGAGATTCATAGACAGCAGAAGTTCTGTCTTGTTTACATCTCTCTCGGAGGAAGATAATGGAGAATATATGTGTGTAGCGAATTTCGGAACAAGCCAAGCCTCGTATACAACAACACTTAGGGCAGCACAAGAGAGATTACATGGTATAAAAATTATTTTCTTAAGCTTCATCGATCCCCTGATAAGAAAGATAACTCTTCCTGTGATAATGTCTATTATTACTTTATTAAATTATCAAATTCAAAGGTTACTACCTTCAAATTCAATCTGAAACTATTTACATTTTAATTATATATTAATAAGAATTGTTTTGCTAATTTTTTGAAAATCATTTTATCAAATTTCCATAAGTGGAAAAAGGGATGACAAATCTTAGAATAATAAGTTAATAAAAGATTTCACGTTTCTTCTCAACACCACTATGCAACATCACAAGAATATAATAAATTGTTTGAGCACTAGAATTATCGGTTTTGTACAATAAGATACAATTATTTAGCACAATCCGTGGAATTTTGTTTAGCACTATCTCTTTCGGTATCTTTACAAAAATGTACTACATTTATGTAGCATACATATATCAAGCTCAGCTTCATATGAATACTTTTTTTTAGAAAAGAGAGAAACAAAATTCCAAAATCAATTTATTTTCAATTTGAAACCATTGTTAACTTACTCCTTTAAGTATACTTTATATTGATAAAAATAACGTGGCTAATTACAAATTTATTGTCTTGTAGAAATAATAACTGTTCCCGTTGCTCCAAAGGAACACCGGGCTACTTTAGCGGAGAGATATGTACTGATTTGTGCTCTTCCGTCTGTGAGCACTACAAATCCCCCAATTTGGTTTAAGAATCGAAAACCATTTAATCGTAGGAACGCCCGAGGCAACGTGTCTTTTAGAGGAAATTCTCTGATTTTCAATACAATAACAGAAGCCGATCAAGGAGTGTACACATGTTCGACTCCAGACGGAGGAGATCAGTATACCACCGACTTAGTTGTTGTTCCAAGGATGTACACCCCAACAGAGGGTTCAATGTTAACAATCCGTTGTCAAATACCCGATGTCAATCCAGGAAGACGAGTATCATGGGAAAAAGATGGCCAACCTTTACCCCAAATGAGTTCTAGAACGATGACCTTTTCTGACGACGGTCGGACTATAACTTTTACGCCCGTTACTCCAAGAAATGATGGTCTGTATCAATGTGTTAGTGAAGATGGTCGGATATATCCTTTGACAATCAAAGTAAAGCCGACCATGCTGTTCCCACAAAGCAAAACAAGTTTTGTTTTGGACTGTGCTCTTCAAAACATGAATTCTCGGAGAATGGTTGTTTGGCTGAAAGATGGTGAAGTTTTCAGACCTAATCTAGACAGAATATCATTTAATGTGGCAGATGGAGTCAGACAGATTGTCTTTGATCCCCTCCTACCGGAAGATTCTGGAAGGTATACTTGTGTTGGCCCTGATAGAGACCGATACATGGTGAATGTTATTGTGGATGGAAGAACAGCAGCACGACGTAATGTCCAACCAACAATTACACAGGCATTCAGACTTACCTGTGATATCCCCTTCCTTGATTCATCAACTCCAGTGTATTGGCTAAAGGGCCAGCAACTCTTCACTCCTCCACGAGAAGATGTTAAGTTTGAAGATGGAAACAATGTTATCGTGTTCGAGTCTGTTATGCCTGAAGATTACGGAAAGTATACATGTGTAACTGCAGATGGTGGTGAATACTATACAGTAAATATGGATGTTAAAAGTGGTCCAGGACATAGTAAGTAGTATTGTGAACTTATGATGAACAAATAAACATAGTGTAATTCTGAAAGTATACTGATACATGTGTATAGATGTCAAAAGATAGTTTTTTTAATGTTTGCCGTTAAGAACAGATGATACAAATAAAAAAATTGGATGCCTTGATAGGTATATATTTTGGACCTATTTTGGATGTAAATGAGGCAACTAATAAATTTCTAAAATATTAAGAAATTGTAAACGTTCTATGATGTTCAATGTTCTACCTTTCTGCAACCATCCTTATTAATCTATACACTTGTTGGTCACTTCAAATCCCATAATTGTGAAACTTTGAATGAAAAAATTAGATCTACGCGGTTAAACTTATTCCTTTTACTTATATAAATATGACTTTGTTGTGCAGCAATATACCTTTATCACCTGCATATGGGGTTTATATCTCTCAGTTGATTCGATACGCAAGAGCATGCTCTACGTATGACTAATTTCTAAAACGAGGTAGATTATTGACAAACAAGCTGATGAAACAAGAATATCAACAGTCTCGTTTAAAGTCATCATTTCGTAAATTCTATGGTCGGTACAATGACCTTGTCAGCAAATACAATTTATCATATGCATTAAGTCAAATGCTGACTGACGTTTTTCATACTAATTGTTAGGACATTATGAACACACTGAATTGTCAACGGATTTTTCCGTTATTTCCCTATCATGACAAGGAGCACACTGCGGGTGTGACCGGTCGGCAGGGAATGCTCACAGCTCCGTGGCACCTGATCCCACCTCTGATGTTTTAGAGGTCCGTGTTTGATCTGCTCCTGATTTGTATTGTTTAATGGACTTTTGAGCTTGAATACTGTTCGTTATTTCCATATATTTCATCGTTATTTTTAAGAATTTTGATTACATTTCGTTTGTATCATCCTTAAAAGGCAACTTAAATGCATATTATTTGCATATATTTTTTTCAATAAAGGTAAAACTAAATGTAAAAAAAAGGATACGTAATTAGTCTTTTTCTTAAAGCCTAAAAGTAACTGTATATGAATTGAATTCGTATATTTATAATTACGTTTATTTCGTTTTACTTGCCACCTTCATTGTAACACGTGATCTTACAGAAACGATTGCTTTGCATTGCACATGTAATTGAGAAGGAAAAAATGACTCATGCATTTTGACATTATGATTTTAGGACGAGTAACAATAGGTGTAACGGATAGACCGGTGTCCACGATACCAGCGAGAACTACCTATAAGTTATTTTGTCGGATTCCAAATCTTGAGCCAACAGAAAAAGTTGTTTGGTTGAAGAATGAACAGGTATTCCTACCATCAGGGAGTCGAATAAGGTTTAGTCCACGGGGTCGGGTAGTCACGTTTTCAACCCTTTTGGAACAGGATTCAGGGATGTACTCCTGTGTATCAGAATTATCAGGAACCACAATATCTCAGATCTTAGATGTTGGAAAGCCAATATATCCAGGCAAGTATTAGTCTAGAGGGAAATTATAACAGTGTTTATATTTGAATATATACTGTAAACCAACTATTATTCGCGTTATCTTTTATTCGCGATTCGTCAGTTTAAAAACAATCCGCGACGATTATTTTTGCGACTGAGGAAACACTCTCTCCAAATACAAAGCAAAATAAATGATTCGCGGCGATTAATATTCGCGGGTAAATGTAAGTCGCGAAACTCGCGAATATTTCTCGCATGCGAATTAAAGGTGGTTGACAGAATATGTCGTATAATTTTCTATTCCAAACATAAAATATCGGTATTGTCATAGCTTTAAAATTATATTTGATACCCTTTCAAACCTTCCTAAATAAAGAAAAGGCTCTAAAGAAAATTAATTACTAATACATGTACGGTGTAGGTTTAAATTCCCTGTGTGTGAGAGAGTGTTATTTACCTTATTTTGTAACGTATTAGATAAATCTGTAAATGTTATTATTCATTACTAATTGATACCAAACTTAAAGATTACTTTTTATTCGTACGAATTCTCTTTTAGATGACTATAAACTGGAGGTATCACCTGATTACTATCGTCCTGTGGAGACCAAGCCCTTTATTCTTCAGTGCAGGTTGCCATACTCCTCTGGTCGAGTGTTTTGGATGAAGAATGGATCTCTTTTTAACCCACAGCAGTCTCCATCAATTTCTCAGAATGACCGACTTAGAAGACTAGAGTTTGAGAACATTATGCCAGGAGACAGTGGTTTGTATGTGTGTTTGTCAGAGGACCACAATGGAATCTATTCAGCTGGAGTGGACGTCCTTCCATACAATATTTATGGTAAAATTTATTCAAGTTCTTTTAAGATCCGACGACACGCCCCTAGAATATCTCTTCTTAATATACCAAAATTATTTAAATTAATTATGATCTTGTGATTCTCTCTCTTTCTCTCTCTTTCTCTCTCTCTCTCTCTCTCTATATATATATATATATACAAAGCACTAAAAATGACCAACGACACGAACAATAATAATTGTCAAATTTTCGGGACGACCTGCCCGTTCCTCAGGACAAAGAAAAAGTTAAGAAGTCATAAAAACAAAGGAAATAGAGAAACAAAAAACAACTAGCACTACTACTAAACTTCCAAACACTAAATATTTACAGTGTTACATGTTTAATTTCAAGTTAATAAACAGTCGTGAACAAAGAAATCCGGAGCGCTATGAATTGCGTCCAGTCTATCGGGTGAACTCTGGTGAAGTGCGATTTACATAATTGAACGAATTAATTACCGCTAATTAATTACGACAAGCAGTAAATCGTACATTGTCTTATTCTCTCAAAATAGCGTAACTATACATGATAAAAAGAAATTTAAGAAAGATTATATGGAAGGGCAATTTTAAAAATATGAATTTGGACATATTATAAATTTGGAAATCGGATAAAAGAAATACACAAAAATGTAAGCTGTAAATATCTGGGTAGGTTGTTCCAGAATTGCTAATGCGAATTAACGGTAAAGTTTACACTATATAGAGAGAATGAACTTGTTTGTTACAATCCGGGATTGGGTCTAGTTCATGTTCATCCTGGTGAAGTCATTAAGTTTGTTAATACCATCAGGGCGGAATGACTTCAGCCTGTGCATCCAGAACTTTTCCTTGCCTTTTCTCTGAGCGTCTGTCCATCTTGGATCATGGTCAATAACCATTACTGTCATGTCCTCCCATTTGTGACCTTCAAGGTTGAAATGTTCCCCAACGGGTTCATTATGTTTTTTGGTCCTAATGGTAGAACGGTGATTATTGACTCTCCTGCGGAGATCACCTGTTTCGCCAACATACTGTTTGGAGCAAACTTTGCAACTGATGAGATAAATGCAGTTGTCTGTTTGACAGGACAAGTTCCCTAGAATTTTGTAGCTGCGGCCTGTAACGGGGCTGTTAAAGCTGTCTGTGTTAGAGCTGTGCTTACAGAGAAGACATCTTCTGTCAGAGCAAGTTTTAAAGCCCCCGTTAGGTAATGGATTGTCCAATCTGGTTCTTACTACCATGTCCTTTAGATTCCTCGGGCGTCTGTATGCAGCCAATGGGGGCTCCTTAAAGACCTCTGCCATTCGTTTATTTGAGTGGAAAATTGGCAGATTCTTTTGAAGGATACCGCTGAGGTTCTTAAGGACGGGATGGTATGTGGTTACCAGAGGGACCCTGCCGCTATTGTCTTTTTCCTTGTAGCGTAATAGGTTTTGCCTGTCATGTCCCGCCATCTCATCAATAGCAGTTTGTATGGTGCGGGCATTGTAGCCTCTCTTGCATAAGTGGGACTTGAGGAGACCGCTTTGTTCCTGATATTAGGCAGAGGATGAACAGATGCGACGAATTCTAGTGGCTAGACCCTTAGGCAAACCCTTAAATGTGTGTGGGGGATGACAGCTAGTTAGCATAAGATACAAATGGGAATCTGTGGGTTTCGTGTGGAGACTGAACTCGATTTCACCATCAGTCAGGGTAGATGTAGTATCTAGGAATATGTTTTTCGAATTAGATACGTCTACTGTAAATTTGATAGACTGATGAAAGGTGTTGGCAAAGGAAATGAATGCCCCAAGGCTCTCGCGACATTCCACCCACTTCGTCTCTATATCGTCAATGAAACGCAACCAGCTAAGGGGCCTAAATGGTGCTTGAAGTAGCAAGTTGCGTTCAAGTCTGCCCATGAAAATATTGGCATAAGATGGTATCATTTTCGTATATATATATATATATATATATATATATATATATATATATATATATATATATATATATATATATATATATGAAAGCACTAAAAACCAACAATATACAATATTGTTTATCCTGTGTCGGATCTATTAGGTAGACGGAGCACTAAAAATGACCAATGAAACAAACAAACTTGCAAATTTTTTTTTGACGTCCTGTCCCATCCTCTGGACATCGTGAAAGTCATGAGAAAACAAAACAGATGGAAAAAAAACATATAGCACGACAACTACGCTACTAAACTCTATTTATTCACAGTTTCACATTTTGAACTTATTGATTTGAAATGAATCCGGACCACTGCGAGGCACGTCTGGTCATTCTGGTCTACTGTGGCGATGTGTGATTTACATAAACGATCGAGATAATTATTGCTAATTAATTACTACAAAGTAGAAAACTGTACAATTTTGTATTATATACTGAGAGAAGACATTTCTATTTGCTATTCACCTATGATAATTAATTACTGTAAATAATGTAATTGATAGGTCAAATTGAAAGAATTACATAAGAATAAGAAACTTCAATGTATAATATAAAAAGTACTTCATAGTTTTTATAATGATAGTGACAAATGGGATTGTATTTACAGTAGTACTGGCAAGTAAATAGATCTGCTTTTTGATTAATCACTAGAGTAATAGACTAATTTTTTATTGATCCCTGGTCGTTGCTTTTTTCTAAAGAATACATATCATCATTGGGACCTCCTGACAGACAAGGATCACTACCAGGTTCTGAACTTCCAGGAAATTTAGACTACGTAAGGATTCCAGCAGGTGTTGCATACAATCTACTCTGCAATATTACTAACTCACCAGGACCAAAAGCATGGAGCAAAGATGGTGTTATATTACGACCCTCTGCTCCGGGCGATACAAACCGATTTTTGTCATTCGACTCAATTACAAAAGCTGATTCAGGCGTTTATACATGCCAGTCAGGGAATCAAGAGTATACAGTTTTAGTCGACGTTGTTCCTCGAAACGTTCAAGGCATGTACACTTTGAAGTATTATCTGTATTTTAAAGTTGTCATTGTTTTACTCTGAAAAAAGTGTATCAAGAAGGCTGTGTAGTCGTGGCTATTTTGTTTGAAGATCACCTGAGCAGAAGGCTCAAGTGAGCTTTTCTGATCGAAGAGTGTCCGGCGTCTTTCGTCGTTTCCGTCTGTCGTCTGTAATCTTTTCACATTTTTTACTTCTTCTCCAGAACTGCTGGGCCAATTTCACCCAAACTTGCCAAAAAGCATCCTTGGGTAAAGGGGATTTAAGTTTGTTCAGAGGAAGTGTCATGCCCTCTTTCAAGGGGGAGATAATTAATTATTCGTGAAAATTTGGTGGCATCTCAAGAACCACTGGGCCAGAAAAGATGGAACTTATGTGAGAGCTTCATTACATACTGTAGATTCAAGTTTGTTCATATCATGACCCCTGGGGTAGGGTGGGGGCACAACAGGGAGTGAAAGTTATACATAAGAATATTTAGGAAATGGGTTTAAAAATCAAGAACAGCAAAGCCATTATTAGTCATCCTCAGGTGGTGTAGTTTCAAGTTTGTTCAAATCGTGACCCCCAGGGATATGGCGGGGCCACAACAGGAGGTCAAATTTTCACATTGACCGTCACTGCATGAAATTGAGGGTTAAAATCATGACTCCTAGGTATAAATTGGGGATCAAAGTTTAACATAGGATTACATAGGATAAGAGTTTTAAAAGTTTTCCACAGGAACAGCGAAGCATAATTAGTCTTATTTTGAGGGAAGCATCTTTGGGTAGTGGAGATTCAAGTTTGTTCAAATCATGACCCTGGGAGTAGGATGGCGCCATAATGGACAATCAAAGTTTTGATTTTAGGGATACATAAAAATAATCTTTCTAAGTCTTCTTCTCAACAACAGCAGATTCATGATTAGTCATATTAATATGGAAGCATCCTCAGATAGTGTAGATTGAAGTTTGTTCAAATCATAATCCCCTGGGTTAGGGGAGGGGCCACAAAAGTGGTCAAAGTTATACATATGAATATGTAGGAAAAAAGAATCTGCTGATCAGGTGAGCGTTGTGGCCCATGGGCCTTTTCTGCCTATTTTATCTGGGAAAAAAGAGTTCTGTATAAATGTATTAAATATTTTGGTTGAATTGGATTTTCCATACTTAAAAAATAGTTTATAGCCAGACAAATCATTTTTCATATTTTTAGGTGTATCTGTTGGGTATCTTGTTTACCATTCAGCCGCCATTATCATCACTGACACTTGATGCTTTGGTAAATTAAATTATGTAGAATTATATTCATTGTGCAGAATACTTTCTTCTGAGTGAACGTCCGGACGAGAAGCCAAGTTTGAGGCTTCCAGATGCAATGCCTGAAAAACCTCGACTTTCACTGCCGAATTCAATTGATCAAAAGTTACGTTATACGAGACCGGGGCAGCCTTTTGCTATAATTTGTGATATTCCACCACAAAATCAGCCTGTCAGATGGTACAGAGATGGCTTGTTATACACTCCTAATCGCCCTGATGTTCAGGTGTTTGACAGGATGATACAATTTGGACAGGTTACAGAAAACGATCAAGGTGTGTATTCCTGTGTAGCAGGCGATGGAGACGCAATATCCTCTACAAGACTTATCGTGAATCCTCGCCATACAACAGGTAAGCATATCTCTCTCTCTCTCTCTCTCTCTTTGAGTAGGGATTCTAATTTATATAGTAAATTTCCATTGTATGTAATTATAAATTTCTGTAAAGAAAACACGTGTTGTTTTGTACTCAAGCCTTACATAACAATAAAGTTAATTTAATACAGGCGTCAATTTTTAGTGCTTTAGTGTGAACTACTGTTAAGAACCTTTTTGGGTAAGGAAATGGTTTTAGCCAAGTGACACTTTATCAGAATAGTAGACAAAGACTCTTCGGATCTTTAATGAACTGCCATCAAAACAGTTTTGATACCCGTTTTGGCATTGCCCAAATAAACACCTTGCACTCATTTTTTGGCTCATAATTAAATTGTTTCGTCCAGAAAGAGCAATCTGGGCAAACAAGCCACTTGATTCGAGGTAACACTCTGGATGTTGGCTTTTTATGTCCATTTTTTTCCCAAGAAAGTTTACAGTGGCTTTGCAGCAGTTGCTCAAAAACTGATTTATTTATATCAAGGGACCACTGTTTTACACTGACGTGACTTCAAATATACAAACCTTTTGCAAGAACAACGAGACTATAATTCACATAATTCATGAATCAATATGTAGAATTTAATATTTTCAAATCGTAAACTTTAAGTTTATTGCAACAATTTTGTGACTCTGATGAATGGGCCCTTGGTTATTCAAAGACTTTTTGCATGGCAATTATATCAAGAAACACAAATTAGTATTAGCCTCAAAGTAAAACTAGATCAATATATCTTCCATTAAGAGTTCTAGTAGTTTTTATTCCTATTTTGAAGTGAAATAAACGTTTTCATTAATAGATATAGCTACATACTAAGCTAAAGATACAGAAAGAAAATTAATACTTTCTGGTAGTTCTAATATTTTTATTGCTTAAATATGTAATATTATTTAAACGGTTTCATTTGGATCTGAACTTAAGTGTTTGAAAATTCACTCTTTTGCATGTATAAACACCAGTGCGTAACCCGACCAAACATTTTTAATTCTGCTTAATGATTCAGCAATGTTATATAAAAAGTAGTGAGATGAGTTTATATTTACTTCGTTTTTTTATTTTACCCCCAGAGCATGGCTGATCTAAGCACAATTTTTTTTTCAAGAAATCTTTGCTTTAAAACTTTTCGGGAGAACTAAATTTCTCTAGAGGAGGCCTATTGAAGTACATCTTGACCAAAATAACTCTAAATCTGGCTGTTTTATGGCTTAAAGTGGTATAATGCTATATTATTGTGAATTACTTCAAAACATAAAACATCTCTTGTCGGAAGTAGTATTTCAAAAATTTGATACTTTAGAGAAAAGAAGCAATTGATTACTCTTAAATTCTGTCTTCTCTTATATTAGTTTCCTTATTTTGTTTTTTCCTTATTGCTTACTGTTTGACAAAAAAAAAATCTATACTTTGGGATCCCGTGCAACGAATCCCGAAACTGTTATAATTTTTTTTTTCAAATTACAAGAATGTTTGTAATTTCTAAATAATCTTCATTTCATTATTTTTTCAAACAAACTTGTTTTTAGTAAGCGTTTTTACGATTCCTTGCAGTGACGGTCAATGTAGCTGAAAGGGAAAATCCAGAGACTTACGCTTTCACAAGATTCCAGCTAACCTGCAATATTCCTCTGTTGAATCCAGAGGAACAAGTCGCATGGATGAAAGGCAATCAGCTGTTCATACCACCTGTTGATAGAAACATACAGTTCTCACCAAATGGTCGAACTATCACATTTGACCCCATTCTACAGGAAGACAGTGGCACATACACTTGCATATCAGAAAGAACCGGGGCCCAAGTTTCACAACTTGTCAAAGTTAACCCACCTATCTATCCAGGTACTAGCATACTGATATTGGTTGAATTAAAGTAGAATTTGGCGAATTTACGTTTAAGAACTAAAAGCTAAGTAAAATTGCCAAGTAACAAGTTTCATCTCTTTTTTTCTTCAACTGAAAAAAAATGATATAAACAGTTTTGACGATTGATTGATAAATTATCGTCGATATCGACAGTTCGGAGAACTTCGTAAACACAAAGTATTCAGTATACAAAAACAGGGTTAAAATCTATTTTTCAAAAAGTAATCTGTCGATATCGTAACTGCATGGTATCTTGGACATAACTCATAATTTTTCCCCTTGAAAAAGTTTTTTTTTTCAACTTGGATCATAGGTCCAGGTCAAAGATTAGGACTGTTTAATCAAATATCAATATGCATTATTATATCATTGAAAATCATCTTCTGCATATCATAAGGAGTTTTGCATCGTTTACCAAAACTGAAAAATACAGGACTGCTGGATCCCAAAGTATGAGGCTAAACTCACATTTCTGAAAATATATATTAAAAGTTAATTTACCTTTTTTACAGGACTGTTATTAGACCAAATAAATGATGAATAAAGAAAGCTCAGAAGCATTGTTTGATTGGAAATTCCTATTTGAGAAATGCTTGTCATTTAGGGTGTAATTCTTATGCTTAAAGGTTGACCTTCTTTAAAGTTACATAATGAGTCAAAATCATGTGTTTTTTTAAGATAATTGTATCATAAAACAAAAGATTTATGTGAAATATGAATAAAGCGAAGTTTTGACTACTTAACTGCACTGTAAAGCAAGAAAAGAACTGCAGAATGTAAGTGCCGGAAAAGCAAAGGTTGTATTTATCGCTTATTTGTTATCGTCAATACCAAGGTCACGCGACGTTTATTCTTAGCAATGAAACTTGTAAACAACATTGAATTGGAGCAAGAAAAAAAGTGAGGAATAAGTTATGATCATCTTTATTCAAGATTGTATCAAAATCCTCGGTCATCCGACATTTATATCTATGGAATTGACACCATGGTAAATTCTTCAAATTTTCCGCGCAAGCGTACAATAAAGAGGAAGAAGTGAAGCAATATTTTTGTGTTGGGGCAAACAAAAATTATTTTTACTTTTAATTTTCTCCTTAAAAGTAGAATTTTTAGGTTCTGAAACCTGTAATTTTATGAAACCTAATATCTTCAAGAATTGACCAAAATTTGTATGTGTCATGCAAAAATTCTACTTTTGTCAATTTTCCTCTTTTTCCGTCACGGTGTCTCTTTAAAGAATTTGATTATCCATGATTATGTTTTAATTCCGGAAGCGGGTTCTTTTTTACCTAAAAGGCAAAATATTCAGCATCAATATATATGTATTAGTTACGTCTATAGATTAAACACTCCACATATCCTTAAGAAAAAGAAGAAAACTGATTATAAGACAGAATCCATCACAAAAAGAAACAATAAAGCTAAAATTCTAGATGTTTCTTTGATGAACAGATTACTACAGAGAGGAAGTGTCCCCTGGATACCACCGACCTGTGGAAACCAAGCCATTCATTCTTAGATGCCCTGGAGCGGGGGCACCTGTGACTTGGATTAAAGACGGACTACCTCTTACAAAAAATCAGCAACGCATTTCATTCTCCAGTGGTGACCGACAAATAATTTTCAACAGCGTGAGGAGGGAAGATAGTGGTTACTATGTGTGCATAGCTATGAATGGAAGAATTCTTCATCTTTCTGCTGTTGACGTTGTACCTTTGTCCGTTTATGGTAATTTCCTTATAAACAAAGTTTATTGCTTTCAATCGATGCTCTTTTTGAATATAAATATAATAACTTTATGACAAAAAAAAAGAGAAAAAGAAATCAAAGTTACTGCTAGTATTCTAAAATTATTATTAAAAGTTATATGATTGCAATTTCTGATTTTTTTTTTACCTTGTCTTATAACTGTAATTCAAAACATATATAAAGTAGGGTAAAATAAACTTTTAAACATTTTAGCTTCGTCCCTGGATCTGCTTTACCAATTTCGATCAATTTGGAATAATGCATTTATGGGTAAAGGAGGACATAAATTAAACTTCTGGATATATAGCAGCCAAACTGTTGGCATGATTATAATAAGCAACCAGTCCTTTACCCAAATTGTGCAATTATTAACCAACAATTTTTAGGGTTCAGACTCTAGGGTGGGGTGTGTCGGGTGTATTTTGAAAATCATTGTACCTTATAAACCTTTTATCTTTGCTCACGAACATCTAGTAGGCAATCTGTTACTTGATGATTACAATGATGAGATTTCGTCCATTTACCAAAATGTTTAAATTCATGGTCTTTATAGGTTCATGGTTTAATCCTGATTGGTTCATTCATTCAAAGTACATTTTAATGAAAATCATCTCTACTCAGAGATAATTAGCAGGGAAAAAACTTATTCAATGATTATAAGAAACACTATCCTTGTACCAAAGTTGTGAAATTTGTAGCCCACTGGCCCCAGGTTTTTGGCCATAAGGCTTAAGGAAGTTTTATTATATGAAGTAGACTTTAGAAAATCTTTAATCATTGCCATCAAGTAAACAAATTCCTGGCATGATTACAATAAGCAATAAGCTTTTTACAAAGAAAAAATTCATTACCCCTGGGTCTGGTGTTTAGGGCTCTGAGTAAGGCTAAGTTTGTTTTATATTGAAAATATACACTGTGCCTGAAAAAGGGCTACCAGTTTGTTTGATAATAATTAACGCTTAGCCCTCTACCAGAATTGAAAAATACCTGGCACCCTGGCCGATGGTTTAGGCAACAAGTTGGGATAATATTGCTCATATTTTAAAACTACACTACATCAAAAACTTACTGAGGAATATCTTGTAGACGAAGTGTTTGCACGGTAACAATGAGTATAACTCGTTTATCAAAATTATAAAATATATGTGTCCTTTGTCTAGCAGCGGGGCTTATATCTTGAAAATGAATTACGATTTTGAAAATCTCTTCTTAAATCATGAACATCTCATTTAGCAAACACCATTCATATATGATCATTATAATAAACACATAGCTTTCTACCAAAATTTTAAAAACATGCCCCCCCCCCTTGACCAAGGGCCAAACGCCAGGTTAATGCTTACTATATCAGACATTAAAAGTACATCTTTTGCAGATCCTTATCATTTGGGTGCATCTTGCAGATACATTATTTGTATGATCATAATGAGCAGCTTGCCTGTCATTAAAATTTATAAAATGCAGGTCTCTCCAGGGTGCAGGGATCAGGCCCCTGGATAGGGCTCAGTTTGTAATGATAATGCTCACAAAATCTTCAATAAGGAGTAAAAATTATGTCACATAGTTCAAAGTTCCAGTTCTCGATGTGTCTTTAGTTCTCAAGTTTAAAAAACTTAATGTACTCAGGGGACCGTCAATGCCCATGGTTTTTGTAACCTTTTCAGCGTGTTTAAATTTATAGAAATAAGTTCATTATTTAGATGATGTGTATACACAATCTCTTCAGTCTGCAATTGATATGATCAATCAAATTTTCTATTTTTGTTCGAAAAATTTCTGTTTTATTGCTAATTAATAATACTTCTAGATGAACCAGTGTGGTATTGAATATACATTCATCAACATTTTCAAATACCTAATAAATACCAATGTAGATCCCTGGAAAAATATTTCCTTTTTATATAATTAATTAGCATATTAATTGTAATTCTTACAGGATCTCAATTTCTCTTCAATCTGATTTCAAATATTATTTTGAATTTCCTATGTAACAAAGTTAATTCATGCTACAATGAATATATATTGAATGTTTAATTGTTAGTGTATTTGAAATGGGTAAAGATGAATGACGAGCAGAAATCGATTTCAAAAAAATATACAAACAATACCAATCTGTCAAAAGGGCATAAAACACAGACCCTTGGATATTCCAGAGGTGGGATCAAATGCTTAGGAGGATTAAGCATCACCTGTCGACTGGTGACACCTGCTGTACGCCCTATGTATCGATCAGCTAGACGGAATATTCTGTAGTCAAATTAAGTATAAAAACAAAGGCCTAATAAATGGAAAAATATGTCAATCAAAAAACGCCCCAATGCCAACATTACAACATTACATTTGCTAACATCACAAAATGCTGACTTTAAACGAGGAAGTTAAAATCCATGTAACATCAACTTATTTGTCAGTAGCCTACCTTGGTTTAAAAGTTAATCGTACTCAAATCATGCTGTTGAGTATCAAATAAATACAAAGACATAAAAACCATATACATTTGATAGCGCAAAAGTTGAGGATGTAAAAATCAAAGTCATCTCATTTGTCATACAATTTAGTTGTTAGTTGCACCTTATCGTCTATAGTCAGTAAAGCATCTTAATATGAAACACATGTGACAGATTCTATTGTGTCTTTTATTTCGATTAATCTGGGGTATATCGAATTAAAACACGAATGAAAATAACTATTGTTAACTGATAAAACGTCTTCGATATATCTCAATGTCGAGTTGAAGGTCACATTAAGTGTTTTCTTCTTTTTTAGAATTTTAAAAAAATTCTACTTCACAGGAATATAAAAACAGGTCGACTAGTAAAGGTTCATAGTAAGTGCAAATCCGAATTCAAACAGCTTGTTTGAAGACAGTGTCTCCAAAGACTACATAGATGTTGTCAATGATGAACTCCAGCATCCTTTTAATATCAACCTCAGCGTATTATGTGTAGAACCAGAGTGATTTTTTACAAAGTGATTTTGTAGATGACCAACCACAAAGATATGGCAATCTCCGAGTTCCATTTTTATTGATATCAGAAAGCTTAGATTTCTAATTTATCACGAGGAATGGTTGTATAAAGTAAAGTAAAGAAAAGTTGATACTGACTTTTGAAAAAAAATGCGATTTGAAATTTTTCAAAAGGTTCTTGAAGTTTTTAAGAATCCACCTTTTATTTACATCACTCCTCGAATATGTTGTAGCACAGTACGTCTAAAGCTTCTCCTTTTCTTTTTGTGCGGATATTGCGTTTTAATTTTATATCAGTAACTTCAACATATCTTAATACATGTATTATGGGGAAATGTGTTTCTAGTTTTATCCATTTTGGCATTTGGAATCTTGCAATTTAATCCAACACATGATTTAAATCTCAAAATCAATACAGAATAATTTTAAACTTTACATTGAATGCTATATGGTATTACAAAGCTAAAATATAGTTATACATTTAGAAATCGTAAAAGGATCTTTTTGAAGATTTTTTTATGACAAAGTGTCATTATTATTATTAAACGTATCCAAAATTGCTTTATATCTACAGATTACCTGATGGCTTTGGGTCCCCCGGAAAGACAGGGAAACCAACTTCTTAACCTCCCATCAAATCTCAACTACTTAAGACCTTTGTCCGGTGATATGCTTGAGATTTTCTGTAATGTCTCAAATTCTGCACTAACACAACCAATCAGCTGGACCAAAGATGGAACCCTATTACCTGACCAAAATAGTCAGTTCCTTTTGTTCCCGTCTGTGACAGAGGAAGACGGTGGTTTGTATACCTGTATGGCAGGGAATGAAGAGTACAATGCATTGGTTGACGTCAAACCAAGGAACGTGCAAGGTATTTGGCCTTAATTTATAATGAACAAAAACAAGAAAGGTGCTGAATTCAGTTTACATGAAGAAGTCGAGCGATGAATTTTCACACATTTTTTTTCATTGTTGTACCTTTTATAAATATACAAATAAAATCTCAGTTCTAGATCCATATTGACATTCAGTTCCAGAAGATTCATCCTTTCTTTCATTACAGCAAACACAAATTACTCTTATATAGTAGTACTTTATACTAGTATTTATATCCTAGTACTTATATATATATAGTAGTACTTTTATACCGTAAGAAAAAGCAGTTGTTCTGTCAAAAAATTTATAAAAGGAAAAGTAATCTAATTTTTACATTGCTTGTGAATCAGAAGAAAATTTACTTTATCTTTTTCGTTCTATTTGAATAAAAGTACAAATCTTTGTTGGATTCCGTATATCAGTTACTGATATTTTGCCAGTCTCTTTCATATTCTATATTATTATTTACAGCCTTGCACCAACAAAAACTTTTCTTTATAAACTCTTACTGTGATCGACTTTATTTGGGAATCAACATTAAATTTTGAAACACTAATTTTAGCTTACTAGCAGATATGAATTTCGAATCACAAATAGGTTTGCAAAACATTCAAACTTTCATATTTAACAAAAAGTCTATCAAACTACAATGAATATTAAACTTTTTTAAAAAATCCATTCTTCAATGGAGTTTATTCAACAAATAAGTGATCAACTGCTTCTATGTCGATTTTACAAAAAAAAAAAAATCCTCGAGAATCAGCCAATTTTAGTCTTAAAGATGAAAACTAGTTGAGATTAATGACATATTTGTGAGGTATAAAATAAATTGTATATTTTCAGAATATCTTCTTCTAAGCGATACACAGGATAAAAAACCAACATTGTTACTACCTGATGCCGCTGAGGAAAAACCATTATTATCTCTCCCCCTCGATGCACGGGAGAGACTAAGGATACAAACCCGTCCTCCGGGTGTTGGTTATGTCTTGGTGTGTAACTTGCCATCTTACATTCCCTACCAAGCTCCAATTAGGTGGTACAAGAATGGCGAAGCCTACAATATCCCCCCTAATTCTAGGCGGGTATCAGTGATTGATAACGGACGGGTTCTGAGATTTGAGTCATTAAGAGAAGAGGATTCTGGCCTGTACACATGTGTGGCAGGAAACAACCTAGCTCTGTATGCCTCCAGAATTATTGTAGCTCCAGATGTTAGGAATGGTAGGTACAAAACTCTCTCTCATACACACTCACACAATATCGGGGATAATATTTGCTGATCCAAATTAAATTATTTATAAACCTTAAATAACCTTATAAACCTTAAATACGTTTTAGATTTTACTTGATAGGGAGATGCTTAATTATTTATAAAAATGTAATTTTGCTACATAAAGTTTTTTTAATCCAACCACCGTGGACCTACGTATACTTTTTTATTTAGTTCTGGTACTGATACTAGTATTGGCAAGATGGTAATTTAATATTCTCATTCTGCTCATTCGTAATCAAAACAAAACCTTACAAAAGTATTAAAACGAAGTGTAATCAAAGCTTTGTTTACTATCAAATCACTATACAGTAAACATGAAAACACTTACAAATGCTCTTTGTCATTTTGAGTGGGTTAATACAAGTTTAGTCTTGGTCATCCCAATGATTGAAATACCAGTAATTTTGTACGATATCGATTAGGTAATATTTTTCATACATCAAAGCTGACTACGACTTGTAAAATGAAGAGATTTATTATTGTCCGCCATATTTCTCTTCGCTGGTCTCATTTTTCAAGCCTCTGACTTCTTCACAAGTCTAAGAATCTTACCTGTTTGGATGTTCCTTGCTTCGCTATAGTTACTCAGCGATATATTTATCAAATGTTTGTTATTATACCACGTCGGGAGAAAAGGTAACATCAGTTGCACAGGTCAGTGCATTACAAACATAAGCATAAAACAATGAAATAGAATGTGAACACCAAGACTATGCAACAAATAGTATACGTACGCCATGAGTGGCCGGTGTGCAATTAATTAGTTAGCTGTAGTTAGATATAACGAATGCAATCAAAACTTATTTCGGATATTGCTGTTTACAATTCGTGTTAAGCATTAATCGGGGATAGTCAAAAACAGTTTTAGCTGATTTCATTGAAAAGGCCTTAATAATTTAGTTAGAACCTTAACCTTCTACGGTCCAAATTTAGGGCCAAATATTAAACTTTTCAAGACAGACATAAAGAAAGAAAGGGAAAAATACAAAATCAAAGCAATATGCCCTCATTCTTATATTTTTGGGGATATACAAATTAGCCACAATTGTACTTTTATTCTTGAAATATTTCTTAAGATATAACCATGAAATGTGATTAATTTGATTTGATTAATACAGTGCATGATAAAAAAAAAACTGTTATTTTGCATCATATTTTCAAATTAAACACTTTTGTCGTCTTGCAAGACTTTCAGATTGTTGGGTTTTTTCCAACGGTTTTAATTATCCTAACAGCTTTAATGGATGTCTCTCCACTCCCAGTATTTGTGTCCTCTTTTTTAAGAGAGAAATAATTTTAATCAGTTACATATTTATCTCCAAAGAAACAACCATTAATATGAAACTGTTAGACCTTTATTTGAACTATTTGTAGAACAACTTACCATAGGAGTTAGAAATAGGGAAAACAATGTACAAGTTAACCAGGACTTTACATTGATTTGTGGAATTACACCAATGAATCCTAACATGCCAGTCGTTTGGTTGAAGAATGGGCGAGCGTTCTCTTCCTTCGATCCATCTAGAGTAATGGTTATGGGTAGAAATATTACATTTTCACCTGTTCTTCCTGTTGATCAAGGCCGCTACACGTGTATGGCTATTGACAACTCAGCATCATTTACCTCAGTACTAAATGTCTTAGCAAGAGGGGCAAGAGGTAAATTTCTAACTACGTATTCTATGGTATTTTAATTTATTGTGTTCTAGACTGAGTCAGTGTTTTGTATGTATCTATGATTTTCTGATCGAAGTTTCGATGCCATCTGTGTATCTATCTGCCGTATGTTGTTTGTTATCATTATAAAAATCAGATTCGACCGTTCACGGTACACTGTAGCTCAGTCGGTAGAGCGCTCGCTCCGTGATCGGGAGGTCTTGAGTTCGAATCTCGGCCGCGACTGACCTAAGTCGATAAAAAAGTGGGTAGCAACTGTTCCTTCGCCATGCGCTCGGCACTTTGCAATGAAAGTTTCGGGTCCTTCGGATGAGACCTTAAAAACCGAGGTCCCTTGTCACGGCAGGCGTTGGCACGATAAAGATCCCTCACTGCTCAATGACCCTAAGTGCCGAGTAAAGATCAAAAATTTGAAGCCCTTCACCGGTATATGGTGACGTCTCTATATGAGTGAAAAATTCTGGAATGGGACGTAAAACAACATAAAATCAATTAATCAAAATCAGAATCATGGACCCGATTCAGCCAAAATTGGCAATATATAATCTTATGTAGAGGGAAATCAAGTTTGTTTAAACTAAGGTCCTATTTTGTACCACCAAGAAATAATCAAGAAATAGTTGAAATAGAGTAAGGCTATTTGAAAACCACTGGGTCAAAAAAACTCATATTTGAGTTTCTTTATATCGTTTATGTTTTTACTTCCATTTGTTGTTTGCTCTACATAGGACGGATCGAGTCGCCCGCGGGGCGCAGTGGTTAGAGCGTTCGCTCTAGAGTCGCGGAGTACGGAGTTAATCCTTACGTCGCGGGTTCGAATCCCACTGTGGGACGTGGAGACCGGTCCTTCGGATGAGACCGTATAAACCGAGGTCCCTTGTCTCAGCAGGTGCTGGCACGAAAAAGATCTCTCACAGCTCAATGGCCGTAAGTGCCGACTATAGGACAAAATTTGCAGCTCTCTACCGGCAAGTGGTGGCGTCTCCATATGAGTGAAAAATTCTCGAGAGGGACGTTAAACAATATACAAACAAACAAACAAAAAAGGACGGATCGACTACGACAAATCAAATTTTAAATCTAAATACATAGAAAGCGTTTCCTCACAACCAATAGCGTTATCATGTATGAATATGCAAATATCCCAATGTAGAGTAGATTTATTGCCAGGAAAACGTAACGTATTATACTTGTGTTAAAATATTTCCTTTATGAAGTTAAAAAGGTAAAATACTATATTTCATATTCTGAAAAATTTCACATATAGTAATGCTACACTGCGGGGGTAATTTGCGCTATCCAACCTCAGAAAATTCTCATTCAACTTTAATTTGGACGCAAATTATGATTTCCAGCGATATGCTTTGTTGGCTATTTCTTCAAGCTGAAGAGTTCCACAAAGATATTCCTCACGAAATAAAGTGTGTTATCAAACTCTCAAAAATTATTACATATATATACATCAGTATAAAAAAACTTTCATGGACTGGCTGTGAGTAGAATATCTCTTTCATTCAACCCTTGACATGAATTATTCCCTTCGGGCAAACACTTAGGGAATAGTTCCAGTCAAATGCTATTCCACACAGAGCAAGCATATTTGTGAGACTGTCAATTTTATTGGGAAAGGAATTTCTGTTTTCTTTTTAAAATATCTAAGTTTTTTTCAATTGATATATTTTTTTATATTCAACCTAAAGAAAATATTTGAGAAATATTGCACATAATTTTGACCTTTTCTAGCGGAGGATTCACAGTTACTGAACATCTGGCAGCAGCAGTTTACACCTCTCGGTCTAGGGGCTTATGAGCTGACCTGTGTCATGCCTCCAACAGTTGACCCCTCTGTCCCTGTAATCTGGATGAAGAATGGCCGTCGTATGACGAGAGATGATACTGGTAGAATAAGCTACACTGATGGAAATAGAAGAATGATATTTTCGGAATTGAGTCCAGAAGACAGAGGGTGGTATACATGTGTTGCACTGGATAACTCTGCCTCTTATACATTGTCGCTGGTGGTAGATCTAGATAGGAATACAGGTGAGAACACTGATATATCAATATTATAATATGTTGTACCAATGGACATTTGATGTGAAGTCATTTCATTATAACAGCGACTTTTATGGTAATCAAAGTACTATAATGGTATAATGGATCATTTTCTTCTCGAATTTTCAAAGATTTAATCATGGTAAAGTGTTGCATGCTTGTATATATACACACCTATCTTATTATGCACGATTTAGTGTCAGTAATGTACCAGTAGGAAAAATAAGCATTATATTTTAACGCAACTTTATACATTGGTTTCCAACGTAAGTAAACTGAACTACTGTAGCATTAGGTACTGAATAGTAACAGTCATACCAAAAGCTTGTATGTTCAGTTGTGTATAAACTTATAGAGCGCAATGAAATCTTCATGTGATTGTACAATGCTTAATAATCATAGGAAAATATATTCTTTCATTAGAAAGCATAAATTTGAAATCAAAATAATTGTTGTTTGCTGAAGACAGGCTTGTTTTTTCTTTCAATTAAGCACTCTCTACCATCGGCTCATACATTCACCTCTCTGTCATTGGCTCGAGTATAATGCACTTTCTACCATCGGCTCATGCATTCACATCTGTCATTGGCTCGCGTATATCACTATGTTGAGGATCCCTGTAGGCTTCACAAGATTTGATCACATGACAAACTGAGTTCATTTCCAAGCTAACTTTTATGCTTTGTTATCTATTAATAAATTACCACCAAAAAAATTATTCGTTGTTGTGGCCCTGTTAAAGTCATCATAATTCCTAGTATTTCATATTACAGTGTAAAATCAAAAATAATGATCATGGGCATTTTGTCACAAATACTGTAGGAACACAATGTGTCCAAGAACTAAAACGTGACAAACACAACTAATGAAATACTTTCCTCTTGAAACAGAAACAGACACCGTTGGAACGGCTCTGCGAGTAAATAATCGGCTATTAGGAATGGAGTATGAGCTCAGATGTTTACTACCAGATCCAGAAAAGCCAGTATTTTGGATCAAAAACGGAGAACCCTTTGGAGCTGATCAAGCTGGTCGCATCAGTTTCTTTGATAGAAATCACGTGGTTCGATTCAGTAGCCTTCGTCCTGAAGACAATGGATATTACATGTGCCGTTACGAGGATGGCTCAATGACATACAGCACGGCTATCAGAGTTGTAGGAGGGCCAAGCGGCGCTGGTAGCACTTTAGTTTTGATTTGCTTTATCTAATATTGTACATTTCTAACCCTTTTGAAAAACAATGGAATTAACAATATATCACTTTAATATTGGTTTTTTTAGGACTAAGAAATATAAGAAACTTTTACCTTATGCAACTTGGTGGGAAATTTGAGCTTCGCTGTGCAATCCAGGCTATGAATCCAAATTTCCGGGTTATATGGCTGAAAAACGGTCAATTATATGACCCTCCAGCATCCAGGGCTATATCCTTTACCAATGGAAACAGCAGAATCATTTTTGACGATTTGCGAGAAGATGATGCGGGTTTCTACACTTGTATTAGTGGAGGAAACCGCTACTCCACACGCCTCTATATGAAGAAGCCCGTTATTCAGGGTATATTCGGTTTTCATTAAAATAACATTTTCAATTTTACAAATGATAACATTTCTGTATAGTTGATATGAACTTTACCTCCTTTTAAGGTGGAACGGGATGTATAGCGCAGTGTGGTACTACAGCAAGCTCATGTACAATTCAGCTTAATTGTACAAAATATATGACATGCGAAGTAAATGGGGAAACCTGTGACTGTCGCACCATGATGTGTCAGTTTGGAACTTTCTGGAACCCAGACGCCATGAGATGCACATCAATCAGAAGCACTACCTGTGGAACAGGTAAGAGTCGATTTATTTATAACATCATATCAGCTTATATTCAGATAGATAAATAACATGGTGTTTTTGTAGATCCTTGCCTTTTCCACCCTCCACGGTACACCTATCCAAGTGAATACAACTGTCGTAGTTTTTACCGCTGTTCCAACAATAGGAAATCTATTCCTATGTGCTGTAGGGCGTTTTTTAAGTACGATCACAGAACTGGATCCTGTCAGCCAGACAATGGTTGTTCAATAGAGTGTACAAAGAGACAGATTATAGCTGCTGACCCGACTGTAAAACTAAGTATGTATATAAATTTGTCTAAATGTCAGTAATATGTGGTAATTATCATTGCTTTATTTAAAAACTTACCTCGTTCGTAATAAATTCCCGATTACGTTTGGTCCATTTTTTTTTCGTAGATTATATGTTTGAAGGTTCCCTCTGTTTCTTCAGTACATTAGAGTATGGAACATTCTTTTACCATTTTGAACTTCTTTGAAGTCCCGAAACTAATTTCAGCCATCCAATGTACAAATTATTAGAAATTTAAATCGTTAAAGTTAAGAACCATTTCAAGCAGAGAAAGAGGGTTGTCATTAAATCTTTACCATAGAAGCTCGTTTAAAATCTTAATTGATAAGAGCCATTCCTTTTGACTGTACCCTAAACTCTTTCATTAAATCATGATTCTATTAATTTATTTTTTCTTTGTTATATATTTGTGTGTGTGTTCTACATTGTGTAATAAAAGTCAGTTTTTTTTTTACATAAAGTGGTTACAAATTTAATGATCCTTGAATTACACAAACTCTCATTTTTGTATACTTTGTACGGAAGAACATAGTTAGCTCGAGTTCATGGCCCCAGTATTACTTTTGAACATTTTGCATGAATAGTATGACACCCAGTTGACATTGTTTTACAGTGAATAGTAAGACAACCAATTGATATCGCTTTACCTTGAATAGTATGACAGCCATTTGACATTATTTTACAGTGACCGTTCGTCCTCCTGGCGGTGTATGTTTCCTGGAACCTATTCCTGATGATCCTGGAAGGTACTACAACAGGGCTTCAGGTACAACAGAGCCATGTCCCCCGGCAACAGTCTTTAGAGCAGAATCCTGCGTATGCGAGAACTCTCTTACTCTAACTCATGTCCATGAGAAAACATCCGCTCTTATCAGAGGTAATCTCTCTGTCTATGCTCTCTCTCTCTCTCTCTCTCTCTCTCTCTCTCTCTCTCTGTGTGTGTGTATGTTATTTATATCTCAAAACTGATTTTATTTCATAGAATGCCATCCGCTGCTTCAGCTGTCCTTTGAAAAAGGAATCAGAAACATCTCTCCACACGCAGTTTACACAGAGATAACAGACGTGAACACCACAGTATCTCGTAGACCTAAAGTTTCTGTCGGTACTTTCAATGGCAGAACTTCAGAAATTTCGACACCACGTTTTGTAAGGGATGAAATTGAGGAATTATTTGTCACGTTGAATTTCTTGGAGAAGGATGGTAGTGATCATCAAGTATTGTTCTCAAACTGCCGTGCTCTTGCCACTCCCTACAAAGTACCGGGAATCCCGGGCTTAAGGACATCTTCTGCAGAAATATTGCTGGACAAAAGAAAACAAGAAATTATTTTTATAGGCAAAACAGACGATCCACGGATCAACACCGCCATAGTTAGAGTACCATACACTGTAAGGAAGGACAGCTTATTTATCAATAGACAAATCTTCTTAATTAACTTCTTGTAAAAAATGAATTATCATTTCTCTTTTCTATGTGTTTCACGGTAACTTTAATTAAAATTAAATAATAAGTACAATTTTGTTTTCATGTTCAATTCTAGGGTCCAATGTCTTTTTGAACAGATGGGTCTTGTTTTACTCTTCTCCTAAATGTCATATATATTACTGTTGTAGCCAAATCAGTGGAACAAAGTAGAACTGATGTTTGATGGATATCGATTAAGGGGTGTCGTGACGACAGATAAGAATGGTGTCCCTGTGCGACAGTTTGCTGTAGAACCACTCGTGGGTAAGTATAGTAATTCAAATACTGTAAATGAACTTTTTTCCATCGGGTCATAATTCCGCGCAATTACGATATCTGTTCAATCCGCGGTTAGAAATTACGCAGATATCTTGGATTATCATTACGTGTTCTTAATGCATTTTAAGAACGCTGTGACAAATTTCTACGGAGAAATTTTTGACGATTAATCCCACACGGATAAATGTACGTCTACAGTATTTCGGTCATATTTTTCAAGAAAAACTATAGAAAATGTTTTTTTGTAATTCGACATTATGGTGATGATAAAATTCATAATGTTGATGCCTTGATGTTTTTGCTTGTTACAGGACGATTAATTCCATCTGAAGATATGACGTCACTGGGTAGATGTTCTGACAAAGACGCTTTCCGGGGTTTCATGGACAAGGTATACAAAATTAACTCAAATTAGTCAAAATAGTCATATCATATATTGTATTCATATCATGAACAAGATAAAATAGTCATATCATATATTGTATTCATATCATGAACAAGGTAAAATAGTCATATCATATATTGTATTCATATCATGAACAAGGTAAAATAGTCATATCATATATTGTATTCATATCATGATCAAGGTATACAACAATAACTCAGATTAGACAAAATACCGTAGTACTGGTATATGTATTTTCCGTGGTTGGAATTCACCCTTGAAAGGTAGCAAATTAATTTTTGCGTTTTCAATGTCTGCATGTGCATGAGATCTGATACTAAGCTCAACTATCTTTTATTTAGTCTTTGTAAATTATTTTCAAATCCATTTTATTTCATACATCCGTAAGCATAATTCTTTTTTTAAAAATACAGAGTAAGAAGTCATGAACTAACATTAAACCAGGTTGACTGACAAACGCACATATTCATTATGTAATTAAAAGGGACACTGTTGATTTTAAGACTGCTTTTTTAAAGGCAAAGCATAAAGAATCATGTATATTATTAGTCAAAGTCCACTGCAAGGTCCTGTATAACAGTCAGTATTGACCTTGGTTTTCTAAGCATTTCTGGTGATATAATGTACTTATCCTAACACCTGCCAATCGACCTTCAATAACTGCATGTACAGACCTCAAGCTTTATATATTTTCATCTTTCATCATAATTTGATAACATGCAGGCAGATCTGGTTTTCTGAAGAAAGACATTTTAGTTACTAGTATTGCTTCTTGTATAAACAGTTGCCTAAAAAGTCATTTTTTCCTTTTTTTCAGGTAATTGTTTCAAATTGCATTCCAAAAGGATGATGACATTATTAAAATGATTAAATAGAAGTTTGTTGTTATATAAAGTGATGTATAGATTGCTGTTATTATACATTCCATTGTCATTTGTAACTCTATATGCTCACACACAGTCATCAGCCACACAGACTTATCATTGAGTTGTCAGTCTCCATATTTGTTTCTAATTTTTTTCCATTAAAATTTAATAAAATAGAAGAACATATGCATTGTTTTGAACTACACTTATTGTGTGTATGCGTGTTAGATTTGAGAACTATTGATATTGTGGTTTTTTAGCTGACTTGAGTTATAAGCTCTAGTGAGCTTTTCTGATTATCCGTTGAAGTATCCCATTGATGTTTGGATTCAAATTTGGAATGTCATGACCTCTTCTGGCCAGGATGGGGCCATGGTATGTGGTCAAAATTGTTCATGTATACAAAGAGAGAAAACAATTTTTAAAAATCTAATGAGGAAGAACAGAAGGTAACTTAGGCAAGTGATGTGGTCCACGGGCCTCTTTGTTTGTTCGTTGTGTGTGTGTGTGTGTGTGAGGGGATGTGTGTGAGAGAGAGAGAGGGTGTATTTGTGTGTGTATGAGGGTGTGTATGTGTGTTTGTAGGGGTGTGTGTGCTAGTAAGATAGGACGATAATTTTTTTAAAATGTAAAGTTCCTGTAAAGCACTGGTACCTCCTGCATCTTATATCAGGGTTCCATTTTATCAAAGTACATGTACTTACAGCTGGAACTAAGATAAATATCTGCGAATTATTTTCATCTGTGCATTAATTGTAAAAAAAGAAATTTGTTTGTTTGTTGTTAAACATCCCTCTTGAAATTTTTCACTCATATGGAGACGCCACCACTTGCCGGTGGAGAGTTGCAAATTTTGGCCTATACTCGGCACTTACGGCCATTGATCAGTGAGGGATCTTCTTCGTACCAGAATCTACTGCGACAAGAGACCTCGGTTTATAAGGTCTCATTCGAAGGACCGGTCTCCACGTCCCACAGTGGAATTCGAACCCGCGACTTAAGGATCAACTCCTTACTCCACAGAAGCTCTACCACTGCGCCATGCGGTAATTGTAAATAGTATAAATCTTACTTGTATGATTTTGACAAAGAATCTATCAGAGAAAAATTAATTTTACCAATATTTTTACAAACGGCTTATTTTTAAATGCGGTCCTTCGAAATTACATGTAGTTCCTTTTTCATCTTTCAATCATAATCATGTCTTGAGTTTCATGTCTGTTACAGACTTAAGGTATGTCGCTCGTCAGCTTCAAAGAAAAATTCAGTCAGAACCTCTCATTTCAAAAACATTTATTAAATTAAATTCAATTTAAAAACTGGTCACAAAATCATAAAGAAACAAGATTTATGGGGGACTATTTCTTATGGTGGATGGATATTTAGAAGAAAATTCTTCAAATCTACACATTTGTTAAATTTATAAATTTGGATCTTTAGCCCTATATATATTTTTACTCAGAACATTTTTTCCGTTATTATATATTAGGACTATTAAATATAGGTTTCAATTAATATTTTTAAAACAAATTTTACACATTCACTCAACAGACTTTGCCAAGAAATGAAGATAATTTGAAGAAATCAAGATAAAATTTACATTATTTTTGGCTTGAAAATTGCATGTTTGACCAATATCTCAAACCTTACTTCACTGGTCCCATCTTTTTCTTTCATTATTTTAAACTACACGATACTTCCAACAAATCAGCACTAAAGTCATAAAAAAAACTTGATACAGAAAATATTTTATTGTCTATCTAGATTTTTAATACCCCTAATATGTTACTTTTTAAGTGCAAAAAGGTCACACAATAATTTATGAGGTTTGTCCAATAATAAATATTATTCACAATATTTTACCCAAAATAACGCAAAATAATATTATATTTATTGCCACGATTACATCTGGCTAAGTATGATGAAAGTTAAAACTGATAATCTAAGAGTTACAATTTAAGTGCAAAAAGGTCAAGTTCATTGTACCGTTGCTCAGTAAGATGCAGACTGACCCCCCAATTTTCTTTGCGACTTTGAGTAATGCTATGTAAGTACTTATCAAAAATACACTTACCAAACATTTCTTGATATAACTCATTTCACGAGTGACATGCCTGAACATGTATGGGAAAAATACTACCAGCAAATTCAATCATTTGATCAGAAGTGGAAACGAAAGGTTAGAAACTTTTTACGGTAAAATACCCTCTGTATGATAACACATGGATAGGAACATATAAAATAGACAGACATGTAATAATGTTTCAATGTATTTTCACAAATCAATTTGATGAATAAATAAAAAAAAAAACATGAAATAATCATTGTCGTCACAAGGTATTTTAAAGTGAATATTGTGTCTAAAATGTCAAATTTATTTCTTTTGCTCAATCACGAAATTCTGCTTCGTTTTTATTTCCTCCTTCTCGCTGTCTTTCTGCAACATACAAATGATGTCCGAAGCCGAAGGTCTCCTTTGAGGATTGGCGATACATGTCTTCGTGGCAATCTCTTTCAACTTCAAAAGACCAGATATGTCAGCTTCATTAAGTAGACAATCTAGAAACGTTTCAATTATCCGTTATGTTTTAAAAAATTCCCGTATTTATGACTGGTTTTCTTGATCTTCAGTGAAAATGACAGTCTTTAAAATTAAGGTTCAGAATTATTCAATATAATATATACACGTTAAGCTTATGCAAACCTAAAATAAATTAGCTCACTTTACTACAGATTATTTGAATAAATATTTACCAAAGAAAGCGTCCTTTTTTCGGAATCCCTGCAGCTCGATTGTCGATCCATGCTACAGTTACATTTTCTGTGTTTCCTGTCTGTGTTTATCCGCCTTACAACAAAATAATACATGTAATGTTAAATCAACTACAAATTTCCTGTTCAAAATTAACCGTGATTGTTTTATTTACTGAGATAAAGGTCAGAGATACAGAGATAAATACTGCATTGAAATTTTTAAGAGTATAATTAATATCACTGGTATCATTGCTTATTGTGATTAAATTTGTCGTGATTATACTGACATTTTAGGAGCCATGAATACATAATGACTAGCCATTTGTTTAATAGTAGTTATCGAGTAATTTTTTATTGGTTTGTGTGGATATCGGTTAGGATACTCTTGCATAAATTTTCATAGCATTTTATCAAAGATAAAAATATTGATTAAAATGTGTTTAGACTAAAGAAAAAAAATTGACATACACCTGCAAGTTTTACAGTAATGGCCATGGTTGCTTATTGTTAATATTGATACAAGAATTAGAAAAGCCCTGGATCCAGATGTTCACCCAGGACAAGTTTAGACCATGTTCATTCAGACTAATTGAATGAAATATCCAGGTGAGAACCCCTGGTAATCTGAATATCCACAGAATCGACCGAATCTTGGGTGTTTCATTGCTTCTCAGTGTGTTTGCGGTGTCAAAAGGACGCTGTTTAGCTAGTCTTTTTAGAAGTCTATCTTCTCTCTCTATAGTCTGGGGTCTTCCAGATCTTTTACTCTCTTCCACACCTCCAGCTCTTCTCAAGCACTGTACCAGACGCAAAATTACAGCGTCACTGAAATTAAAGCGTTCTTCAACACTTCTTTATGTCATTCCAGTTTTTACCATTCCAACGGTCTGCCAGCGTTTTGGCCTCCGGGCCATAAAACTTATAATAATAATAATAATACTTTATTAAGAGAAGGTAGCCTAATTAGTGTGACACACTATTCTTCCCAAGGACCTTCTAATTACAACAATATTACATCAAAGTAACAAAGATTAACAACTAGCAATTGAAATATGATACACAAACAATGTCACATGATAATAAAGATAATGATAATAATAATAAACAAATATATTAAGATGACAAATAAATTAATATACATTTGTAAGATTTGACACAATATAAATGTACAAAAGATATAAATCAGAGTAATGAAATTCTATTGTTGAAGATATATTTTTCTACATTTCGTTTAAAGACGGACAGAGTTGGTGCACATCTTAAATCTAAAGGCAAACTGTTCCAAATATGAACACCAGAATACTGGAGGGAATTTTAAAACAAATTAGCTCGGTAATTTGGAAGGCGAAGGCCAAAATTAGATTCTGAACGTAAAGTGCAAGCATTAGAAGTTCGAAAAATAAATAAATCTTGCAGGTAAGCAGGGCTCTGATTGTTAAATATTTTGTACAACAAGATACATTTGTGTAAAGTTACTAAGTCAAAAACAGATAGCCAGCCCAATTTTTCAAATAATGCCTTAGATGGAGCATCAGGGGCAGCATCAAGAATAATTCTTGTGGCCCGTTTTTGGAGCTTATGAATTCTCTCCAAGTAACTAGCTGGTGTATTACCCCAGATAGTCAGACAATAATTAACAGAAGCCAGGATAAAGGCATTGTAAAACAGTTTTCTAGTTTTCAGAGGAAGAAATTTCTTGATTTTTCACAAGGTATACAATTTATATGTTAAAGATTTGCAGACTGAGTCTACATGGTTATGAAAATTTAGCGTTTGATCTATATGTACCCCAAGTAGTTTTTCTGTTTCAACATTGTCAAGGTGTTTGTCAGAGACATGTAAACTGAGATTTGGATTATTTAATTTCTTTGTTGAGTTCCCATCAGCATACATTTTGTTTTATCAACATTTAAAACCATTTGATTTTCTAAACACCAGTTTTCAATATTTACTAAATCAGAATTTAGAGCTGTTTCAATACTAAATATATTTTTCTCATAAACATGCAGAGTTGCATCATCAGCAAACATATCAATTTTTGTATGACATACATGTAAGGAAAGGTCATTAATATACAACAAAAACAATAAGAGGCCTAATATTGATCCCTGTGGCATTCCTGCTGTGACAGGCAAGACATCAGAAGAAGATGTACTAATTTTAACGCATTGTGTCCTGTTATTCAGATACGAGTGAAACCACTTAATTGACAATTCATCAAAGTTGTAATTCTTGAATTTATGTATAAGAATGTCATGACGCACTTAATCAAAGGCTTTGCTGAAATCCAAAAACGTTATGCCTATGAGATAACCTTGATCCACAGCATGCAACCAAGCATCAGTTAATTTAGTAAGTGCTGTTTGACAAGAGTGAAATTCTCTGAATCCAGATTGAGATTTTGTTATAAGATCAAAAGTTGAGGTGAAATCTCGCATTTGGTTTGCTATGTGCTTTTCAATTAGTTTAGATAATGTTGGTAGTATAGAAATGGTACGGTAGTTACCGGGGTCTGCTTTGTTGCCCTTTTTGTATACAAGGGTGACTTTTGCTTGTTTCAACTTCGATGGAAAAATACCATTACTGATACTAGCATTAATTAAATGAGTGACTGATTTACCAATGATACTAGCTGATAGTTTTAGGAGACGAGGTCCTAGAAGAAGTCAATGCCTGCCGATTTATTGACATCAAGCCCGAACTACTTCATTTTCACTAACTGGTGTAAGGCTAAAAAAGTTTTCATTACCAAGTTTAGATTTTGTGAATTGTCTTAACAATTCTGGGTTAAATCGGCAATTTGGAAGATTAAGTAAAAGTTTACTTGATATTCCTGTAAAGTGTTCATTAAAAATATTAGAAATTTCTTGTGAATTGTTCGTTTCTGAGTCATTAATTATGAATGATATGGGTAGGAGTAAAAGTTTTTGAATTAGATGCCAATTGATTAAGATATCCCCACATTTCTCTAGGATTTGAACTATCTTCGATGGCTGATCTGTAATATACTGAAACGCAAAAGAAACGCAACAAGTGGTAATCTACAAATATTTGAATTTTTTATCTAATGATTTTCAAAAATGAATACAGTAAGGTAAAACTTGATTTATAAACAACAGAGATTTGATAAAAATGTTAAATTATAATCTTTAACTTTAGAAAGTAACACATGAATGTTAAAACACCCCCCACCCCACCCCGGCCATTCAATTACAGCGTGCAAGACTGCCATGTACAACAGTTGCAGCTTGATTTTTTTATGATGCAGTAGGTATATCAATCTCGAGATCTGAGCGAAAGAAATATTCTTTGCCATTTTTAAATGCCTGTTTTTCAGATGATGAGGTCGAATTTTCTCTAGCCAAGCGCAGTGTAGTAACCCTTGGACTTCCGGTCCAAGGACCGTCATTCATGCTAAAGATACGTAAGAGCCTGTTGAGGCGTGATGTGTTGCATATTTGCATCTGCAACTCTCCATCACCTTTATTTTGAGATTTTCCAGCTAGAGCAATGGAAATGCGTACTTAAGTCATTTTTAGGAAGTCTTGGCATCGCTTATGGAAAAGAAAGGAGAATTTAATTTTCGTAACATTGCTTCATTACTTATGATGAACAGATACAAATTCTTAAAACCCCATATTATTGCCAAATATTTTGTTAAACATGCAATTTTTGATTTCTGTTAAGCGGACTCAAACTTAACTTCCGGTTATGATATGAAAATCATTCAACCGATAAATTACCGATATTTACAAAGTTGAAGACGTCCTTACATTTTAGATACAAAATTATATCCTATATATAATATTTCCCCCTAAAATAGGATGCTGCGTTTCTTTTGCGTTTCAGTATACAAAGTTTTTGCATTGTCAATCAAGAGTACAACTTTATTTCTCCATGCTCGGAGTTTTTCAAAATCCCCCTTATGCTTATAGTGGTAAAAATCTCGTAAATGTCTAGCTTCATCTATTTCCTTTGTTAGCCATTTTGGTCTAGTTTCACTTTTAACCCTTTTACATTTATCTTTGGCATGCCTGTCAAGGACATTATTAAACATTTTATAGAAAGTATCAAGAATGTCATTAGGATCATGTAATTCTGCAAGACTATCAAAATTTTCATTTTTTAAGTCAGAAAGGAAATTTGATTCGTTAAGGTTCTTGAAATCACGATATTTAATTTGTATGTGTTTGTTTCTACGTTGCATGCAATTAGATTTCAGGGTTGCGCAAATATTCTCTTACTTTTGATCTCAGTCTAACATTTACTTAAAAATTTGATAGTGGAAATGTAAGATTGAGATAAAAAGTGAGCGAATCCAAGTTTTATGGCCCTGCAGCCCGGAGTAACCACTAGCTGAGCAAAAATAATCTAATTTAGTGAAAGGTCATGAAAATGTTTCGCAGAACGGTGCAAAATGACAAAAGACAAGGTGTGATAAAGGAAGAATTTGACCATTTATTTGATATAAAAATCAAAATACGTTTTCATTGTGATAGTTTGCAGTTAAGAACTTTATCTATAGGTGCTTGTTTTAAAAAAAGTTCTAATTTTGATTCCAAGAGGTCAGGGAGGCCAAAGAGGTTGCCAAAGTTTTTCCTGAAATTTCTCGAAAGATCAAGGTACGGTTTCTATACATGTACAAATCTGGCGCAGTATTTTTTTTCGAAAATATGGAAATGATGTAAGATATTAAAACCCATCCATTCTGAATCATTGAAATTCCATGCAGTAAGAATATACAAATCGTTTTTCTCACATGGCCTCATAAATACTAATTGTGACGTCACGAACTTGTGCATTTTCCGTTATTTTCTTTAAAAGTTGCAGAAGATTTCAATTTTCGGTGGAATTTTATTTCAAACTATATAGAACACATGCATCGCCCACAAAGTTTTTGAGAAATGTGATTTTTCAAAGGATTTTACACAACATATCCGAAAATTAAAGTGGGCAACAGCTGTGGACATTGTTTTCTCAAGGGAAATTACCCCTGAAATGAGTTATTTTGAGGCTTTTTTTTCTGTTTAAAACTTAGAATGTACCAAGTTAACGACGTCATATTTTCAGGATGG